TAGTAAGAATTCCACATCATATTTGCATAGCAAATCATTCACTCACTGATGTATTCTCGTGTTCCTTAACCTTTCTTTTTCTGTAATCATTACTGCCCTCCACTCAGAAGCTTTCCTTTTTTTCTTTTTTGGCTACTCCACTTGGCATGCAGGATCTTAGTTCCCCACCAGGGACTGAACCTGAGCCCCCTGAGGTCAGAAGAACTGAAAGAAGTGAAAGTGTTAGTTTCTCCGTCCTGTCAGACTCTGTGCGACCCCATGGACTGTAGCCCACCAAGCTCTGTCCATGGGATCCTCCAGGCAAGAATACTGGAGTGGGTAGACATTCCTTTCTCCAGGGGATCTTCCCCACCCAGGGATCAAACCCAGGTCTCCTGCATTGCAGGCAGATTCTTTACCGTCTAAGCCACCAGGGCAGCCCTGGAAGTGCTGAATCCTAACCAATGAACCACCAGGGAATTCTCCATAAGCCTCTTTTAGACATTTTCTCCTAATCATCCCTTCACCCATGAAATGCTGCTGCTGCTGCTAAGTCACTTCAGTCGTGTCCGACTCTGTGCGACCCCGTAGACGGCAGCCCACCAGGCTTCCCCGTCCCTGGGACTCTCCAGGCAAGAACAGTGGAGTGGGTTACCCATGAAATATTTCATATTAAAATTTTTAAATATAATACAAATGATATCAGTAAGGCACAAACCATTGCAATATTTAAATTTTTTTTTTTCAGCCTCCAGGAGCCAATTTTTACCCTCTTCTTGCCTGGAGAATCCCAGGGATGGGGGAGCCTGGTGGGCTGCTGTCTATGGGGTTGCACTGAGTGACTTAGCAGCAGCAGCAGCAGTGGCAATAATCTGCTCTCTCCCACCGAGGCTGAGAATGAAGTATTTATTCTCCTAATATTTGCGAGGCTCTATTATGCCTCCCAGGTGGCACTAGTGGTAAAGAACTCACTTGCCAATGCAGAGGACACAAGAGATGGGGGCTTGGATCCCTGGGTTGGGAAGATCCCCTGCAGGAGGGCATGGCAACCCACTCCTGTATTCTTGCTTGGAGAATCCCATGGACAGAGGAGCCTGGTGGGTTATACAGTTCATGGGGCCGCAAAGAATTAGCCGGGACAGAAGCCACTTAGTGCGCACCATGTGCCAGGCACTGTTTTAGGGATAGAGGTGCCAGCAGGAAACAGCAGCTTTAAATGGGGGCCCTCGTGGGTGGAGCGGACAATAAATAGCCAGTGCACTGAATCAACACGCCTGTCGCCAGGTATGGCAGGCAGTCTTCCGGCACAGCCCGAGCTGGTGGGCCTGGCCCCTGGCTCTCCGCACGTCCGCCCCTCAACTCTGCGCCCTCCTCCTCCCAGGAGAAGAATCAGCGGTCCACACACCTGACAGGCGCCTTCCTGGCCTTCTTCGTGGGAATCTTATACTTCTGGCTGCAGCTCTTCCTTTCCTGGCGGATGAAGAACCTGCCCCAGCCTGGGGCTCCCTGGATCGGGCCGCTCCGCCTGGTGCTCTGCAGTGCCTGCTTCGTCCTCGAGGTGGCCAGTATCCTTCCCTGGAGCGGGGGTGGCTCTCCGATGGGGCGGGTCTGCTCTGTGCCGTCCTGGGTGCCCCTTCCTTCCTCAGCCTCGGTCTCTGTCCAGCGTTACAGAGGATTGTCAGTGAGTCCCGGGTTGGAATCCCACCACCTCAGTGTACTAGCTGGGGGTAGGGGTTGGGGAGGAGGGGGGCCTCCTCTTCTTTCCTAACTTCCTGGTGCTTTGGGTTCCTCATCTATCAGATGAGGATGATGGTAAGGAATGTGAGGAATGAAGGAGCACGTGAGGTGCTTAGATGGGTGCCTGGCACAGAACAAGTGAACAGTCAGTGTTGTGACTGTGCTCCGTCGTGTCTGATTCTTTGTGACTCCCATGGACTGTAGCTCGCCAGACTCTTCTGTCCATGGTATGCTCCAGGCAAGAATACTGGAGTGGGTTGGCATGCCCTCCTCCGGGGGATCTTCCTGTCCCAGGGGTCGAACCTGCATCTCTTAGGTCTCCTGTATTTGCAGGCCAGGTCTTTACCACTAGCCCCACCTGGGAAGCCACGCTAGCAGCTTGAAACGGTGGAGATGGCCGTGGTTTCTCCCCCAGAAACTGACGTGTTTTACAAATCAGAGCTGGTTGTCACACGTTTACCAGCATGCCTCTGGGTGGAGCCTCAACTCCAACCCGCTTCTCGAGCCAAACCAGTCTCGGAGTCCCAGTTTCCGTTATCTGTGGAATGGCCTTGCCTTTATCAGAACAGTGATTGCTACTGATTAGCAGAGTGCCCTGAGGGGGAGCAGGGTCAGCCCTGGGGATGGCTGCCCCCTGTGGGGACAGGAAGGAAGGGGCGCTCGAGAGGTCATTGGCATCCGGAAGAGGCTAGGGGGAACCAGCGAGGCCCTGGGTGGGCTGCCCTCAGTAGATCCCTTCGGAGACTTGGATCCACTTTCCCAGGAAATTGGAGGTGGTGATCCGGTTTCCCAGAGCATCGGATTGGATCCCATGAGACAGGCGGGAAGGGCTGCCCCTGAACTCAGCCTTCTGCACCTGCAGCCACAGAACCAGCACAGGTCCTCCGTGGTGGCGGGCGAAACTGACCACGAGGTCCAGGCGGCCCCTCTTGAGCTCCGCCTGTGCTCATGATCCGTTTGGCTTCAGGGTCCTCGTCCTGGGGGCCCCAAACATCCCTTGACTGTGGGGAGGCGGGGGAGATGGGACTGTAAGATGGTCAGTTGAGAGTGGTAAGGGCTGGATGGCCACGGAGGGCTCTGAGACATGCTATGCTTTGAGCTGGTCTTGCAGAGCTGGCCTGTGTTGGGAGGTTGGTGCCGGGTTGGGGGGGGTGGGCTGCCTCTTCAGGTACATGGTTGCGGGGTGGGGGTGAGGGGGGAGGAAAGCTGCCCAGGGGAGGCGATAAGGCTGCTGGCAGGGCCAGAGGTCAGGCTCTCCTGTGGAAAAGTGAGGGGTTACAGGCTTGGGCTTCTGCCTGAGGGCAACAGGAAGCCCAAGAAACCTTGTGAGCAGGGGAGGTACAAGGTCAGGGCTGGGGTCAGCACTTGTGTTTGCGGGCTCACATTTTGTCTGAGGATCAGTGGGGCTAGGGGATGGTACTGGCCTTCCTCACTGTCTAAAAATCCTTGAATGAACGAAACGATGTCTAGTCTGATCTAGGAGAGGTGAGTCGGAGCTGGGTTAGCCGAGAGGAGGAGCACTTCAGTGAGGTGGGCAGTGGTCCCAGAAAAGGAGGGGCGTCTCTGCCAGGCCGGAGCTGGGGGTGTGTGTCGGCCAGTGGTCACAGAGACATTTTATAAACAGCTGGGACTGCGGAGCTGGAGAAGGGATAAGGCTGGTCAGTAGAGACTCCAGACCAGAAAGAGATGAGAAAGACAGACAAGACTTGGAGTGACCAGCTGGCTAGGGGGCGGAGATGGGAGGCGGTTGGGGCACCAGAATGGATGGGGTAGTCATGGAGGTGGGGGCTCCTGGAAAGAGGAAGAGAGTTTAGGAAGAAGGTGAGCCTTTGCTTGCGAGTGAGCAGGAGGGGCTTGTGAGCCACAGGTGGGGGGAGAAAGTTGCAAGCTCAGCCTCAGGCTGGCGGGCAGCGTGCGAGGGCAACTTTAAGTGTCACTTGCTCAGTCGACACGACTGAGCCGACACGACTCTGTGGTCCCAGGGACTGTAGCCCGCCAGGCTCCTCTGTCCATGGGGATTCTCCAGGCAATAATACCGGAGTGATGGTCATTCCCTCCTCCAGGGGATCTTCCCTACCCAGGGACTGAACCCAGGTCTCCAGCACTGCAGGCGAATTCTTTAGAGAGTATCTTTAGGACACCCTAAAGGTGGGAGGATTTTTGAGACGGTGGGAGTGCTGCCGCAAACAGGAGGAACGTGCGACGGGAAATGTTTGGGAAGCGACTGAGACAGAGGGGGGACAAGGAGGGCCCCTTTGAGAGCGTCTGGGAGGAGCTGCCGAGGAGGGGGAGGCTGCCCGGCTAGAGGGGCTGCTCCTGCTGGGGCGAGCCGGGCGTGTCAGGCCGGGCTCCGCCTGTCGGGCCCCTGGGCGCCCCGCCGGCTCCCGCTCCTCCCTGTGGCCATGCGCCCTTGACCCTGGCCCCAGTGGTCGTCCTGCACAGCTGGTCGATGCGCTCCGTCTCGGCCATCTGTGAGTGGGCCGTCGCCATGCTGCTGTTCGTCCTCTTCGGCCTCCTCGCCGTGGACTTCTCCCGCCTGGACGGCTGCGCCCTGTGCCTCCAGCCAGGCTCTGGCAGCCTCCGCCCGCCGCCGGACTCCCCCACCTCTCTGCACGTGCAGCTGTGAACAGCCGTCCAGCTGTGCCCCACCGGCCAGCCCGCGGCGCCCTCACGCCTCCTGTGCCTGCCATCTGGTTCCGCCCCGCAGTCGGGGCCACCCAGGACGCGAGAGGCCAAGGCCAGCCAGCCATCCCTGATCAAGGATATTTATTATTATTATTATCGTTAATTTTTTGTTGTTGCTGCCGCCGGCGGAATCAGAGACACGGACGCAGGCAGGATCACGCGAAATCAGAATTCCTTCCGGAGAGCAAATCCGTACAGAAGGTCATGGGGGGAGAGGGAGAGGACTGGGGGGGCAGGGGGGGGCCCAGGAAGGGGGAGTTGGGCACACAAGGACAGACGGCCCTGTCCGTCCGGATCTGCTAAGCCACCCCAACCAGCCCCTGTCCCTCCCCCACCCCACCCCGCAGAGAGACTGATCAATAAATAAAATAATAAATTAATCAATAAATAAAATAGAAACGGCTCCCCCACCCGCAGTCCCCCCAGAAACCCCCCCTCGTTGGGCACGGCCCCCGGAGCCCCATCCCCGAAGGGCAGGGCTGGGTGTGTTGTGTCTCCCCCCTCCCCACGGACGCCTTGGGGCCTATTTACAGATTCACAGTTGGGGGGGCAGGGAAGGGGGGTGGAGGGGGCGCCCCTCCTTCCCCGGCCCCCTGGGGTCAGGGCAGGGGGCTCCCGTTGGTGGCCAGGAGCTTCTTGTCCTTAGGGGGGCCTCGGCGGGGAGAGCTGGTCAGCTCCGGGTCTGGGCGGCTGGGCGCGGGCTGCAGGCTTCGGGGTGGGGTCCCGGCGGGCCGGGTCTGGGCGCCGTTCTTCTCGTCTGTGCAGGGGCGGAGTGGGTGGGGGAAGCAGTCTGGCCTCAGGAAAGGGTGCCAAACCTCTGGTGGTGAGGGGGTGGGGGGCGGCTGCCAGGGCTCACTCACGCCAACCACCACGAGGCCTGCCTGCCCTGCACCAACAGGGCGCAGCCCTCCAGCCCGAGGCCGTGGAGACCAGGCCAAGCCCCAGGGAGTCCTGGTAGGTCCAGCTCAGGAGACAGCCGAGACTCTGGTTACTGCACTCTCCAAGGCCCCGTATCGAGGCCAAAGCGCCCCCTTCCCTTTGGGAGCCTTGGGGAGCCCCCAGCAGGTTGTTCCGGCTCTCCCAGCAGCGCCTGCATGACTGGGCCACTGGCCAGACCTGGCCAGGGCTGGTTCCCAGTGGTCAGGCAGCAGTTTCCATGGGGCCCGAAACAAGGCCTGAGGTCCCATACCAGAGGCCACCCCTTAAGAGACACTGACTGCTGGAGGCCATGCTGCCATAGCAACCCCCAGGGCTGCCCCACTCTGGGGCTCAGTCGGAGGTCCCCGCACTGCCCCCCTCCCTGTATAAGGCACGAGTCTCGGACCCCGGGTCCCTGTGGATCCTACATCTTTGAAGGTGTGCCCTTTAAGGAACTCTGGTCGTCAAGGCCACCTTTCCTTGGCAGCCGGGTCTAGAAAGGTTCAGGGGGCCTTCCTGGCTTCTGGTCGCCCTGGAGAAGCAGACTAACAGGGCAGAATTCCTCTACCTGCCTATCGGGACGGCCCTCCACTTGACGTTAGCCCCATTCGTCTGTGTTGGACCTCTGACCCCAGGGCTGCGTGATAATAAGTTGATGTTGTAGGAACCACAGAGTTTGTTTGTGACCTTGACCTCCTTGATCCCTGGTGGCTAGGGGACTCCCCTCCTGACCACTAGGTGGGCACAGAGAAGCCCCTTCCCCCCGGAGCACAGACCTCACCCCCTCCCGGGGAGAGGCCCGAAGCTGTGAAAGCCAGGAACAGCAGGGCCAGAAGGGTCTGTGAGACAGAGACCACCTTGTCCTGGTTTTAGCACTGAGGGTCCCTGGTGTCGGGAACCTCGGGACGGCTGGCCGCCCTCCTCCAGAACATAGTTCAGGGGCCTCCGGTGGCAGGGAGCGCCACCACCTCCAACAAGAGACCGGTGGCCCCCTAGGCACCCTGGAGGCCCCCTCCCTCCGTGGAGAGGCCTTCTCAGGCTCGGGGAGGCCTGGTTCCCTGGGAGCCCTGCAGCTGAAGCCTCGCTGGTAACACAGGCCCCTGTACCACTTGGCCCCCAGAAGTGCCCCCTCCACCCCACTGCCCTGCTCCCGCAGGTCCCCCAAGTGCCTCCCACCTGCCAAGGCCTGTACGGACGGCTGGTCGTGTGTGCTCAGCAGCTGGGCCTGGATGGTCTCCACCACCCGCTTGAACCGGCGGCTGGGACCTGCAAGGGACAGGGCGACAGACCAATGAAGCAAGATCCATGTTTTCCGGCAAGAGGGGAAAAATTCAAACGTGAACAATGTTCTCCGCCCGTTTGGGCCTCCTCTCCCTCTTGGTGTGTCTCTGTCGTGTGCCTGCATTGAGCACGCCTGCCTAGGAGGTAACCTTCCTAATCATGACGATGACCCATGACCCACGACTCGCTCTGCACCTGGATCATGCAAACTGTCAGTAACGCGTCATTTCATGTATGGCCCTCTGTCTCACAAACGCATATAATGGTGTGTGGACCGCTCATGAGCGGAACAGTTCTCAGACTTTCTGAGCGGCTGCTCCTGGCTTATAGTACTCAGTTTGACTTGAATAAAATTGTCCATTTTTTTCTTCTTTTAAAAGTTTTATTTATTTTTGGCTTCACTGGGTCTTCCCTGCTGTGCGTGCCTTTCCCTCTAGTTTCGGGGGGCAGGGGCCACTCTCTAGTTGTGGTGCTTACTGCAGTGGTTTCTTTTGTTGCAGAGCATGGGCTCAATAGTGCTGGCAGACCAGCCTACTTGCTCCGTGGCATGTGGGATCCTCCCAGAACAGGGATTGAACCTGTGTCCCCTTCATGGGCAGGCAAATTCTCAACCACTCAACCACTCGACCGCCAGGGAAGTCCCTCCATGTTTTTCTTAAATCAACGGATTCATCTTTTCATCTGCCGTGCTGGGTTAACTGGCTGGATATGACAGTCACCCACCAGAGGGCACCGGGAGTCCGCCAGAACCAACGCTAAGAACCAGCACGGGCCCGCCGGGCTTCTCGATACTTCTCAGGTGTCCTGATAAGTTCTCCTGCTACCCAGCTCTCACTGTTTGAGTGATGATCCTGAAAATTTTATTTGCACTGTTTTCACTTAAGGTTTGAAATCTGAAGGGGCTCCAGTGCATTTCCTAGGCAGGACCTGGGCAAGAGGCCCAGGGAAACATAACTGGCTGGGTTTTTGCTAAATTTGACTTAAATTCAAAATTAAACAAGTTGCTATATGGTCTGAAAAGAAACTATTGCTAGTGAAAGGACAGACTGAGTTATTCAGCTCTTAATGATACCAAGCAGGGCCCTGTGGGGCTCCTGGGCACAAATCCTCTCTGTGTCCCCCATTTCTCTGATTTTAGGAAACAGCCTTCATTCAGCCTCCATGACCTTCCCTGAGTTCCAAGGGGCAGATTCAAGCAGTTGTTAATTAGGGAAGGGAGGCGGTGTGAGACCTGGGAGAAACAAGCAGTCAAGAGCAGCCTTGGGGGCTTCCCTGACGGTCCAGTGGTTAAGAATCCAGCTTACCAGGCAGGGGCCCCCATCTGGTCCCTGGTCTGGGAGATCCCACATGCCACGGAGCAACTAAGCCTGTGCGCTGCAACTACTGAGGCCCGCAAGCCCTGGAGCCTGCGCTCCCAAACAAGAGATGCCATCACAGTAAGAAGCCCGAGGACCACAAGCAGAGAGCAGCCCCCACCCCTGCAACCAGAGAAAGCCCACGCGCAGCGACAAAGACCCAGTGCAGCCAAAAAATATCTTTTAATTAAAACACGTAAAAAGTTGAAAAAAGTAACCCAGGGTAACTCCTTGCTAGATTCGGAAGCAGCACACAGGCGATTTGCCACAGTGCCCTCAGAAAGTTGCTTAGGTTGTATTTCCTATCTGAATTAGGTTACAAAATTAATAATGGGAAATTGCGCCTCAAAGGCCAAACAGCTCCTGTACAGACAGCCACTGATGGGACTACCAGCTGGGCTTATGTATACTTGCAACCACTTAATTGAGAATTAAAGGAAATCCTGCCCTGAAATGACCAACATAGGTCTTTTCAGCACCCTACAACGGATTTTTCACACACAGTTAAAAGCCTGCAGTCTCCTGGACATCTGCCTGCAGGGTGTACTGGAAACAACAGTGGTAAGAGTTTTTCCTCTTTTTAAAAATTAGGTTAGCAGGGAAAATATTTGTAGGGCTAGCTTCTTGGATCTTTCGGATTGGAAAAACTTCTAAATTATAAAATTTTAGAGAGCTCTCATCACATTTTCCTATTTTCATTCGTATGCAGAAGCCCCCAAAGTTTTCCAAATTCCAAAAATGCCTCATTGAGGGATTTCCCCGGTGGTATCTGTGGTTAAGAATCTGCCTGCCAATGCAGGGGACACAGGTTCAATCCCTAGTCGGGGAACTAAGATCCCATGTACGTCGGAGCAAGGACTGAGCCAGGACATCACAACCAGAGTCCATGTGCAGCAACAAGGATCTCGTGTGTTGCAACTAAAACCTGACAAAGCCAGATAAATAAGCAAATGAATATTGAAAATAATGTTTAAAAATGTAAAAAGTAAACTGAAAACTGAAGGCAAGGTAACTCTGAAAGAGAGAACAAAAGGGAGACAGGTGATCTGAATCCAACCTCTTTTCTAACTGTTGGGTTTTACATTATTGTAACTGACTCCTGGCTGAAATTCTGAAATGGAAACTATGGGGTGTCTATTGGTGCATTTGTATGGCATCTATATGTGTGTGTTGTAGATGTGTGTTACTGCCAAAATTAATCTGTAAATGAGCTCTATTTATTGGCTTACAGGAAAATAGGCACTTATGTAAATGCTCAGAAATGGAAAAGAAACTAACCCTAATGACTTTCAGGTTTGCATGAACTGGGAAACATTCAGTATAGCATTAATACCTGGCACTAAATTTAGCTTAAGTTTGTTGCATTAATTAATACAGACATATTTTTAGAGTCATCAACATTAAGTATAATATTTTTATTGTATCTAGGCTTCCTAGAAATCAAATAAATAAGATCTTATTATTCCTGTTACAAAGTTTGTCCACAAGAAAAATAACTAGATACAATGAAACTTTTCAGTTAATAAAATAGACATAAATAAGTGCCTTTAGGTAAACTCTTTTGCAATAATTATGTTTGGGGAATGTCTATCTAAACTAGCCTCTTCAGACTTCGATAACCTGCAACTTTAGAGGACTGCTACCCTCAGCGGTCTTGAGCATCCCACACACCACGGGGCAGCCGCGGCACGGGACGCTTACCGGAGATGAGTGTAAAGGTGACTGAGTAGATGCCACCACCACCGCTGCCGTCCCGCCGGGGGGAGGGTTCTGGACCCTCAGAGGAGCTGATGTCCACCTGGAAGCGGACGGGCTTCTGGAAGACGGAGGGGCCACCGCTGGCCTTGTACTCAGCCCTGAAGCTGGTCTGTGACAGCACGCTGTGACTCAGGCTGGGGATCTGAGAGGGACGGGAACAAGAGGAGAGGGTGATTTCAGTGACCTGACTCCAAGGCACAGATAAGCAGCCCTTGACCAGCTCTGCGCCAGGAAACACCAGTCCCCTCAGACACCAGGGGGAAAGGATAACAGAAGAGGCATTGGGAGGCTCCACTGCCTGCTGGGATTTATAGTTTTCTCTATCTTATAAACAGGGCATCAGAAAAATGACTGAGCTACTGAATCCCATGGTAATATGGACTTTCACATCTGGTGCCAGCCCCAGGCCCCAGTACCACATTAAACGAACTCCTTCCTTCTTCCACAAACCCTGCCCAAAGTCACATCTGTCTCAGAAATGTTAAGTCCCATGAGCTCCTTGGGCAAAGAACCACAGGATCCAGCGGACAACCCCTGAGTCCACTAGAAGTATTGATAGTTCCTTTTGCCAATCTCAGACCTGGTGGTAGGGGAATGGCAACTCACTAGTCCTCAGTAGATACTAACATGCAGGGAATATTAACTCCGGATCTTATTTCTCACTTCCAGGCCCCAGGGCGCAATACACCTGGCTTCTTGTCTCCACAGTGACCACAACCAACTCTGGCTAAAAAACTACAAATCCCATGAGCCCCAGGTGGACCCCAGGCCAGCACTAAGGAGGTGGACCCCGGAGGCTGCTGGGATTTGTAGTTCTGTGGAAGCCAGGGTGCATGGGGACCCAGGCCCCTCACCGACAGGAAGGCGTGGACAATGTCCGCTTTGATGCTGCTGAGAGGTTTATCCTTTAGCACAAGGAATATTTGTTCTTCTTTGTCCAAGGAGATGAAGTTCCCAAACCAAGACCGTTTTGCCAGCCTGAGTGGGAACAGATAGGTTGGAGGTGGGTTGGGAGGAGGCTAACGGAATCGCCCCTTCCATCCCCTCTTTTCCCTTCCCTGTCAGACTCACTCTGGAGAGGACTCTGGCGTCAAACTGGACATCTCCTCGGCAGTGGGGACTGGGGAAGACAGAGCAAGGTCAACATGTGTCCGTCACCTGGTGTCCAGCAGGGACCTCCACCCAGGGATTCCAGACCCGAGTCTGGTTCACTTCCCAGCAGTTAAACCCCAAAAGGCATGTGCGCTGCGTGACGTTCTCTCCAGGGGTGTGGCCCCTCCCTGGTTGGGCCACGCCTTCGGGGGGGGAGCTTGTTAGCCATGAGCCAATGGGAAGGTGAGCCACGGCACTGAAGGGGGATGTCCTTCTGGCGAGCTCCTCCTCCAGAGTTGGAGGCCTCTCCCCCAACACCTTAATCTCTGCTCCCAACAGCATCTTCTCATAGGTCGTGGGAGTCCAGGCCCCCAGCCTGGTCCTTCCTGGGGACCCAGATGTTAGACCGCAGCCCCCACCCCACATTAGGACTCAGGAGTACACATCCCACACCCTTCACCCCCAAAGGACCTCCGTACCCTGCATCTTGCGCCGGTGAAAGCGGGGGGAGCCCAGGAAACTGTTGCGGATGGAGTTGAGACGACTCCTCCAGGCGGCTCCCCCGACTCCGCCACCAGGGCTGGGGGGCGGCGTTGTCCCTGGGGTCCCAGTGGGGCTGGCCCGGGGCGTGTGCAGGGGCGAGTGCAAAGGGGTCCCCCCAGAGGAGCGCGGGGAGCCTGGGGGGCCGGGCAGGGGTGTGGAGCGGGCACTAGGGGGCGGGGGCTGCTCCCCGGCACCCCCACCCCTGGGGCCCCGAGAAGGCAGCGTCTGCGTTTTAGAAGTCGGTGAGCCCCCACCCCGGGCCTCATCTCCAGTGGGCTCCGGCGAGAAGGAAAACACTGGACTCTGTAGAGCGGTGGAGTCGAGTGAGAGAGTGGACTACAACTCCCAGGACACCCTAGGAGCCCCAGAGGTGCGTGCGCGCGCGCGCACACACACACACACACACACACACACACACACACACACACACACACGGGTGCACCCCAAAGCATGATGGAACTTGCAGTCCAATTATTTCCCCAACACCCCCACCCCCACCCCCGTTGTTGAGTTGGGGGCAGGGACATTTTCTATCATGCTCAGGGACTGTAAACCCAGCAGTGACAAGAACAGAGTAGGTGCTCAACTAACTTTAGTTAGATGAATAAATGGGACCCTTCAGGCACACTGAAAGCCCGGCGTGGGAAATGACGTGGGAAATGGTTGGTCAGTGGACTAAGATACTAACGAGGCCTTGGGCCTTTGGCTCTTTGGGGACAAGGAGGCAACGTCCCAGGACTTCATGGGAATTATAAGTTCTGCTGTTTAAGCTTTGCTCCACAGGGTCTTCATTCCCTTACCCCCCTTAATCCACCTGGGGCCTGGCCTTACCCTTGGGCTGCTCAGAGGACTGGACGACAGACCAGTGGAGGCTCCACTGACACTACGGGATCTGTTTCCAGAACAGATTAAGGGGAAAAAAATCAGGTGGGAGGGTTTCAGAAGGCTCAGATGTCTTCTCCCTTCCACACTCCTTCAAGATGAGGAAATGAGGGCCAGAGAGGGAAGGAGACTTGTCCCAGTCACGCTGAGGTGGCCATAGTGTTGGAGCCCTGAACTCTCTATCCACCCAGGGCTGTGCATTCCAGTGGAGGGGCAGGGGCTCCCACCTCTGGCTGTGCTGGGCCATCTCCAGGGCCCGTCGAGTGGGCACTGGGGAGCCACCACCCCCAGCATCTGTGATGCTCAGGACTTCCATGGACTTCCGCTCTGGCCGCCGCTTCCCGTGACGGCTCAGCATGGGGGAATCCACACGCTTCCGAGGCGGGTCTGCGGGCCGAGAGTATCATCCTGATCAGAGGGTGCACTGGTGCAGCTGGGCATGACACTCATACAGACGCAGAAACTGAGGCTCAGAGTGAAAAGGGACTTTGACAAGGGTCTCGGGGCAAGTCAGGGAGTCTAAAGTTAGAAGCTCAAGGCCTGCAGCCCCTCCGTCCCTCCCTGGGGAATCTGGGGTCTGGACTCCCCGGCCTGCCCTTCTCACCAACATCATTCCGGGGAGGCAGGTCCTGATCCTCACAACTGGGGTACCGCTCCTTCCGATCCAAAAGCAGGTAGTATATCATCTTCTCTTGGTTCTCCCTAAGGGGGGTGGGGGCAGGAGAGCACTGGGGTCAGAGGTCAGGTCCCAGGGTTGGTCTCATCCCCTCCTTGTGTCTGTGGCTCTCTGGGGCTCAGTGCACTCAGGCTCTCTGCTGATGGCTCCATTTTCCTAGGTTGGTCCCTTGGTCTCCAGTATACAGCTCAGCCTCATTTTACCCAATGATGTAATAATGATGCTAATGTGGCTCAGACAGTAAAGTCTGACAGCACTGCAGGACACCCAGTTTTAATACCTGGATGGGGAAGGTCCCCTGGAGAACAGCAACCCACTCCAGTATTCTTGCCTGGAGAGTCCCATGGACAGAGGAGCCTGGCGGGCTACAGTCCATGCGGTGGCAAAGGGTCGGACACCACTGAACAACTAACACTTTCACTTCAACCTCTGAGCACTTACTGTACGTAAGCACTATGTGAGGCGCTGAGTCGTCCTCAGCAGCTATTCATACTTTTCAGCATCCTTTCTTCTCCCCACTGGTCCTACCACCCACCTCCGCCTGGTTCCCCCTGAAACAGCTCCACGTCCCTTTTAGTGGCCAGGCCTCCCCAAGAGGGGGCTCTGTCTGTGGGCTCCCAGCAGGGTGCTGGGGGACACCCTCACCCCACGTGGCCAGGGTGTCTGTCAGGATCGGGAGGGGGGGGTCTTACTCCTCACTGCGCAGCTCCCGGTGCAGCCGCTCGCGGTCCCTGAAGCAGCCCAGTGAAGCCATGCTCTCCAGGACATCCGGGTCCAGCTCTCCGTTTGACGGCAGGCTCCGCATGGCCACGCGGCGGCCCGGGGCTGGCTCCAGGCACGGATCTGGCTCGTGTTTCCCGCCCCTGGGGAGAAGAATCGTAGGGAACCGGGCGTCTCCTATGTCTCCTAAAGCAGAGGCTCCGGGGTCTCCCGTCCCAGCCTGCTCCCTTATTGGGAACCCTGGAGTCAGAGCCCCAGCACACCTCCACCTCAGATCCAGGAGTCCAGACCCCCAGCCCCTCCTCATTCAGGACCCTTGGCACCCCGCTCCCTAGCAGGCTCTCCTACTTTGGGGGGCCCTTGATATTTGGGGTCCTCTCCTTCCCCCTAGGACCCAGGTGTCCAGTTCCCCCATACTCACAGGTACCAGGGGTGTTTCTGAATTTGCTCCAGCTGTGAGGGGCGTGGTTGGTAGAGAAGCAGAAGTGAGGTCGTTTGAACACAGCAGGTGCGCAATTAAAGTTGCCTAGGTGGCGTTGGGGGATCCCTAACGCGCCCCCCAAAGGGCGGGCAGCACGCCAGCTCATGTCTCCCCCTAGTGGCGGCTCGCGGCGCAGCCTGACTATTGCGGAGTGGAGGGGGGGCGGGGGCCCTGGCTACATCTCTCGCATGTGCATGCGCAGTGGCATCCTGCTCACACTGCCTTGCAAGGGCCAGTATGCGCATGCGCCCTCACAGGTTTTTTGGGAGGGGGTTTTTTGGTGTGGGGGGTGTGAGTGTGTGTCAGTATGTTTGTCCAGTACGCACATGCGGCCTCCCGGGCGTGTGTCTGTGTGTCTTTGTGGTGTGGTGTGTGTGTCCACTATGCACATGCATCCTCTTGCATTTGTCTGTGTGTTTATGTGTGTCTGTGTGTGTGTCCACTACGCACATGCGTCCTCTCATGTTTGTGTGTGTGTGTGTGTGTGTGGTGTGGTGTGTGTGTGTCCACTACACGTGTCCTCTCATGTTTGTGTGTGTGTCTGTGTATGTGTGTGTGGTGTGGTGTGTGTGTGTCCACTACACACATGCATCCTCTAGCATTTGTGTGTATGTGCGTGTGGTGTGGTGTGTGTGTGTCCACTACACACGTGTCCTCTCATGTTTGTGTGTGTGTCTGTGTGTGTGTGGTGTGGTGTGGTGTGTCCACTACACACGTGTCCTCTCATGTTTGTGTGTGTGTCTGTGTATGTGTGGTGTGGTGTGGTGTGTGTGTCCACTATACACGTGTCCTCTCATGTTTGTGTGTGTGTCTGTGTATGTGTGTGTGTGGTGTGGTGTGTCCACTACACACGTGTCCTCTCATGTTTGTGTGTGTGTCTGTGTATGTGTGTGTGGTGTGGTGTGTGTGCGTCCACTACACACATGCATTCTCTAGCGTTTGTGTGTGTGTGTGGTGTGGTGTGTGTGTCCACTACACACGTGTCCTCTCATGTTTGTGTGTGTGTCTGTGTGTGTGTGTGGTGTGTGTGTCCGTGTGGTGTGTGTGTGTCCACTATGCACATGCGCCCTCTCATGTTTGTGTGTGTGTCTGTGTATGTGTGTGTGGTGTGGTGTGTGTGTGTGTCCACTATGCACATGTGTCCTCTCATATTTATGTGTGTGTGTGGTGTGTGTGTGCCCGTGTGGTGTGTGTGTGTCCACTATGCACATGCGTCCTCTCATGTTTGTGTGTGTGTCTGTGTATGTGTGTGTGGTGTGATGTGTGTTTCCACTATGCACATGCATCCTCTCATGTTTGTGTGTGTGTCTGTGTATGTGCGTGTGGTGTGGTGTGGTGTGTGTGTCCACTATGCACATGTGTCCTCTCATATTTGTGTGTGTGTCTGTGTATGTGTGTGTGTGGTGTGTGTGTGTCCGTGTGGTGTGTGTGTGTGTCCACTATGCACATGTGTCCTCTCACGTTTGTGTGTGTGTGTCCACTATGCACATGTGTCCTCTCATGTTTGTGTGTGGTGTGGTGTGTGTGTGTGTCCACTATGCACATGTGTCCTCTCACGTTTGTGTGTGTGTGAGTGTGGTATGTGTGTGTGTCCACTATGCACATGTGTCCTCTCACATTTGTGTGTGTGTGTGTGTCCACTATGCACGTGTCCTCTCATGTTTGTGTGTGTGTGTGTGTGGTGTGTGTGTTTGTCCACTATGCACATGCGTCCTCTCTTGTGTGTGTGTGTGTGTTTGTGTGGTGTGTGTGTCCACTATGCACATGTGTCCTCTCGTGTGTGTGTGTGTGGTGTGGTGTGTGTGTGTGTGGTGTGTGTGTCCACTATGCACATGTGTCCTCTCGTGTGTGTGTGTGTGGTGTGGTGTGTGTGTGTGTGGTGTGTGTGTCCACTATGCACATGCGTCCTCTCTTGTGTGTGTGTGTGTGTGTGTGTGTGTGTGTGTGTGTGTGTGTGGTGTGTGTGTCCACTACGCACATGTGTCCTCTCACGTGTGTGTGCACGTTGTGTGTGGTGTTTCCTCCTCCCCAGTCTGGAGTGGCAGGCGGGCAGGACGCAGGATGGGGCTCAGCCAGCGACCCCGCTCCCAGCCATTGCCTCGGGGACAGAGGGACGGGCCCTGGAAACCTGTTCCATGACGCCCCGGGGACTCTGTCCCCACCTCCCACCGTCCCTCCATGCCCATCCCCCAACTCACGCTGAGCCTTTTCTCGGGCTCCACTTCGATCATCCCCCGCAGCAGGCTCTGGCAGTCTGGAGGGATGAAGTGGGGCATGTGGAAGACGCCCCGTTTCACCTTCTCCAGCAGCTGGCGGAGGTTGTCATCGTCGAAGGGCAGAGCCCCCTGCGTGAGGAGTGACAGGACCCCTTACACACAGAACTCAGTGTATACCAGACGAGTGCCTAAGTGCTTCACACGCAGTGACACGGTCAGTCCTCGCCACAAGCCCCGGGAGGTGGGGAGCGGGGGCTGTCTCCACTTTACAGATGGGGAAACGGAGGCATGGAGGCATCCAACCATTTGCACAAGACCACCTGGCTCTGAAGTGGCAGAACAGTGATTTGGCGATGGGCGGTGTGTGTCTAGCACCTAAAAGGCTGGGGTTGGAGCTTGGAGCCTGTCCTTTAAAAACATGCTTCTCCCCAGGTTAGGGAGGGGTAGGTAATCTTCATTCATTCCACAAAGACCGAGCCTCCTTACAGGTCGGGGATCCAGTGGTGAACAAAGCAAGCCCTTGACCGCCTGCAGCTCTGCTTGCAGGAGTGGGAGAGGCTGGTGATGCAGCAAACAGCTGTACAGTGACTGGGTGCCTAAGGTGACACTGGGCTGAATTAGGCAGACTAGGCCGAGCGAGGCCTGTGGGAATCTGGGGGTGTAGCAAGTTGAGTGGTGTCCCCCCAGAATTCCTGTCTACCCGGAAGCTCAGAATGTGACCCTGTTTACAATTACATCTCTGCAGATGTAATTCAATTACATCTCTGCAGATGTAATTCATTGAAGATCTGGAGGTGAACTCCTCCAGGCTTTCAGGAGGGGAACCCTAAATCCAGTGCCTGGAAGAGGAGGGGCGAGCACAGAGAGACACCCTTCAAGGACTTAAACACACAATGACAACTCTGTTAGCCGCCAGGGAGCAGACAGCCTCCCACTGGGAAATCTGACCTCATGGCGGGAGGGAGGGGGCCCCGGGGAGGCTTCCTGGAAGGGCGACGATTGAGCTGAGAGCTACAAGAACTCTAGTGTTAACCAGGTGAGCAACAGGGCTGGCAGGGACAGGACAGTAGGTGCAAAGGCCCTGTAGTCAGAGCTCATGTTCCCTAGTTTGGTTCTATTAATCCAGTTGTTGCTGTCCAGTCGCTGTCATGTCTGACTCATTGCGACTCCTTGGAGTGTAGTCCACCAGGCTCCTCTGTCCATGGGATTTCCCAGGCAAGAATACTGGAATGGCTAGCCATTTCCTTCTCCAGGGGAATCTTCCCGGACCAGGGATTGAACCTGCGTCTCTTGAGTGGCAGGTGGATTCTTGACCACTGAGCCACCAGGGAAGGCCCTATTAATCACTACATTAGGATCAGTTAGTAAGCAGCCGCTTGCCCGAGTGCTCCAAGTCCTCCTGGCCGCCCCATCCCTTCCCAGGGGACCCTCCAGACTTTCTCACAGTTCTGTAACTGGATAGTTGGCTCCGGGCACAGAGAGGGGTGCCCCCAGGATTTTGCTCTGTTGGTAAATAGCCCCCCCACACACTTTCCTGGTACCAGTTAAATATCTGGGAGACAACCCCTGAGTCGAGGGTGGAAGTAGATGTTCTGTGCTTCCAGCAGGTGGAGGACTGTTCTAGAAACAGGGTGGGGAGAGGCAAGGACGGCCTTACCACGAGCAGGGCGAAGAGGATGACTCCGCAGCTCCACATGTCAGCCCGGCGGCCATCGTACTTCTCGCCCTGGCAGGAGAAGGGCGGCCTTGAAGCTCACCTCTCCCGGGCCCCCCACCCCCGGCCGCTCCTCTCCCCCTCTGCCCGCCCCTCGCTCACCTTAATCACCTCCGGGCACGCATAGTGGGGGGACCTGAGGGACAGAGCGGGTGTGAGCCTCTGGCGGGCTTCTACCCGCTCCCTGGGGCGCAGGGGGCAGGCCCCCACTCACCCACAGCTGGTCTCCAGAAGGCTGTCCCCCACTTGCAGGGATGCCATGCCGAAGTCTGCGATGCGGATGTTGTTTTTCTCGTCCAGAAGCAGGTTCTCAGGCTTCAGGTCTCTGTGACTGAGACAGGATGGTGGGGCTCAGGCCTCCATCCTCTTCCCGGAGTCTGAGGACCACCCCCGAAGCCCCCCACCCCGCCCCGTTCACTATCTCTCAGAGGGGGAAGGAGTCTGGCAACTTCTAGTTAGGGACATTCGCAAACATGCCCCAAAGCAGAGACAAGAATGTGCCCACCCACTAGCTTCACCCGTTATCAGCTTGAGGCGCATCTCATCTCCACCCCTGCATATGCTCTCCTTTCCCCACTGGATGATTTCGCAGGAGACCCCCAGATGATGTCTCATTTTATCCACAGATATTTGAATATGTGCAAAGTGATCTTTTTTTGAGGTAAGCAGGGCTGGTACTGAGCTGGCTCTGAAAATATTCAAATATTTCAGGGCTTCCCCGGTGGCTCAGTGGTAAAGAATCTGCCTGCCAATGCAGGAGACGGGAGTCTGATCGCCGATCCAGGAAGATCCCACGTGCAGCGGAGCAACTAAGCCCCCGGGCTACAAATGTTGAGCCTGTGCTCTAGAGCCCAACTGGGGCAGCTACTGAAGCCCGCACTCCAGAGAGCCTCTGCCCCACAGCAAGAGCCACCGCAACGAGAAGCTCGCGCACCACAACTAGAGAGGAGCCCCCGCACAGCCAAAAAGAAATAAAAAGAATTTTTTTGAAAAATTCAAATATTTCAGAAAATTCCCAGGTGGTCCAGTGGTTAGGGCTCCCGGCTTCTACTGCAGGGAACAGGGGTTGGATTCCCTGATCAGGGAACTAAGACGCCACATGGCCCAGCCAAAAACAAAACAAAAATCAAATATTTCAATACTGAAGAATAAATAAAAAAAACTACTGTCAACTAAAGCCCATCATTGGTTCCTCCTTCGCCTTACCCCCCACCCTGGGACAAACTCCTTAGGATTTAAGGGTTAATGATGTCCTGGGGGAGGTGGGGCAGAAGGTTTTATAGTTTCTGTTGGAAGAGGTCCTTAACTGGGTCAGACTTGATAAATCTGCTGACTCTCGCCCCCTGGAGGCCAGTGTCTTTAATGTCAGGGTGCTGACACTTGTCAATAGGGAGGTGTTGACAGTTTAAAAGGGCTGCCTTTTCATCACCAAGCTTTGGTCCTAGGTCTCAGCCCCTTCAGCCTAATCCTCACCCCATCTCCAATCCCCTATCCCAGAGAGGGAGGTGTACAGACAAATGAGGCCGAAAGATGAACTGGAGGCTTCTATTTTGCACCTTAATTAATCATTAAAATGCTGCATATTGAATATCTTGTTTTGAGAGCTGAAAGCAACTGAATGAGGAAAGGAAGATCTTTTCATATGGACGACGTCCTTATGCAAAAAAAAAAAAAAATGACCCTCAGCTTTTACCCTTCACCATATACAAAAATTAATTTGAAATGGACCTCAAGCCTAAATGCCAGAGCTAAAACTACACAACTTCTAGAAGACATCAGAGGAAACCTTATGACTTTGAGCTAGGCAAATATTTCTTTTTTCTTTTTTTGGCCACACCCCACGGCATGTGGGATCTTAGTGTCCCAAGGAGGGATCTACCCCATGTGCCCTGCAGTGGAAACATGGAGTTTTAACCACTGGACTATCAGGGAGGTCCTTGGGCAAATATTTCTTAAATAGGAGAGAAAAAATATGAATTGTAAAGGAAAAAAAAACCCCAACAAACTGGCTTCATCAAAATGTGAAACCTTTGCTTTTCATAAGATATTGTTATAAAAATGCAAAAGCATGTCACAAACTGGGAGAAATTACTTGAAAAAAATATGCGTTTGATAAAAATATTTTTTTCTTAGAATAAGCAACTCTTGGGAGTTATTCCTAGAGTCATCCCTCATTCCTGGAATAAAGAACTCTTACAGCTCAATAATAGAAAGATAAATAACTCAATTAAAAATGGGCAAAGGATCTGAACAGACATTTCTCCAAAGAAGATATACACATGGCCAATAAGCACATGAAAGGATGCTCAACATCATTAGCCATCAGGGAAATGCACATCAAAACCACAATGAGATACCACTTCACACCCACTAGGATGTGTAGAATCAAAAAGTCAGATAATAACAAGTGCTGGCAAGAGATCGGAACCCTCAGAGACTGCCGGTGGGGATGGTGAATGACACAGCTGCTTTGGAAAATGGGCTGGCACTTCTTCCTTTCTTTATTTTTTGGCACTTCTTTAAAAGGCTAAATATAGAGTTCCCATATGACCCAACAACTCTGTTGTTGTTGTTTAGTCGCTAAGTTGTATCCAACTCTTTTATGACCCCATGGATTATATCCTGACAGGCTCCTCTGTCCATGGGATTTTCTAGGCAAGAATACTGGAGTGGGTTGCCATTTCCTTCTCAAGGGATCTTCCCAACCCAGGGATCGAACCTGCATCTCCTGCTTAGCAGGTTGATTCTATACCATTGAGCCACCTTGGAAGCCCTACCCAACAATTCTGATCCTAGGTATATACTCAAGAGAATTGAAAACATAGGTCACAGACCAAAACTTGTATGTAAATATTCATATGTCCACATTATTCATTATAGCCAGAAAGAAGAAACCACCAAAATGTTCACCAACTGGTAAATGGATAAGCAAAATATAGCAGAGCCATACAATGGAATATTACTCAGTCATGAAAAGGAATGGGGTACTGATACATACTACAACATGAAAACATTTTGCTAAGTGAAAGAAGCCAGCCACAAAAGACCACATTGATAGGAAATGTCCAGAATAGGTGAATCCACAGAGACAGAAAGTAGATTAGTGGTTACCCAAGGCTGGGGGTGGGGGGGAGGTGACTGCTTAAAGGGTACAGGGTAATGATTTTGGGGGTGATGAAATGTTCTAAAATTACATAGTAGTGATGCATATCATTGCAAATATGCACAAAACTACCGAATTGTACGCTCTGAAGGATGGATTTTATGCTGTAGGAAGCTTTTTTGTTTGTTTCTTTTGGTTTTTTGCCACACAGCGCAGCTTGCATGGTCTTAGTTCCCCGACCAGGGATTGAACCTGTGCCCCCTGCAGTGGAAGCATGGAATCCTAACCACTGGACTGCCAGGGAATTCCCTACGACGTGTGACTTATATCTCAATTTTGGAAAAGCGGGCTGTAGCACTCTGGCTTCAAGGCCTGCCTGTTGGGTAATGCTTGTCCCAGCCGCCCCCCCAAGCTGCCCCTCACCAGATGGAATAGCTGTGGCAGAAGTCCAGTGCTGACACGATCTGGCGGAAGAATTTCCGGGCCTCCTTGGGGGTCAGTCTCCCCTTCTTTACCAGGTAGTCGAACAGCTCACCTCCAGACACGTGCTCCAGAACCAGGTACCTGGGGGACACGGAGGGGGCAGAGGGCTGCAAGGGGCATGTGGAGGACCAAAGAGCCTGACCTCCTTCTTCCAAAAGTACAAGCCCTCAATGCCATTGGCCCTGGAGGCAGAGGACCCCAATTCCCATGAGTCCCCGGGAGGAGGAGCCTCCAATTTCCGTTAGCCTCTGGGAAGCAGAAACTCAATTCCATTAGCCCTGGCCAGCATGCCAACTCCAGAGGTCAACACTCTGACTAGTTTTCCTCAGGAGATGAGGCAATTCCATTAGCACCTGGAGGTCAGAGATCCCAATCCTCACAGGCCCCTAGGAAATAAAGCCCCGTATTTCCATCAGCCTCTGGGAAGCCAAAGTTCTCATTCTCATTAGTGCTTGGGATGCAGATAATGGAATTCTAATCTATTCTTGGGCAATCACACTCGCAATGTGTACTAATTCAACTGTCAACATCTGTGAGGTAAAGACTACACAACTCCCATCAGCCCCTGGGAAGTAAAGACTTCAATTCCCATCAGTCCTTGAGAGAAAGAGACAGTCTCATCAGCCTCTGGGAAGTCAAAATTGAATTCTCATCAGCCCCCTGGCAGCACAGATTCCCATGTCAACTTCAAGAGTATTAATACTTTGAATCCCAGTTGTTTCCGGAGATAAGGCAACTTCATTAGCACTTGGAAGAAAGAGATCCCCCCGATTCTCACAGGACTTTAGTCAATAAAGACCACGCCACCCCCACCTACTCCCATTAGCCCCTGGGAAGGCAAGTCTCTTACTCCCATGAGCCTCTGAGATGAAGAAACTAGAATTCTCATTAATTGTTGGCAAAAACAGATTGGCTTGTGCACCAATCTAAGTCAACTTCCGTGAAGTAAAACACTGCAACTCCCTTCAGGTCCTGAGAGGTTAAAAACTCCCAACTCCCATAAGGCTCTGGGACATGGAGACTCCTAATTCCCATCAGCCACCTGGATTTTAAAGACTCCAAATCCCATCAGGCTCTGGGAGGCTAAACCTCTAATTCCCATCAGCCCCAGGAAAACAAAAGCTCAATTTCTATGAGCTAAATGGAAGGCTGAGGTTCCTCTGTGAGACAGAAGTCCCACGGGCCCTCCTTCCCAAGGATGGTGGAGTGAGAGTGATAGCTCCACCAATGGGCAACAATGGCCCCTCCCTGCCACCACACCTGGGGAAAGCCTGAGGACTACAAATCCCATGAGCGCCTGGGGCCGGGGCAGCTTCCTTCCTGGGGAAATCCAGCCTCCGATGGGTGCTGGAGTCAGTTCAAACTGGGGACTTCGAGGTCTCGCGGGGCGGGGGGGGGGGGGTGTCCCCTCTCCTGCTGCCCAGTCCAGCTGTCCCTTGGGTCACCAGAGTCCAGACAAAGGCCTGTTGTCTGGAGCCGGGACAGCTGGACCCCACCCCCAACCTAAGGGGGGGTGGTAATCGACTTCCAGATATAGACTCAGAACTCCTGAGCAGACCCATTGTTGGGGTGTCCAGTTATAGCACCCAGGGTTATGCTGCGGGAGGAAGGAAGCCTCCAATGCTGCAGAGAAAGGGTTTGGGAAGAGGCAGGATTCACTGAGCCTGGGGCTCAGTTAGGCCCCATTGCCCTAGCACATGGGAAGGGCAGGGGGATCTGCCCTTAGCAAGTCAGATCTGGCTGAGGGTACCCAGATTATGCGGTACAGAGTGTTCCCCACAGCACAGCAGAGCGATGGGGGGCTGAGGAGGAAGGGGGAGGGTCAGCCTTGTCCCCGATCGGGCACGGGGACGGCTCAGGCTTAGCTGCCCTGCTGCCAGGATACAATCGGCCCAGAGCGTCAGGCCAGGTCAGCATGGGAACACAGAGGATTATGAGTGTGTGTGTGGGGGGGGTTGTCCTTGTGCAGTAGAGACGGGACGGGACCTTCAGTGGCCCGGCCAAGAGAGCTTAAGTTTCCCCTGGCTCCTCCAGGCCTTGATTCTGGAAACATCCCGCCCTGGGAACTTGGGGAGGATGCATGGAGGGCTGGGTGTCTATAAATACCTACAAATATTTCTTGTTCTCGTAGACGTCGTGGAGTTTGAGGACGTGCGGGTGCTCGATGAGCTTCAGGATGGCTATCTCCCGCTCCACCTGGGGGAAAAGGAACGGCGGACGGTCAGCCTTGCCTCCCTCCCTGTCCCCAGCCCCAAAGGGCCCCCTCTCCCCCAGCACACAGACACACCTTCATCAGCACTGACTCAGACAGCTTCTCCCGGTTCACGATCTTGATGGCCACCTTCTGGCCCGTGATGCAGTGGACCCCGAGTTTAACCAGACCTGGGGGAATGGGATAGAAAGTGTGGGGAGTGCTCCCAGGGCAGTCTCCCCACCTCTGGCTCCTAAGCACCACCACGCCCACCCCCCCTCCTTTTTCCCCACCTGGCCCGAATCACCCTGACCTGAACTCCTGGGGGCTGACAACAGCCATTCCCGCCACACACAACTCTTTTTCCACTCCCTGTTGTCCAATTCTGTCCCTTCTGGCTGTCCCTCCACCGACCTGCCTCCCCCTCCCTCCACAGCCACCCTGGACTCTCCATCCTTTCCGAGTGCCCCTTCGAGTTCACCTCTCCACACCGTCTTGCCTCACTGAGCCTCCACAGTTTTGAGTCCTCCAGTCTACCTCCTTCAGACAAACGTCTCTCTCTCTCAGCCCATCACTTCCTTGAGTTCTCTACCCTTTAATCTTCTGGAGACACCATGTCTCCCAAGGAATATAATCTTGTGATTGCCCCCTTCCCAGACCATCCTCCTCCACCTCCTCTCAAACCCAGACCTCTCAAGTCCTTTCTTTGATCTTTTAAAAACAGCAGCTGCAGCTGGGAGCATGCACACCCCAAGGGTATGCCCACTCCCCAAGGTTAAGCCCCAAACCCAGGAATGCAGGCCCCCAGCCCCCTCCACCCTCAGACCCAGGAGTCCGAGCCCCCAGCCCCTCCTCCCTCAGACCCTCAAGTCCAGGCTTATGGCCCCTTCCTCCCCCACAATTCAGGAATTGAGGTCAGCAACACCTTCACACTTTTTGCCCTGGGATGCGGAGTCTGACCCTCCCCCAGGCCTGGCCCCTGATCCCAAAGCTCTGGCCCAGGACTCAGGTATCCAGCTCCTGTCTTACCCCACCCAGCGCCCACCTGGCAGGAAAGAGGTTACGGAGGTTAAGCAACAACAGAAGATGACCGCCCCCCACCACCAGGTCCACAGCCACCCCTGACGGATTTGCCTCCTGCATCCACCTTTCCACCTCCCCGTCCCCACTCTGAGCCAGCATGCTGGAGAAAGGGCAGGATGCTGGAGACCCCATCGCCCCAGCCTCAGTGCCCCTGTCACCCCAACAGAGGCCCTCCGCGGTCAGAGGACAGTGCAGAGAGATGCCGCTTCGGGAGGCGCACCCCCATGCCGGCACCTCACCCCAGCCTGCGGCGGTACTGCACCAAGGACCTGGGCTCCCGGCGGCCGGGATCCTGGCTGCAGGCCGAAGTCCCTTGCCCATGTTGGGGCCGGACCCTCCAACCTCTGCCCCCAAAGCAGGGGAGCCTTTGGGCCCGCACCTCCCCCAGAAGTCGGGACCCCAGAGTCCGACCCCTCACCCCCTCAGCCTGGGGATCCGGCAGTCTGGAACCCGAGTCCCTTCTCTGAGAGGGTCTCGGGGGCCCGGGAGTCCCGCCCTCTGCCCCCATCGCCCCTCGCCCCCACCCCGGGTGCCCCCTCCCCTGGCTCACCTGTCTGTCCTTTGCCCAGCGTCTTCTCCAGCCGATAGGGGCCCACATATTGGGCGTGCTGGGGTGGGTGTGGGTGTGGGTGTGGGAGGTGGTAGGCGGGAGAGCCCCCGCCCCCATCCTTGCCCCCGGACGACATGATGCCCTTGGTCCCGGCCCGACCGGCCCCCCGGCCGCCCCCCCTGCGGCCAGTCGCCCCGTCCCTCCGGTGGGGGCCGGCGACCGCTCCGTCCCGGCCCCCCCGGCTGCCCCCCACCTCTCCGGGGGTCCCCAGGGGGCTGGGCTGGGGCCCCCCCAGTCGGCGGGCCGCGGAGTTGGGGGAGGGGGGGCTGGCCCGGGGGGGTCAGGCCCCGGGAGTCAGCATGGCCCGGGGGGGCTGCGCGGCCCCCCCTCCCCAGCCCGTTTCTGGCCGGCCCCCCCCTTCCTGCGCCTCCCCCCGCCGGGGGGGCTCTGAGGTGCGGGCCGGCGGATGCTGCAGGCCGAGGTCCCCCCCGCCCCCCCACGCGCCCTCTCTCCTCCGCCTCCTCCTCCTCTCCGCCTCCCCCCGCCACCTCGTCCTTTCTCTCCGGCACGCTGACATCACCATCCGGGGACTCCGGGCCCTTCCCCAAAGTTAACCCTTTCGGAGGGGGAGGGGGAACGGGGGCAGGGGGCGGGCCTGGGCGCCGGAGCCGCGGAGCCGCGGAGACGCGGTGGGAGGATGCTGGGAGCGACGGAAGGATGCAGGAGGGACCATGGAGGCGAACGAGCGGGACGCACAGGAGGGGCAGAGTCGGGCCGACACAAAGGGAGACGGAGCCGGACACGAGTGGGGAAAGGAGACAGACGGCACGGGAGACGGGGACCGGCAGAACCGGGGCTGGGGCCGGATAGGGAGACGGGGAGCCGCGCAGGCAGGCAGAGACAGGACAGAGCCAGGGGCAGCAGAGACACAGGGAGACGGAGGAGAGGGGAGAAGGTGCCTGCGAGAGACAGAGGGATGGAGAAAATCAGAGAGAGAAATGGAGAGAGATAGGGGAAGGGAAAGAGGTGGAGAGACAGGGGATGGGGGAAGGGGTGGTGGTGTTAGAGACACACATATGGAGGGACGGCCGGGCAAAGAGATGAACCGAAAACAGAGCCAGAGACAGGGAGAGACTGAGCGTAATGGAGGAGAGAGACAGTGGTTGAGAGATGGGGAGAGAAATGGACAGAAATAGACGGACGGGGGCAGAAGGGGCAAGATACAGAGGTGGGGCACTGGGGGAAGATGACAGGAACGATGGAGGGTCAGAGAGAGGAGAAAAGTGGGAGAGAGAGGGAGACCCACAAGGGAGGAGGAAGAGCAGAGAGACAGGTGGACAGAGGGAAGACAGACAGATGGAGAGAGCGAGCGACAAATAAGCATAGGGCTGGGAACCCCAAAATATGGGGGGTAAACACAGGTGGAGGTCTAGATGCTGGCGGGAGACAGGACAGATTGGAGGGACAGAGGAAAGAGGGAGACAGAAGCGGGAGAGGGAAAGAAGTTGGGGAGTTGCTGATCCAACTCCTGTCTCTGTTCCCCTTGACCCCCAATCTGCCCATCCCAGCCTCCTTTCCCACTAGCACTGAGGCCCCATATCCACCCACGGATCAGGGTGCATGTTTTTAAATATCTTGGATCCATACCTCCATTGAGAATACGCCACAATCCTCCTACAGAGAAATTTCCAGAACCCCTTGAGGTCCTTGTGAATTTTCTGGCCACTACCTATTCTCTGTGTCCACCACCAGATTCCCTAGTTCTTCATGGGGGCTCCACTATAACTATATGTCCCCAGTCTAGGTCATCCGTGTGCTATAATCATGTATCCCCACTCTAGGTCATCCATGAACCTGTGCACAGCTGGATTTCCATGTGACCTGGGATTCTGCTCTGTCAGATACCCAAGGATGTTAGGCCCCCGTTTCATCCCCAAGTCTCCTATAGAGTGTACCCATGAGCCTTAAGTCCCCTAGTCAACCACTTTCATTCCATGATGCTATACTCCGTGCCTAATCTGAGCCAGACACTCTTCCAAGTGGTGAGGCTACAGCAGTGAACCAGGTCAACCAAGATCCTTGTCCCATGGACTGCTCATTGCAGTGGGTGAGGCCAGAAATAAGCAAGATAAACAATCAATATATATGCGGGGAATTCCTTGGCGGTCCAGTGGTTAGGACTCCGTGCTTCCACTGCAGAGAGTACGGCTTCCATCCCTGGTTGGGGAACTAATACCCCACAAGCTGTGAGGCCAAAAATCAAAGCAAGCGAACAAACGGAAGATACATGGTATGTTACAGAGTCATGATCAGTGACAAAGAGGAAACAAGGAAGGAGGGGGTCTTTAAATTTTTATTTATCTCTTGGCTGCACCGGCTCTTCATTGTTGCGCACAGCTTTCTCTAGCTGTAGTAGACGGGGCTACTCTCTAGTTGCTGTGCGCTAGCTTCTCTTGCAGTGGTTTCTCTCGTTTCAGAGCACCAGCTCCAGGCACACAGGCCTCAACAGTTGTGGCTCTTGGGCTCTAGAATGCAGGCCCAGCAGTTGTGGTGCACGGGCTTAGATGCCCCACAGCAAGTGGGATCTCCTGGACCAGGGATCAGACCCATGTCCCTTGCTTTAGCAACCACTGGACCACCAGGGAAGTCCAGGAGGTGCTTCTTGAGTGATTTTTCTATGTGATTTTCAGTTACAGTGCCAAGAGAGGCCTCCTCAGTGAAGGGACATTGAAGGAAAATGAGGCCATGTGGATTAAGCACCAGGAGCCTTCCAGGCAGAGGAAGCAGCTGTGCAAAGGCCCTGGGGCAGAAGTGTGCCTGGTGTGCAATGGGAAGGCTGAAGCGTGGCTGGAGGGGCACAGTGGAGAGTGCAGTGGGAGGAAATAAGGTGAGGAAGGAGACCCAATAGGGCCTTAGAAACAGGGTGACCAGGGGATTTCCTGGTGGTCCAGTGGCTAGATTCAGCATTTTCACTGCTAGGGCATGGGTTGGATCCTGGTCAGGGAACTAAGATCCTGTAAGCCGTATGATGTAACACAAAAACAAGACAAAACCAAAAAAAACCAGGGTGACCATATGTCCTGGTTTATGTCTTTTATTCTGTAATTATTAATAGGGTCTGTTTTCACTCTCAAGTGTCTTGTGGATGAAAAATTATATGATCATCCTTCTTATTGGTCATTGTAAAGGCTATGGCTTTTATAGGGTACCTGGGGAGTTTTCATCTAGGCTACCATTGTATTACACATATGTTCATATGTGTAATGACATGTACAATTACATGCCACAGGTATATATACAGCATTATGTATCATGATGTATGTAAATCGTATTATAGTTAGATAGACTTTTACATACATGTACATAGGTACAGTAGGCTGCATGTGTGTGCTCAGTCACTTAGTCATGTCTGATTCTTTGTGACCCCACAGACAGTAGCCCACCAGGCTCCTCTGTCTATGGGATTTTCCAGGCAAGACTACTGGAATGGATGATCATTTCCTCCTCCAAGGTGGGGAATCTTCCCAACCTATGGATCAAACCTGCATCTCCTGCATTGCAGGCAGAATCTTTACCACTGAGTCATCAGGGAATCGGAGAAGGCAATGGCAACCCACTCCAGTACTCTTGCCTAGAAAATCCCATGGATGGAGGAACCTGGTAGGCTGTAGTCCATGGGGTTGCTACAAGTGGGACACGACTGAACAACTTCACTTTCACTGTCACGCATTGGGGAAGGAAATGGCAACCCACTCCAGTGTTCTTGCCTGGAGAACCCCAGGGATGGGGGAGCCTGGTGGGCTGCTGGGTATGGGGTCGCACAGTCAGACACGACTGAAGCGACTTAGCAGCAGTAGCAGCATCAGGGAATGCCCAAAGATGTCCACGTTGTAATTCTGTGAACCTGTGAATATGTCACCTTACTCAGCAAAAGGGTCTTTGCAGATGTGACGGAGCTGAAAATCTTAGATGCGCAAATTTTCCTGGTTATTACATTTGTGCCCTAAATGTAATCACAAACTTTCTTATGAGGGGGAAGCAGGAAGATCAGTCAGAGGAGGAGACGGGATAAGGAAGGAAACCGAAGCCAAAATGGGGACTTCTCTGGTGGTCCAGGGGGCTGGGTTCAATTTGAGGTTAAGGAAATAGATCCCAGATGCCTCAACCACAGCTAAGACCCAGGGCAGCCAAAAAAAAAAAAAGCAAAATGATGCAGCCACAAACCAAGGAATGTGGGCAGCCTCTAGAAGCTGAAAAAGGCTGAGAAACAGATTCTTCCCTGGAGCCTCCAGAAGGAACACAACCTTGATTTTAACTACCTGAACTCAGTGAGACCCTCGTTGGGCTTCTGAACTGTAAGTAGGCCATCAAGTTTCTCAGTAATCTGTTAACAGCAGAGATAGGAAATGGGAGTACCCAGGAGCCCAGATCCATGTCTGACAATCTTCCTCAGTGCCACACACTCACACACTCACACACACACACACACACACACACACGTTTGGTCTTCCTATTTCTGTCCAAAAGATCTCCAGCACATCCCACACCCAGCAGTGTGCTCAATATACCTTTGACTGCGGGCCCCACCAAAGTTGAGTATAACCTTCTCCTGGAGTGGGAGGGCCTTGTACGGAAGACTAGAATTAGGATTTCTTTAAGCCTAGCCCACAGTCCCAGACCTGAACCCTAAATCTGGTGCAGGTAGGCCTCGAGCTGCCTGAACCACCGTGCGCGGGCATTTTACTTCCCCGCTTCAAGAATCAGCTCTGGCGCACCTCACAGGACCCAGAAAAGATCCCACGAGGGAGATGCTGGGGGAACGCTAAGAGTGGTCTGCACCGGAAGTGCAGTGGGGAGAATGGGGAGCCCCCTACAAGGAAAGGGGAAATAGAGGCCAAGAGCTGTCTGGAATAGGCCAGACACCGCCCGGCTCAGATATTAGTGCTGGCAACACAGGGAAGCCCAGGCAGAGTTCAAAGAGCCCCAAGGCTGCAGGACTCCAGCTGTTAGCTATAACGGGGTGGGGGGTGGGGGGGCGGGTGGCCAGAGTGGGGCGGGGCTTAACGGGGAGCGGCGGGCGCTCCGGCCCGCGGGGCGGGTCTTAACTGGGAGTGGCCGAAAGCCCTGGAACAGGGGCGGAGCCTGAAGCGGCGGGGCGGGACGGAGCGCAGAACCAGGGCAGTGGGCGTGGGCGGGGCCTAGCCGGGGGCGGAGCCGACCGGAGGCGGGGCCTACGGGGCAGGGGTGGAGCTTGTAGTGAGGATGAGGAGGTGGGGCCTATCGGGGGCGGGACCCGGGCCGGGGCGGGGCTTTGGCCGGGGTGTGCGCGCGCCGGGCGTGGCCCGAGCGAGGGGCCGGGCAGAGCCAGGTGTCCCGCCAGGTGGGAAGAACTTAAGAGCCCGGGGAATCCGCCTCACGGCCCCAATTGGTGTGACTGCGCCAGGAACTTCCGGGCCAGACCGTGCGTGTTTCCGGTCAATATGGCGGCGCCCAGTAGAGTCAGGTGCGGGCGAGTCTATCTTCGGTAGCGGCGGCGACACGAGGCTCGGGGAGGTGAGGTCCGCCCCGCTCTGGCTCCCCTCGTCGGACAGGAGGGAGGGGACCTGTCGCTAAGATGACCAAAGGGAGGGCTTCTTGCTCTGAAGGCTGGCAGTGGGGTTGCTAAGAGATGGGAACGACCGCGGTGGAGATGGAGGAGGGGGTTGCTAGGGATAGTGGGTGGGGCCTGTTGCTAGGGAGGAGGGAGGGACTGCTGACTTTGGGGAGGGGGCCTGTTGGTATGGAGGAAGAAAAGGGGGCCAGGGTTAAAGGAGGTGTGGGCAGCGTGGTTTGGAGTCATGCGGGGCCGCCGAGCTCCCCTAAAACGCCACCTTCTCAGCAGACCCCCAGGAGTCGACCCGTCGGGACGCCAGAGATACTTCAGTGGTGACCACCCCCTACCCCAACACATTCTTGCTTTCTTCGCAAACTGCCCATGGCGAACCAGGGCTCCGGGGGCAGTCGCCTTCCCCTGGCTCTGCCCTCAGCCTCCCAGGATTGCTCGTCAGGGGGCAGCGGCTCCTCCGAGGGCGGCTCAGGCCATCCCCCGCCCCCGCGAAACCTCCAGGGCCTGCTGCAGATGGCCATCACGGCGGGCTCTGAAGAGCCAGACCCCCCTCCAGAACCCATGAGTGAGGAGGTAAAGGGCGGGGGCCCGAGAAGGTGGGGTGAGCGGTGTGGGAACAGAGAGATCCGGAGAGGGGCGGTCGTGCCGGTGTGAAGGCATAGGAGGCTGTATTTGTGCTCCATAGGGTTACTGTAGACTGAAGGTCAGATCCCGGGACCCTGCACTGTGCGGGAAGGCAGAATAACTTAATGGTAAAAAAAAGAAAACGCCAAGGGCACCGCCATAGCGAGACAGACACGGCTTCAGTATGTTACAGCTGTGTGACCTTGGGGGTATCAGTGCATCTTTCTGAGCATCAGTTTTCAATTGCAAGTTGAAGTTGATGATAAGGAGAGTGGCCCTTCACAGGGTAGTTCTGAGAGTCCTGTTGAAGTGGGTCTCAACATCGCACCTGGCACACAGGCTGTGCTCCCGAAGGCAGCAGGATATTCTCATTAGGAACAGACTCTCATAAGAGTTCTGTGGACAGACCATTTAGGTTTGACTTAGGCGTTGTGGTTGGCTGACTGTGTGACCTTGGGCAATTCACCCTTTTCTGTGCTTCCATTTTCTCATCTGTGAAGTGGGAATAGCAGTAGTATTAATACTTAACCATGGAAGGTTGTTCTGGAAGTCGAGAACAATATTTGCTATATGGATGTTTACTTGGCGGTGACAATTGCAGTGTATGAAACATGCTAATACAGTAACATCCATGAAGTTGTTGAACCTCTAGGACCACGATGTGGGCCAACAGGCACGGAAAAGATTAACATCTTGCCCAAATTTATCCAGGACTATGACTTCAGATCCTTCATATGAGCACTTAGTACAGAGTCGGGCCAAAAAGAAAAAAAAACCCAGTGGCCAGTTCTCAGTGCTTATCTTATTTGACCTACTAGCAGCATTCAATGACGACCCCGTCCCCTTGAGCTCTTTCTTCATTTGGCTTCTGGAACATGGACCAGCGTGGTTTTCTGGTTTTCATCCCACTCACTGGCTCTTTTTCCCCATCGCCTCTGTTGGTTCATACTCATTTTCCAGTCCCTCGACCGTGGAGCATAGCAGCACTCTCTCTTCTACACTCACTTCCTGTGTGATCTCACGTTGGGTTGAGGTTTTACTCTGTTGACTCTCAAGTTTATATCTAGGCCAGTGGTTCTCTCCTGGAGGGACTGTTTTAACCACATTTGGCAATGGGCGGAGACATTCTTGGTTGTTGCAAACTGGCAGGTTGTGGGGGTGGGGGCAGTGCTGTTGGCATCCCGTGGGTGGAGGTCAGGGATGCGGCTCAGCGTTCCCCAGTGCGCAGATGGCCCCCACTGCAGAATGGTCCAGCTCAGGGTGTCAGTAGGGTCAAGGCTGAGAAATCCAGGTCCAGGCTGGCCCTCCTCCCTGAGCTTTAGGCATCCTTCTCAATATTTTGCCTTGTGTGTGTCACGGATCCCTCAAACTTAACAAGTTCAAAAATGAGCACCAACTTCTACTCGTCTCACTCCACACCTGCTTCTCTTGCCATCTGCCCTGTCTCCTCCTAGTTGTTCAGGACAAGAACCTAGGTGTCGCTGGCCCTTCTTTTCCCATCACGCCCCACAGCCAGTCTCTCCATAGATGCAGTGTCCAGAAGAGAGTGTTAGTGGGAAAGGTGCCTGGGAGGTGTCTGTTGAGGAGTTGAAGGACACTCCGCCCTCAGTTTTGGCTGTTACTATTATTTTTTCCTTTGCCCGTGCCTCTTGGCATGGGGAACTTCCCTGACCAGGGATCAAACCTGTTTCCCTTGCAGTGGAAGCGCCAACTCTTAACCAGTGGACCGCCAGGGATGCCCCGGCTGTTATTAGTAATGACTGTTACTCCTGCCTGGAGAATCCCAGGGATGGGGGAGCCATCTCTGGGGTCACACAGAGTCAGACACGACTGAAGCGACTTAGCAGCAGCAGTTACTCCTGAGTCAATTATTGATAAGGTTTGCTTCTCTCTCCCGCCCCGCCTCATCCTGTAGAGGCGCCAGTGGCTGCAGGAGGCCATGTCGGCCGCCTTCCGGGGCCAGCGGGAGGAAGTGGAGCAGATGAAGAATTGCCTCCGGGTGCTGTCCCAGCCCACGCCGTCCTCGGCTGGCGAGGTTGAACTGGCCGCTGACCAGCAGGAGCGCGAGGGAGCCCTGGAGCTGCTGGCGGACCTGTGTGAGAACATGGACAATGCAGCAGGTACAGCCAGGCCCGCCCCGGCCTGCCCCCACCGCCAGGGTCCTGCCCTGCCTCCCTGTCTGCCTCTGTCTCTTGCTGCCTCTTCCTTCTCCCCCCTAGGTCCTGCTGCAGCCCAGTCCTTTGTCCTTTGCCTCAGTCACCATGCAACCCACCTCCTCCCCAGCCTCCCAGCCTCCCCACTCCAGTCTGGCTCTGACTCAGGCCCCAGTTGAGACTGCCCTGTGCCTCCCTGCTTGGTCTGCCTGCCATCAGGGGCAACGATGGCACCAGGTCCCGTCCACTGCCTCCCTGATGGGACTGACCATCTCACCCTGGTCCGCCGGGAGCCCCGTGGCATTCCCCAGAGTAAGAGACATGAGGTGGTCCTAGATGGGGTGGTCAGGGAAGGCCTCCCCGAGGGGTAACACGTGATCAGGGACCTGAAGGGAGGCCGCAAGTCATGGGATCAGCTCCGGAAAAAAGTATCCCAGGCAGAGGGAACGACCCGTGCAAAGGCCCTGAGGTGGAAACCTGCCTGGCCAGGGTGGGAATAGCAGTGAGGTGGGCAGAGCAGAGCGGAGTGAGTGAGGGGCGAGGGCTGGGCAGTGACCTGCGCTGGGCATACAGCGGCTCCCAGGCCAAGGCTGGTGCTGTGGGTTTCATCTCAAAAGGCTGAGAAGCCGCTAGAAGGATGAGTTGCCACTTCCACTTAGAGTGGTGTGGCGTGGCGTAGTTGTTGAGGATGTAATTTGTCTGTTCTGGACATTTTATGTATGAGGGATAGTAGAATTTGTGACCTTTTTGCTACATGCTTCCTCCTGCAAGTGTGATATTTTCAAGGTTCTTGCAGATCGTAGCTGTATCAGAAATTTATTCCTTTTTGCAGCTAATATTCTAGTGTGTAGCTAGGCCATGTGCCGTTCATCCATTGATGGACATTTGGTCATTTCCCCCTTCGGTTATTGTAAATAATCTTGCTGTGGACACTGGGGTACAAGCAAGCACCTGTTCCAGTTTCTGCTCTTGAGGCTTGTGGATACATATGCTGGAGCGGTCACATGGTAACTCTCTTTCACTTTCTGAAATACAGCCAGGCTGACCAGTTCAGAAAACAGATGTTGGGCTGTAGACTGCAGACCTCTGGTGTGGTATGGTCTGTTTCCCCAGGGGATGTTCAGATTGTCACAGACTGGGTGTCAGAACTGGCATTTGGTGGGCTGGACCCTAGGCCCCTGACCTTGTTGAGACACACTGGCCTTGGACAGACCCCCAGTTGGGTGCCTGGGGAGGGCCAGCCCTTGGAGGCAGGCTCCCCTCAGCTTCAGCCGGTTTTCCTTCCATGCTGGCTGCCCTAACAAAGCAGCATGGACTGCGGGGCTTCAACACGAGGAATCTGTTCTCTCACAGCTCTGAAGGCTGGAAGTCTAAGGGTCAGTTTCTTCTGAGGCCCCTCTCCTTGGCTTGTATGTAGGGAGCTTCTCGCTGTGTCCTACATGGTCATCCCTCTGTGCCTGTCTGTGTCCTAGTCTCCTCTTTTTATAAGGGCACCATTCCAATTGGATTAGGGCCCTATCCTGTGACATTATTTCACCTTGTATGTATGTATCCTGAGTCGCTTCAGTTGTGCCAGACTCTTTGCGACCCCATGGACTGTAGCCCACCAGGCTCCTCTGTCCATGGGGATTCTCCAGGCAAGAATACTGGAGTGGGTTGCCATGCCCTACTCCAGGGGATCTTCCCCACCCAGGGATTGAACCTGTGTGTCTGCATTGACAAGTGGCTTCTTTGCCACTAGCGCCCCCTGGGAATCCCCTGGGGGTTGGGGCTTCCATGTAAATCTGGGGGTAGGACCCAGCTCAGCCCGTCACAGCTGGCCTGCCTGCTGCCTTCTCCCCCCAGACTTCTGCCAGCTGTCGGGCATGCACCTGCTGGTGGGCCGCTACTTGGAAGCGGGGCCGGCGGGGCTGCGGTGGCGGGCGGCGCAGCTCATCGGCACGTGCAGCCAGAACGTGGCGGCCATCCAGGAGCAGGTGCTGGGCCTTGGCGCCCTGCGCAAGCTGCTGCGCCTGCTGGACCGGGACCCCTGTGACGCGGTGCGCGTCAAGGCCCTCTTCGCCATCTCCTGTGAGTGTCCCGGTCGCGGGGGTGGGGGGTGGGGTCGCTCTGCTCAGCGAGCGGACCCTTGGGACGAGGGGCGAGGCCCAGAACTCTGAGGCCCCTCGGGGCTGTCGGCTGCCGCGCTGTGGACGTCCGGGCTGATCAACCCCGTCACGGCGGTCCTCGGGCGGGTGGGGGGCGGTTCCTCAGGCGGGAGGGTCCTCGGGCTGGGGGGCTGCAGAAGTGTCCTGACAACGTGGCAGTCCACTTCTGCAGAGAACGTATGCAGTCCTGGACACCCCACAGGCGCTCAGAAAGGAATGCCTCTTATTCATTTTTTTTGGTACCTCTTAAAACCCACCCCTGCCCTGTCCTCCCCGCTACCTCACTGGTAGCCACTACATTTGTGAGTCTCCTTTTTGGTTACATGCAGTAGTGGTTTTACTTCTTAGATTCCACACATAAGTGATAGCACACAGTATTTGTCTTTCTCTGTCTGACTTCCCCAAGCCTAAAACCTCCCAAGTCCATCCATGCTGTTGCAAGTGACGAGATTTCATTTTTCTCTCTTACGGCTGAGGCCTTTTATCTTTTAGAAACTGATGTAGAATTTGCATAACTATTTTAAAGTGTACAATTCAGTGGCATCTGTGGTCTTTTTTGGGGTGGTGGGCGTGGTTGCGGGGTACGCCGTCCTGCAGCACGTTCCATCTGGAAAGTGCCTGGTACCAGCCAGCCCTGGGGCTACCAGCCGCCTTGGTGGTTGGTCTCCTGACTGCTCCTGCTGCCCGGTGCGTGGAGGCTCACGGCGGTTGACCCTCTGGCAGCAGACCAAGAGGGGTTAGATGGCGGAGGACTGGGTGTGGTGAGGGGGAGGGGAGTGCCCCGGGAGATGTGGCTCCAGGCTCCTGGCACTGGCTGGGCTCAGGCCCGGGGTGCCGCTCAACCCCCTCCAGCGCACAGCGCAGCCCCGGGACACAGGGAGTGGGCCCAGCGGAGAGGCCCCCGAGTGGAGGGCAGCCGTTGCCCCTGGATACGACCTCACGGCAGAGCCAATAGGCTGTGCCCACTGAGCAGACGCGGAAGGTCATCAGGTCTACCTCCCCATCTGCCGGTCTTTTTTTTTTTTTTTTTTAAACTGAGTAACAGTTTATTTAACCCCACATAGACAAACTATTATCGTTTCAGCCCATCGTTATGTGGCATGTTAATAAGCTACTTTAGATCTTTTTTTTTACCCCCCACATTACGTCTTTGAAACCTGGTGTGTATCCTGCACATAAGCATCTCAACTCAGGCTGCATTTTCAGCGGTCAGCATGGAGCGAAGTTCTAGTGAAGGGACAAAGTTGTGCTTCATGGGAAAATATCATACCACCGCTTCACCGCTTAACTTTAAATTGAAATGAATGAAACTCAACTGAGATTAATAACTCAGGTCCTCAGGGGCACTTGTCAGGTATTTAGTGGCCACGGGTTTCTGGAAACTCCTGTCTGTCTTGGCCTAGACCCTGCCCAAGGGCGGGCACCTAACTGGAAGTGCACCCTGCAGGCTGGTTCTCATCGTGCGTGGAGGCCGTGCAGGATTCCTGGCACCCTCACGATGTAGTCTGGCTCTCTGCTCTTAGTTTCCTCATCAGTAAAATGAGAGTCACCTCCTAGGGTGGTGTGGAGAGTTAAAAAGAGATAATGTGCTCATCAGAGGATGCAGGAACAAAATGGATAGTCATACAGTGGGTACTGTTCAGCTATTACAAGGAAAGAAGTTACTGATTCATGCTGTAACCTGGATGAGCCTGGAAGACATTATGCTGAGTGAAAGAGGCCAGGCACAGAAGGCCACAGAGTGTATGATTCCATTCTTGTGAAATGTGTGGGATGGGCAAATCCATGGAGAGCAGATCAGTGGTTGCCCGTTGCCGGAGAGGCCACTAACCAGTACAGGGCTTCTTTTGGGAGTGATAAAATCATTCTGTTGTTAGATAGTTATGGTCAGCCAACCTTGTGAATATACTGAAAACCACTGAATTGTATCCTTTAAAAAGGTAAATTGTACAGGCTATGGAATTGTGTCTCAGCTAAAAATATTTAAAGGTAATGCTTACGAAGCATGGACCCATAGAAATCCACGGTGGTGATGATGGTGATGGTGGTGAGAATGGTGGTCCAGAAGGTGATGATTGTGGTGTTTATGGCGGTGGTGGTGATGGTAGTGGTAGTGATGATGATATTTGTAGTGATGATGGTGATGAGGGTGGTGGTCTTGCAGGTGATGGTTGTGGTGTTTATAATGATGATAATGGTGGTTGTGATGGTGGTGGTGGTGATGACTGGTGTTTCTAGTGCTGATGGTAGTGGTAACAATGATGATATTGGTGGTGGTGATGGTGACTGGGACCTCAAGGCCCTGCCTCCCCCCTACCCAGGCCTGGTCCGGGAGCAGGAGGCCGGGCTGCTGCAGTTCCTCCGCCTGGACGGCTTCTCCGTGTTGATGCGGGCCATGCAGCAGCAGGTGCAGAAGCTCAAGGTCAAGTCGGCGTTCCTGCTGCAGAACCTGCTGGTGGGCCACCCTGAACACAAAGGTGGGGCGGCCCGGGCGGTGAGCTAGGGTGGCTCCCGGGGGAGTGTACGGGAGGATAGCTTCTCCTCTGACCCTGTGGCTGTTCCCCAGGGACCCTGTGCGCCATGGGCATGGTCCAGCAGCTGGTGGCCCTCGTGCGGACAGAACACAGCCCCTTCCACGAGCACGTGCTCGGAGCCCTGTGCAGGTGCGCTGGGGCCCCAGGGGACCGGCCTGGTAGGGGATGAAGGGTTTAGGGTCAGAGAGGAGCAGAAACCAGGGTGCTGGTCCTCCCGGAGTCTCCGTCTCCTCACTGTGGGGGCTGACACAGCAGCCTGGGGAGGAGGGAGACAGTCTTCCTCCCACTCACTCTCCCCATCCTGCACATAAAGCACAGGCAGGTTAGAGACGTAAGACAGCAGAATGGAGCAGCCGAGCGAGCGGGCAGCAGTGCTCATGTGTGGAGTGGGCTCCAGGCCAGGCACTTTGCTAAGTGCCCTGTTCCGTATGAGTCTCATCCAAGTCCCTTGGGTAGGCTGGTGGCAGAAGTCCACGTTGCAGACGGGGAAACTGAGGCCCAGTGGGGGGGGCAGCGGCTTGCCCAGGCTCGGTGGGGGGGTGGGGGGGGTGGAGGGCAGCTGGGCAGGGGGAGGTCCCAAGGACAGCTGTCCTGTCCCTGCAGCTTGGTGACAGACTTCCCCCAGGGCGTGCGGGAGTGCCGAGAGCCCGAGCTGGGCCTGGAGGAGCTTCTGCGGCACCGGTGCCAGCTGCTGCAGCAGCACGAAGAGTATCAGGTACTGCTGGGGGCGGGGAGGGCCAGCCTGGCACCTGCCTTCTAGGCCTCTGTGGTCTATTCGCCCGTGCTTTAAAAAAAAAAAAGTATTTATTTTTGGCTGTGCTGGGTCGTTGCTGGGCAGGCTTTTCTCTAGTTGTGGCGAGCAGGGGCTCCTCTCTACTTGTGGGGCGCAAGTTCTCACTGCAGTGGTTTTTCTTGTTACAGAGCACATGCTCTAGAGCATTGGCTCAGTAGTTGTGGCTCACAGGATTAATTGCACTACGGCATGTGGGATCAGCCCGGATCAGGGATCGAACCCATGTCTTCTGCACTGGCAGGCTGATTCTTAACCGCTGAGCCACCAGAGAAGCCCGATTTGCCCATGCCTTTGTTTACACCTTATTTCCAATTCATGTGTTTCTCTAGGCAGCATTCAGCACACATTTATCGCCCCCTCCCACATGCTTCATGCTCTGTTAGCATCAGGGGGATGGCAAGGAGAAACAGCAGCTCAGGGTCTCTTAAAGTTAACAAATTAATCTAATTAGTATCCAAATTAATATTATTTATATCATATCATTCAAATACTTAAGTATTTATTAGATTGATAAATAATAAGTAAATGATAAATAGCAACCAGTTAAATATTGAATTAAATAGATAAGTAAGAAATATGTGATAAATTACAACTCATTAACTTTTTAATTAAAGGATAAATAATAAATTACAAATAACTCACCAGATGGTTAAATAGATAAGTAACAAATAAGTGATAACTCAGATATTTAATTATATAGAAAGTAATGTGATAAATAACCACTCAGGTAGTTAATTAAATAGGTAAGTAACTAGTAAGTGATAAGAGCAACAAATAACATATTCAGTAGTTATTTAGTTACTTAAATGACTAAGTAATTTAGTTAACTGTCCTTAGTAATTTATTCAGCCCTTATGATACCACCCAGATGCTGTTGCTTCAGCAAAGCTGGACACAGAAAATGTGCCACCCTCTTGGGATGAACCTTCTGCTGAGATCATGCTTCTGTGAACACTGTCAGGCATTTCCAGAGGGGTCCTGGGTACTGGGTGTGAGGAGCAGGGGTGACTGGGAGAGGCACAGTACCCACCCCCTAGGGGCTTGTCCTCTGACTTTGTCACATGAACCCGTGGAGATATGTGCCTGGGAGTAAGCAGGGGACCCCCTGCCCTGGTCTGTCCTGAAGTTTCAGCCGGTCTTGCTTGATGCATCCATGCATCTGTTCTCTTAATCTCTGGTGTGCTAGACCTTGGTACCTGACCATGAGGACCAACCTGGTGAGGGAAGCCTCATGTGAACTGGGCAACATGCCCACTTTTTGTTTCCAAAAAAAAATTTTAACAGCTTTATTGATGTTTAACTTACTCTATTGAAAGTGCACAATTTGAGAAGTTTTGACATACGTATACACCTGTGGAAACCTTCATTTCTCCATCGGGGGTGGGAGGGAAGAGGGGCCGTTTCTGGGTGCAGAGCTGGTGGAGGCAGGGTCTGGCCTCTACACTCAGGGCTTCCAATTTCCCACCCCAATGCAGGAAGAGCTGGAGTTCTGTGAAAAGTTGCTACGGACCTGTTTCTCCACCCCAACGGATGACAGCATGGATCGGTGAAACCCGGTGGCTTCTCTCCCCCTCTTCATGGGAACCCCAGGCCTCCTGCCTTCCCCTCACCCATGAAGCCCTCTCCCAAAGGAGAGAAGGGCCTTGTTGGTGCCGTGCCCGGGCGTGTCACCTCTCTACTCAGCCCCCAGGGTGGATGCTGAGAAAGGCGCTGGCTCCTTGGGTCCCGCCTCTCACGCACTCTTATCCACTCCCCCTTCTCATGTCCACACTGCTCTTCCAGTAAAGGTGTTCCTCCTCCACCTCCTTCACTGCCGCCTTTGTCGCCTCGCCTGGAGAGTGCCTTGGTAGGGGAGGAGGGGATCTAGGGAACCAAGGAGGGAACGGCAGTGGGCGGAACCTTGGAAAAATAAAAATGTTGCTCTCTGAAGTCGAGCCATTGTCTTTCATCCTCCCATCATCTCTGGAGAGGGAGTGTGTGGGATACTCGTCCTTCTCCTTACCCGCCTCCCGCCATCTCTGATAACTTCTCTGAAGAAATATACTTTTGACATTCACGCTTCCGCGTCTAAGGTGGAAGCCATGTTCTTTCCCAACATGCAGTGTGGCGTGGCTTCTGCTCCACCAATCAGAGCTCGCCGCCCGCAGGCTCGGAACCACCGCTGGAGAAGGCGGGAGCAGGTACTGGAGGCAGTAGGACACCTCCCACGCCAGCAATGGAGGCCACTCTGGGTGCCTGGGGCAGGCTTGAGTTGGGTGTGTGCTTCGTCCTGACAGGAAAGCACTAGGCCTTTTCTCCAGCCTTCTCTGAGATTGGGGAGCAAACAGGGGACAGGGAAACTGCCTCCTCCTTTTATAAATTCCTTACATTTAACCAAAGGAGCTTTCCATTACAACCGAGTCTTGACTGATGGTTAATTTGAGACGAGGAAGTGGAGCCCAGGGTGGTTGACCTTGTGGTCAAGTTCATAGCCAAAATTTATACCTGGGCCAATCCGAAGCTGTGTCACTCCCTGTATTCTGGCTTCCTAGCCCCATTTAATAACAGACTATTTCCTCTCCTGTGGAATTTGGTTGTGTGAGAGAGGTTGATTATATTTTTCACTCCCCAAATTCAGAATAAATCAAAAGGTAGCTACAGGATCCGAGAATTGGAGATCAGATGTCACTTGTATAATTTTTAGAGCAGATTTGAGAAATTTGAGCATTGGTCTTGCTGCCTCTTCATCCCAGCATTAGACATGGTTGTCCGACTGGTCACAGGCAGTACTGGACAAGCGCAATCCTTTCCCTTAGCTGCAGGCAGCAGGCCAGAACACTGGGCAGGATGGCTCCAAGAGGAGAGAGCTGGAGGACTGAGCACAGATGCCCATCCCATCTGGTAAATCATTCCTCAGCCCCTGGGAAGGGTGGAGACGAAAGGGAAGAGACTGTAAGAAGCAGAAGTTTCTCCCTGTGGAAACTTGTAAGAAGCTCCTTCCAATTCTAATACAGATCACAGCATCATCTGCCTGTGAATTTGGACAAAGTGAAGACTCAGACTTCTGTCCTAAACCTCTGCAGTTTCCCAGGTTCTTGGAGGAGACTGACTTTATCAGCTTCTCAGGTTCCATTTGGTGATTGAATATGGCCAACCTCCTGCCCCTCAGTTCCCAAGTTTATGTGTTAAAACAGCGTGGCGAGAGTGGGTACCCTTGTCTTGTTCCTGATTTCAGGGGAAATGCTTTCAATTTTTCACCATTGAGGGTGATGCTTGCTGTCAGTTCTAATGAGATGGATGAAACTGGAACCCATTATACAGAGCAAAGCCAGCCAGAAAGATAAAGACCATTACAGTATACTAACACATATATATGGAATTTAGAAAGATGGTAACGATAACCCTATATGCAAAACAGAAAAAGAGACTCAGATGTATAGAACAGACTTGTGGACTCTGGGAGAAGGTGAGGGTGGGATGTTTCAAGAGAACAGCATCGAAACATGTATATTATCTAGGGTGAAACAGATCACCAGCCCAGGTTGGGTGCATGAGACAAGTGCTCGGGCCTGGTGCACTGGGAAGACCCAGAGGGATCGGGTGGAGAGGGAGGTGGGAGGGGGGAGTGGGATGGGGAATACATGTAAATCCATGGCTAATTCATTTCAATGTATGACAAAAACCACTGCAATGATGTAAAGTAATTAGCCTCCAACTAATAAAAATAAATGGAAAAAAAAAAAAAACAGCGTGGCAACTTCAATCACATTCCGGGGCAGGGGGCGGGGAGGTGGAGGGTAGTGGGGTGGGTGTCAGTGTGGCGGAGGCAAGCAAAATGCTGCTCATACGACAAAAGAACCTGATGTAGAAAATCACTCAAGGAACAGAAGGAAATGTCTCACAATTGCTTTAAGCTCTATAACAATAGGAACCTGGGTCCATTTTAAAACAAGACCTCAAAGATGAGAAGGTAAGATTAGCAAACCTAAAGAAATAAATTGAGGACTGTGGCAATTAATTAGAGGGTTTAACAGGTTATCTGCTCCCTCTCATGCCACCTCCAAGAGAGAAGTACACTTTCCCATACGGTGGTGGCTGAGGTGTAGGTGCTAGCCCCATGACTTGGGTTTGACCGTGTGACTTGCTTTGGCCATTGGATGGTGGCAGATGTGAGGCAACCTGAGGTTTGAAACTGTGCTAACACATTTGGGCTTGGTCAAGAGTCTTCGGACAACTTGCGACTGAAAAACTGAGGTACCTCTGCCTTTTCCTGTGGGATAGTAGCCTGGGATGACCACTGGTGTCCAGAGTATGAGAGACAAAGGGGAATAGAAGCAGCCCCACCAACCTTCACACCTGAGCTCTAAGCTGTGAACACGACAGGCTGTGGCTGCCTGTCGATCAGCAGTAGCTAAGAACATCGCATGCAACAGACACTGGAAATAGCAAGGACCGGAAAAGACTTGGCTGGAAAATGACTTTACTGACATGTGGTAATCAGCAAATGCAGGTAGAAATGACAAGGATTAAAGCAAATAGAAGCTAACAGATGTGAAGCACAAACGCATGATTGACATCCTTCAAATAGAGAACAAACTAGAATAGGATTCAATAAAAACGTCCCTGAAACGGGAAAGGTAAATCTGCGTGTGTTTTTTTTTTTTGAGCCGAGTCCTTACAAGCACGCACAGCGCCGATTCTGGCCTGTATCATGGAAAGCAAGGGCTATGAAAACTGAGGAAACGGAGGCTCCTAGCTAGATGGGATCTTAAAGACTATGGATCTAAAGTCTAGGAGAACCTAGACTTAGCACCTAGACTTATGTTAGAGGATACTTGTGCAGCAGCTGCAACAGTAAAGACACGGGCTGGGCGAAGGCCTAGAAATGGGACTGAAGTCAGCCTGAAGCTCAGAGAAGGCAGACGTCAAGAAAGATCGCGGCGGGACAAAAGCTCCTGGTCGGGGTTGGAGACAAAACCCTAGCTGGATTCCTCAGGAAACGACCCTGGAGCCAAAGCAATAATGTGATTGGAGGAAACAGACTAGCAAGTGGATGTCCAAAAGGGGGCGAGGGGATAGAGAAATCCTGGAGCAAGGTGGGCTTAGGAACGGAGTCGCAGAGAAACGCTGCCAGCGTGTGCAGCGGGGCTTGCGCGTCGGGTGGCCCGGGTTTACTCAGGGAGAGACCGTTGGCACAAACCGGCGCGAGCGGTTTTGCGGCGGAGTTGCTCAGGCTGGGCGTGGCCCTGCGCGGCTGGTCCGGCGCGCACGCGCACTGCAGGGCCCGGGCGCGCGGCCTCCACACACCTGCGCAGCGAGTCGCCGGCGGGAGGGCGGGGCCTCCTGCGTGCCCCCGTACCAGGGGGATTGTGGGATACTGGCGGACGGAGCCGGGCGGCGGAGGCCCTGAAGCCGACTGCAAAGGCCCGGGACCTCGCCGCTTTGGGGAAGGGGGCGGTGGAGGAAGTGGGCCTCGGCTTCCGTCAGCCGTTGCTCAGCACTGCGGCCTGTTGGGACCGCGGAGTAGGACGCCTTTCCTGACCAGCCCTTGCTTTCTCGCGGGGCGCCGGGCCGGGTAAACCGGGGCGACTTCCCAGCCGAGGGCCTACGCGGGCCTCGCGACCCCACCAACCTCCCTCAGCCACCTCTCCCGCGGGCCCCGGACCCCCGCCCGTCCGGCGCTGACCCCGGACGTTCCAGAGTTCAAAACTCTGGAACTCGTCGCTCGAGGGCCCCCCTAGGCCCGAGACGCGTGCGCCAACCCCGGCGCAAGCGCGAGCCCCCGCCGCTGCCCCCCGCCCCCACATACCGGGTCCCTGATCGGGGCCGGAGCCGCCGGTGGCGGGGCGGGGGGGGCGCCCCGATGAGCCCGGAGTGCGAGGAGCCGCCGCCCCCCCGCGCAGGTAAGCGGGCGGCCCGGGACCCTCCCCGCAGTCTGGGCACCCGAGCCACCTCCCCGCCCCCGAGAACACCGCCCAGGTACCCTCGAGTCTCCTCACCCCTTCACCTTCGGACCCTTCCCTTTGTCCATGAGGGCTACCCAGCCCTGGTGTCTCCCCCTCAGCCCCTTGATTCTCTTAGTTTCTCCTCCTCAGCCTCTCGACTCCTAGTCTCTCCTCTCAGGCTACTCCATTTCCCCTCAGCCCACCAAGACTCCAGGTCTATCTCCTTCAGCCCTCCAAGTCTTTTAGTCTCCCCCCGCTCCGACCCCAAGTCTCTTAGTCTTTCCCCCTCTGACCCCCAAGCCTGTTAAGTCTCTCCTCCTCAGCCCTCTAAGTCTCCCCCTTCAGACCCCTCAAGTCTCCTAGTCTCTCCCTGTCAGACCCCCAGTCTCTTAGTCTCTCCCTCTCAGCCTTTCAAGTTTCCTAGTCTCTTCCTCTCAGACCCCAGGTCTCTTAGTCTTTACCCCTCGGCCCCTCAAGGCTCCAGGTCTCTCCCCTTAGCCCCCCAAGTCTCTTAGTCTGTTCTTCTCAGACCCCAAGTTTTCCCCCCTCAGGCCCCTCAAGTCTCCTAACTTCTCCCCCCTCAGCCCCCCAAGTTTCCTAGTCTCTCCCCTCAGACCCCCAAGTCTCTTGGTCTCTTCCTCAGCCCCCAAATCCCCTAGGCTCCCCCTCTCCAGCCCCACTTCCTTCCCTTCTCAGTCCGTACCCCTGCCTCAGTGTCAATTTCCCACCTCCCCTGTAGCTCCTGACTCCCACCCTCGCCTCCTTAGAATCTGCGAGCTTCCCCTCTGGTTTCTTAGTCTTCCCCCTCCGACCCCTGGGGCTCCCCCTTCTCTCTGCTCCTCCCACCCTGCCCTGCTCGGGGCCCCTTCCCTGGCCACCCTTGGCCTTCCTCTCCCTGCCTCACCCCCTCCTCTCGAGGCCTCCCTGGGAGATCCATGGCCTCAGACTGGCACCCTGGGGCTCAGGAGACTCGAGGAGCGGGGCTTCCCCCTCACCCTGCCTGGGGCGCGGCCCCTCTCTGTGAGGTGAGGCCTGCTGAGGGCCAGCAGGGGCCTGGTGCCGGTGCGGAGGGAGGGCCGGAGGGAACAAAGGCCGGGGGGACAGTCACAATTGCTGGTGTGGTGAGGGGGTACCTCAGGGCGCTGTGGGGGCCACCGCAGAGCGACCGGGGAGACTGGCTCCGCGGGTGGCTTTTTCTGTCGAGGAAGGATGAGTAGGAGTTGACAGATGGAAAGTGGGAAGAAGGGCCTTCCGGGTGGAAGGAACAGCACATGCAGATACATGAAGGTGGGAACCCAGCCCCGCGGGCTGCGGGAGAGAGGGGCGGAACGCCCCGCTGGGGCTGCTCACCCGGCCCTGGAACGTGGCGGCTAGGGTCTGTCTTGCTCGGTGATTTACACACTCGGACATCTGTGCTGAGGACACAGACGTTAGTTACCCATCACACCAGCCTGAAAGTCAGGATGTTTCTGGAAGGAAGATGTGTTGTCAGGTGTGGGGCGGGCTTCAGAGTTGCAAAGACACTTCCGTGGGGTGTGGAGAGGGCGGTTCTGGGGATTCCGTGTGCGTTTGTAGAAGCCCGCAGCACAGGAAGTGCTCCAGGGTCAGCAGCTTTAAGGTTATAACTCAGTTTGGGATTGTCTTGCCTGGGTTCTCAGCCGGGGCTGGGCGGGGGGGGGGAGGGTGGACAACGATGGTATTCCCCAGGGGACCTTCACTAAGGGCAGCGGAGATGGTTTCAGTTGTTACAGCTCAGGATGCTACTGGCAGGTGGCGGGTGAGAGCTGGGATGCTGTGGGGCCTCCTCCAGGGCAGAGGACAGCCCAGCTCAGTGGTGCCTGGGAGCGGTGGACAAGCCCCGCTCTCCTGCTCGGGTGTTGGATACAGTGTGACTTAACCTGCTCCTTTGCGACTGTGAGTGGCGTGTGTTGAGTTGTGTACTTCGATTTCCTTTTGTGTTTTTGGTAGTTAGTGTCGTGGGGCTACCTACTGTTTCTCTCCAGTAGGGGAGCATCTGCTGGTCTCCACCCACCCACTCAATGTTTTTTTTCCAGGATCCACGGCCAAGTGACCGTAGTGGGTCACCGGCCCCTTCGGGACTTTAATTCCAGAAGTAGCTCTGGTCAGGGGGCCTTGCCTTAGGCTTGGTCCTGGGAAATTGGCGTCCTGCTGCCTGAGGCAGGTGCCTGGACAGGCAGGTCCTGTCGCCAAGCGTTCCGATGCCGTCACAGCGTGACCACGGAAGCCGTGGAAGTGTGGACCAGGCCTCTCACGCAGTCAGGGGAGGCTTCCTGGAGGAAGTGGTGTCTGTGCTGAAGCCTGAAGGACCCAGGAGGACCTAGCTAGTCAGGCTCGGAGAGCTGGAGGGAAGGCAGAGGGAGCAGCCGAGCCCGGGCAGAGCCGGGGCGCAGACGAGCAGTCAGGAGTGGTGGGAGTGTTGAGCGCCATGCGGGTTGCTGCGAGGGATGAGGTGAGAGAGGCGTGGACGCCTTGGTGGAAATGCCCGCCTTCCCTGCCTCCCCGGCTCCTGCAGGGTCCCTGGGCAGGCGCAGGCCGGGGGTGGGGACACGCACTCTTTTCCAGGCTGAACCAGGGTGTCCCTAGAACAGCGGTTTTGTGGATCTTGCCAGGGGCAGGGCAGTCCTCCACGAGGTGTTGGGAGAGACTGGGGTTCAGTGGAGTCGGGTGCCTGCTCTGAGGCCGCAGAGCATGGGGCCTGGCGAGGCAGGCTGGGAGCGCAGGCCTTCCTGACTTTGGATCTCCCTAGAACACTCAGTCCAGTCCCCTGTTCTCCACGGACCGTTTCAGAACCTCCTCACTGCTCTTTTCCCCTTTGAACCCCTGGCTGATCCAGGAGGTGCCCCTGATGGCGAGCTTTGGGGCCCCTCCGCATCCTCAGCCGCTCTCCCATTCTCTTACATTTCTGATCGTTCCATGCCCTGGGTAGGAGCAGAGTTGCCACCCTACCCGGGTGAGCATGTTCTGGGGCCCCTAACAGTCGCCACCACCCCCAGCTTTCCTGAGTCCCCGGGAAGGTCCCAGCCCATGGTCGCATGAGGCCTTGGCCAGGTCCCTCTCCTTCTGTGGCCTCTGTGACCCCTACTTCCACGTGGGTGTCCCACGGCTTACCTTCCCGAGTCTCTGGTGGGTCCTGATGTTACCATGGTCCCGTTCCTGGAATGGAAGTCCCCCGCCCCCATTTCACATTTGGCTGAGAGCTGATGGATTGCGAGGAGTTAGAGGGCGATGGTCTCACTGTCCTCTGACCTGTGGGCCCTGTGAAGGCTGGGGGCTGGTCAGCCAGCAGCGGGGTCTCCACGCCTGGCCGGCACCTTGTTAGGGGCCTGTGGCCTGTGGTGGCTGAGGGCTGCGGGCTCTGGCCTCTCCCCGGGCTGGAGTTCCTCCTGAGCCTCAGGGCATCTCAGGGGGCCACCCCAGGGCCCTCCCAGTGGCCTCTTCAGACTTGATCTCCACTTCCGGGTGTGTGGGGCCAGGGCAGGCGAGAAAGGGGCGGCAGGTAAAGGACCCGCCCCGGGCTCCCAGGCAGGCAGGGCCATGTGTGGATAGACCGCTGCTGCGGCTGTGAGGGCACTCGGTGGGGACTGCAGCTGGGCCCTCACCGAGTCCGCAACTGGGCGGGGGCTGCTGGCTCCCGAGAGGGGCCACTGGTATCCGAGGCCTGAGAACCACGCAGTGAAGCCGGAAACCCGGGGCGATGGTGCGGAGCTGGCGCAGAGAGAGGTAGTTTTCGTTCTTAATGGCTTCCTTTCTCATTTACAGTTTCCCCTTCTTCCGTTTGCAGCCAGAGTCATGGTTTTCAAACGGTCGCTAAAAGCCAGTGCTATTCACTTCCGTTTTCTTGAAGTTTGCTAAAAGTTGCAAAGCGCGGGGGTGGCGGGGTGTGGGGCGCCCACCAGAGTATTTGAGTGAGCTCAGCCACCCAGGCGAATGGGCCATCTTCCTCACGGCTCCTGTTTTTAGCGCTGTCTCCCTGGGTAGTGGCTGCACCTTCCCTCCTGCTCAGAAGTGTCCAGCCTTCAGCCTGGTCCCAGGGACGCCTGCTGAAGGAGACCTGCCCTGTCAGGACCACGGGCCTGACCCTGCTGTTCTCAGAACGTGCCCCTTCCTGGCGGCTGGGCCTGTTTCATGGATAAGGAGACAAGGCGCGGTATGCATGTCACTGTTAGAGAGTGAGGAGGAAGCTCCTCTGCTGTCCATGTCCAGGGCTTCCGGGAAGTTGACCGTTGGGACCTGAGGCTACGTGTGCTGGAGTGTGTGGTGGGGGAGAGTGTTTTCTGTGGGATGTTTTCTTTACTCCGTGCCTCCTGCATCTGCATCTTGTCCCGTGTAGAGCTTGGGAAGTGACTTTGGGAGGGAAGGGTACTGACCATCCCTCAGCTACATCTGATCCTTGCAGCCTCCTCTGACTTTCGGAGGAGGACCTGAGGTTCTGAGAGTTTAAGTGACTGCCTGGTTTCTGAAGTCCCTGGAGTCCATACCCCACTCAACCCCCAGCCCAAGCCAGTTTGGGGAGGGAAGTCCTGCCTGTGGTCCAGGGCGGGTGGCAGGGTTGTGGGGGAGGATGTAGCCTGTGGCATCGTGCAGGTGCTTTGGACACGGTCAGTGGGCCTCAGCCCCAAGGCTGTCCTCCTGCAGCCTGGAGAGTGTACCGAGGCCTGCTTCTGCTGTGGCTGATGCCTGGGGGCCCCCTGCGCCTTGGCTGTCAGACAGAAACAAGAGCAGTGCTGTCCCTGGCCATCTTGATGAGGGACACGGTGCTTTGCGGGTGCACAGGCTCTCTGCAGGCTCGTCCCCCAGCTGAGGGGGCCTGCTTAGCTCGGGGACCCGGAGGGTAGTGAGGGTGGGGGAGCCTGGGCGTGTGCCTGCAGCTGCGCCTTCTCATCCCGGCCCAGCCCAGCCCGGCCTGGCCCTGGCGGCGTGTCAGCTCCCGGCTTCTTGGGCGCAGAGCAGGCCAAGGCCTGGCCCTCTCACGGCAGCCTCAGGCAGCTTCGGTTCTGTTTGTTTTGTAAGAAGTTGTGTATTTATTGGTTGTGCTGGGTCTTTGTTGCTGCGCGGGCCTTCTCCAGCTGCAGCAAGCTGGGGTCCTCTTGTAGAGGTGTACGGGCTACTGGCCGCGGCCCCTCATTGAGGAGCACAGGCTCCAGGTGAGCAGGCGTCAGTAGTTTGGGGCTCATGGCTCCGGAGGGCAGGCGCAGTGGCTCTGCTGTATGTGGGATCTAGTTCCCTGACTGAGGATCGAACCCGTTCCCCCTGCATTGGCAGGTAGATTCCTATCCACTGTACCACCAGGGAAGTCCTGGTTTTGTTTTTGACGATAGATTTTGTGTGTGTGTGTGTGTGTGTGTGTGTGTGTGTGTGTGTGTGTTGGGGGAGATGTAATTTATGTAATGTAATATATGACATCCATTTAATTACACAATTCAACATCTGGTCTATTCAGAGTTGTGCAACCAACAGTCACCACCATAGAGTTTTTAAAGCGAGTTATAGTATCAAATAAAATTGTGTACAATTGATTTTTTTTTTTTTGAAAAGAACACCCCTTTCCTAAAAGGAAACCCCATACTTCCTTGCAGTTGTCTCCCTCCATCCTTGTCTTGTCCCCCAGCTCCTGAAAAACACTCATCCCAATTCTGTGTGTACGGATTTGTCTTTTCTGGATGTTTCGTTTAAATGGAAGTATGCGATATGTGGGCTCTTCCTTGGTGGCTCAGACAGAGAAGAATCTGCCTGCTGGTGCAGGAGACATGGGTTCAGTACCTGGGTGGGGAAGATCCCCTGGAGAAGGGAATGGCAACCCACTCCAGTCTTCTTGCCTGAAAAATCCCATGGGCAGAGGAGCCTTGCGGGCTAGAGTCCGCAGGGTCACAGTAGAGTCAGACACGACTGAGTGCGCGCGCACACATTCGACATGTGGTCTTTGGTGGCTGGCTTTGTTCATGCCCCCCGGGATGACCTTTTGACCTCTCTGGTCTTTTTGTCCTCACAAAAATCTGCGATTAGAAAGAGGTGGTGTTCTCAAGGTGGGGGGGCGGGGGTGGGGGCTGTGCCTCATCCCTTGGGCCAGGTCAGCGGCTGCCCCATGCAGTGGTTCTGGCCCCACGAGCACCCAGCTCAGGAAACTGTCTAGGCCCACCGTCTCTCCAAGTGAGGAGGGTGGGCCTGGGGCCCAGACAGAAGTGGGGATGGCCCTCGTGCACTTGTGGGTTTGGGGCGCTGCCCGCCTGCTTTCGGGAGCAGTGTCCCCACTCCGAGACAGGGCCCCGCATTCAGCACGCGGAGCAGCCCACTCTCCTCCCCTCTCCAGCCTGCCAGCCCTGGCGGTCCTCCACCCCACCTGGGCTGGTTTATGGGAGCCCTTGGGTGTGGCTGAGGCTGTGGGGCGGGAGCAGTCCCCCTACTGATGCCCTGACAGATCCTTCAGCCTCCTGCCTCCACAGCAAGGCCCGCCCTTCTGTCCCGGCTTCCGAGCTCGTTCCCCACGTGGTGCTGTTCAGGGTGGTCATGGCCGCCAGGCAGGAAGGTTCTGTGCTTTGTCCACAGCCCGTGGGGGACGTGCGGGGTGCCTGCTCTACGGGTCTCCAAGGCTGTGGGTCTGCACCCAGCCCCTCCCCGGCCTCAGAGATGGTCGCTGAATGGGTGCCTGAGCCCCGCGGGCCGGGGGGAGGGCACCAGCCTGGCCGGAGCGCACTCACTGGCTCTGTCGGCTTTCGTTGGCCTGGCTGGAACCCCCTGCTCGGGCGAGGAGCCTGCGCTCTGAGAAGGGACCTCGTGGGGCTCGCGCACCGCTCCGCAGTTCAGCGGCTCAGACCCTGCTGCACCTCGGGTGCCTCCCTGTACAGTGGGGCACGTTGTGGGAATCAGCTGAGGTGACGGCTGAGCAGCTCACGTGGTTTGCCGGCCTCGTGTGTCTGCGTGTTGTCCGCGTGGCGCCGCTGTTCTCGCCCCGAGGCCTGGGGCTGGGTTAGCGATGGCATAGGGGGCACTGCTCCGAGGCCTCTGGCTGGGACGGAGACACACCCCTATGTGGCAGTCTTGGGGTGATGTGTGCAGAGCCAGGCCAGGGCTCGCTGGGGGTCAGGGCGGTCCAGGGGCCGTGGCCTGGGCTCATCCCGCACAAGTTGTTGGTCAAAGGGAGGCGGGTGTGAGGGCCTGGGGTGCAGACTCTGGCAGGACTGAGTGGGGGGCTCCTGGGGGGCCACCTTGGGGCTTTTCGGGGTATCATGTGCTAGGTGCGCAAGTCTGTTTCAGAAAAGCGTCCTGAGGGGGTGGGGTGCAGGCCTGGGGGCGAGTACCGGAGTGCGGGTGGCCAGGCCGCAGCCCTGGGAGCTCTCAGGTGCCCCCACGTCCTACTCCTCTCTGGGGCCTGTGTCTGCTGCTGTCTCATGAGGTCATAGCCCCTCCGCTCCACCTGCAGGCGGCCAGGGCTTAGGAACCAGGCGAGTCCCGCAGGATCATTGCACCTCAGGGGCCACTTTTTCCCTATCGCTCAGAGGTCATCCTGGGGGCTGGGAGGAGACACAGGAGGCTCCTGAGGAGGCTGGATGGGAGAGCCGGCTGCTGGCAGCCTCCTGGGGGAGCTGAGGGTCGGAAGGCAGGCGCCTGCCCTCGGCCGCTCGGCTCTGCCCCGGGCTGCTGCCCATCCGGTGGGCGAGCTCTCCACGGCTGGGATGGTGCCAGCAGGGCCATCCTGGCTTCCGGGTCTGGCTGGAGCAGGCTTGGCCTCGGGTGGTCTTCAGGAGGCAGGTGACACATGAGCGCTGGGCAGTGCCAGCATGGTGCTCGGGGGCCTAGCTGACCTGGGTATGGTTGTCTGCCGTTCCGTGAGGTGACCAGAGCCCTCAACAGGGCCATAGGCACAGCCCCGTTGTCTGGGGGAATGGCTGGACAGAGTGGCCTGGGAGCTCGCGGCCAGCTCAGGGCGGCTGTGCACCCTGGGGTCGAGGCTGGGGGCCGCAGGAATCCCCAGAGGGGCAGCCAGGTCTGCTCATCAGGGCTTGGACCCTCCAGGCACCTAGTGCATGCTCCACCCGAAATGCTCCTGAGGCCATTGCTGGGTGGGCAGGCCACAGCCGTCATTGTTCCTTGGAGGTGCTTCCCTGTCTGATGCCAGTGGGCCCCGTCAGTGGCTATTCTGGGGGCCAGCGTGCTCTCCCCTCCAACTTTTCCTTGTCCTGTCCTGGCACCGGGTACAGGGGTTGGGGCGTGTGTGTGTTTGTGTGCAGCCTAGAGATTGTCGGGTGTGTGTGTGTACAGCCTGGAGACACTGCATACGTCCCTCTCCCCCACGGGCATCATGGGACACTTAGTTTGTTGAGCAGATACAGGCTGAAGCCAGCGGTCTTCCCCGGCGCTGGGCAGCGGGCAGGAAGTCGCCTGTGGAGTGGCCTGGCAGGCTGGGAGGTGGAGCGGGTGGGCCAGCGGGCCCTCATGTGACAGCGCTGCCGGCAGGGCGCCATGTTCTGGAAGTTTGACCTGCACACGAGCTCGCACCTCGACGCGCTGCTGGAGCGGGAGGACCTCAGCCTGCCCGAGCTGCTGGACGAGGAGGACGTGCTGCAGGAGTGCAAGGTCGTCAACCGCAAGCTGCTGGACTTCCTGCTGCGGCCGCTGCACCTGCAGGCCATGGTGGCCTGGGTCACCCAGGAGCCGCCGGCCAGCGGCGAGGAGCGGCTGCGCTACAAGTGAGCCCCGACCTGCCGTGGGCCTTGTTGGCCCCGTCTCTGTGGGACTTGCCAGACCTCCCCCGCCTCCCCCGGGCGGGTGGGAGGAGCCCCCGGGGACCCTCCCCCAGCAGTGAGGGGGCGGGCCCTGTGGCTCGTCGCCCCGCCCCGCCCCGCCCCGCCCCCACTCTATCTCCTCCTGGTTCTTTACTTGGGTTTCTGTTCCTGTCTTAGAACTCGGGAGCGGGAACGTGAGGACGGCCCTGAGCGTGTGGCTGTGCCCCTCCCACCAGAGGGAGCGCCGGGGAGGGAGGGAGAGGCGGGCAGGCGCTGTCCAGCGCACCTGTCTGTCCTGGTCTCTGCTGCCCCTCTCCAGCCCTGCCCCGCCCGTCCCAGACAGGCCTCCTGGTTCCCCAGGTCACCCTCTGCCCGGCCCCTCACCCTGACATACGCACCCGGCCTCACAGGTCCTGCCTCTGTCCCTGGAGGCCTCCAGCCAGATGGGCAGTGGTTGACTCCTCAGTTTTCTCTGTATGAAGTGGGGGCTCAGTGCAGTGTTGTCAGCCTCGGCGGGGGGGGGGCCCAGTGTCCACCTGTCCGTTACTGCTCCCTCGTGTTTTCTCCCTCTTCGGCTTTGCTCACCTGTCTCTGTCCCCTGTCTACCAGCTTGAGCATGTCCCATGCCTCAGTTCTGACTCCTGTGCCCGCCTGGCCCTGGGCTCCTCGCGCCGCCCCGAGGAACTCACTTGCCAGGGCCTGACAGCTCGCGAGGCAGAGCTGAGCAGGCTGGGGTCCCCGGGGCCTGGGTGGCGCTCTAGGCAGGCAGCCCTCCCTTCTGGTGAAAGGTCCTTGGGGCCGGGGGTGGGGGGTCAGCCTGCAGGGTTGGGGTCGCGGACAGTGTTAGTAGGGGTTAGGTCCATGCTTAGGGGGCCCGATGCCGGCTTGGGGGGAGGGGAGCTTGTATGGACCGGGATTGGGGGTCAGGGCAGCTGGGTCCCCGCCGCCCCTTCCACAACGCTGCTGGGTTGACAGGTACCCCAGTGTGGCCTGCGAGATCCTGACATCGGACGTGCCCCAGATCAACGATGCGCTAGGGGCGGACGAGTCCCTGCTGCACCGCCTCTACGGCTTCTTGCAGAGCAGCGGCAGCCTCAACCCATTGTTGGCCAGCTTCTTCAGCAAGGTCATGGGCGTCCTCATCAACCGCAAGACTGACCAGGTGCCCGGGCCGAGGACAGGGCGGGCAGGTGAGCGTGGGCTGGTGGGCCTGGGGGTCCAGCGCTCACCTGCGGCCCGCATCCTCAGCTCGTGTCCTTCCTGCGGAAGAAGGACGACTTCGTGGACCTGCTGCTCCAGCACATCGGCACCTCGGCCATCATGGACCTGCTGCTGCGCCTCCTTACCTGCGTGGAACGGCCGCAGCTGAGGCAGGACGTGGTCAATGTGCGTTCGGGGTGGGGCTGGGGCAGGGCCTGGAGCGGGGTGGGGGCAGTGGGGTGCGGAGCCCCACCCTCTCGTCCCTCCGCAGTGGCTCAATGAGGAGAAGATCGTCCAGAGGCTCATCGAGCAGATCCACCCGTCGAAGGACGACAATGTGAGTGCTGCCGCCTGCGAGCTTAGGCCCCGTGCCCCCTTAAATGAGTGATGAGAGAAGGGAGCCTTCGGAGCTTGGGCGGGGGGGCTCCTGGTGAGAACAGGTGAGGGTTATGCCCCTGGACTGCTCCTCAGGAACCAGCTCCTCGTCCCAGGAGTGCTCGGGGTTCTAAAGACCGCCCTCTGACCCGGCCTTCACTCCCGCCCTTCCCTGGGCACCCGTCCTCGCTTCTGGGCCTGGCGGCTCTTCCCGTCTCCTGTGTATGGGTCAGCCCTGCTGGTCCTTCAGAGATAATGCCAGGGGCCCCACGTCTGTCCTCCTGGCCCACTGGCTGGCAGAGCAGAGGTCCACGCACATGGGTCATCACCCCAGGCACTCAGCCAGGGCCAGGCCTGGGGCAGCGAGGGCCACCCTGCCTTCGTGGCAGAGGGACAGGGGGCGTCTGCTGGCAGCCAGGCGGCAGGGCACAGCGCAGGGCTCTGAGGTGCAGCGGTGGCCTGGGGGGTCTGCGGGGCTGCATGCTGGGCTCTGGCAGCCGCCTGCTGGGGTGGACTCAGGGCTCTGCCCGCGCTTCTCTCAGTTTATCTCGGAGCGACTTACCACACACTGTGAGGCTCACCCAGTGAAAACACAGAACCGAGCGGCGTCCGTGCACACACAGGCTCGTGCAGCCTTCATCATGCCGGTCTTAGAGCGCACTTCATCGCTCCACAGAGGAGACCCAGTCCCGGGAGCTGCCACCCCTAGTCCCCCGCAGACACCTGTCTGCTTTCCCTCCTGCTTTGCTGCTCCCGGTGGTTTCCTGTGGGTGCAACGCGTGACGCGTGCTTGCCTGTGACTGGCCCTTGGCCTTAGCACCAGGTTGCTGTGTTCATCGGAGCTGGAGTGTGTTCAGTGCTTTGTCCTCTTCCAAGGCCGAGCAGTGTTTCTCTGTATGGACGGACCTCAGTAGCCTCTCCAGTCACGAGTTGGTGGATGCCTGGGTCAACTGCACCCCTCGGCCACTAGCTGTGATGGCGTGTGTGGGGTTTGCGTCGGGGTCTCTTCTTCCAGGAAGTCTTCTTTGGTTTCCTTCTCTCGGCCATCTCTCCTTCCCAGTGTCTGTGTTCTCTCCCTCCCACGTGTTTCCCCGGGTCTGTGTGGCCCTCTGTCCTCGAGGGCAGGTGCCCGCCCCCCCCCCCCAGCGCGTGGGGCTTCTCGACTCCAGGGCCAGCCGGGGTCCTCAGCTCTCTCTCCCTCCCCAGCAACATTCCAATGCGTCCCAGTCCCTGTGCGACATCATCCGCCTGAGCCGGGAGCAGATGATCCAAGTGCAGGACAGCCCAGAGCCTGACCAGCTGCTGACCACCCTGGAGAAGTGGGTTGCGGGGTCGCCCAGGCAGTGGGGGGGAGCCGTCCCGGGCCCTCCTCCCTGACGCCCCCGCACCTGCCCCAGGCAGGAGACCATTGAGCAGCTCCTGAGCAACATGCTGGAGGGGGAGCGCAACCCATCCGTCCTCGTGAGTGGGATCCAGGTGCTGCTGACGCTGCTGGAGCCCAGGAGGCCCAGGTGAGCACCCCAGGCACCCCCCCCCCCCGCCCCCGGTGTGTGCATGCATGCACGTGCACATGTGTACACAGGCCGCCTGGGTGGTTCACACTGCCCTCCGCCATGCCTGCTGCAGGTCTGAGTCGGTGACCGTGAACAACTTCTTCAGCAGCGTGGATGGGCAGCTGGAGCTCCTGGCCCAGGCGACCCTGGACAGCACCGTGTCCAGTGCGGGGGCCCTGCACGCCCTGCGCCCGCGTCTTAGCTGCTTCCACCAGCTCCTGCTGGAGCCGCCTGAGGTGGGCAGGGTGCTTGGGGGAAGGGGGGGCGGTCCTGGGGTCAGGGCAGAGCTGGGGCAGGACCCGAACCCCACCCTCCACCTGCAGCTGGAGCCGCTGCGCACGACATGGGGCAGTCTGGCCCCACCCCTGGGCAACACGAGATTGCACGTGGTCAAGCTGCTGGCCAGTGCCCTGAGCACCAATGATGCTGCCCTGACCCAGGAGCTCCTGGCGCTGGATGTGCCCAACACCATGCTGGTACTGGGGGCAAAGGGTGGGGGTGCAGGGGGCGGGGGCGGGGCAACACCAGGGGAGCTGCTCAGAGCCAGCCTGGGCCTTCACCCCCAGGACCTCTTCTTCCACTACGTGTTCAACAACTTCTTGCATGCCCAAGTGGAGGTGTGCGTAAGCACGATGCTGAGCTCCGGGCCCCCTGCCGACAGCGGCTCAGACACGCCCTCGGAGAACCCTGTCGTGAAACACGTGAGCTGGGCTCCTGGGTCCCAATCCCCTTTGGTCTGTGGGGGGCTCTGCTCGAGGTCTCCCCCGGCCTGTCACGTGCAGCCAGGCCCTTCAGGGGCGGAATCTTGGTCTCTTCCCGAGGTCCAGAGTCGGGAAACAGCCGGTGTTGTGCGAGGGTGGGGACTGGTGGAGTGGTGACCTTACGGGCAGTGGGCGTCCTGGGGGACCAGGAAGGGTTCTCCCAGGGTGGTGGGCCCCGCGCTCCTGGAGGTGCCTCCCTAGGTGTGGCCCGGGCCTCAGGGCGAAGCTGGAGCGGGAGGCAGGCGGCGTGTCTCTGGGGCTTGCTGTGCAGGCTGAGTGGGCCCCGTGCTCACACCCACTGCATGCCGCCCCACCCCCACAGCTGCTGCAGCGCTGCCGCCTGGTGGAGCGCATCCTGACCTCCTGGGAGGAGAACGACCGCGTGCAGTGAGCAGGGGGTCCTGGGCCAGGGCGGGGGTGGTGGCAGGGGCCGGCGCAGCCCGAGTCCAGCCCTGGTTTCCCTCTCTCCAGGTCCGCAGGGGGCCCTCGGAAAGGCTACATGGGCCATTTGACAAGCGTGGCCAACGCCCTGGTGCAGAACTCGGAGAAGGGGCCCAATGCAGAGCAGCTGCAGCAGCTCCTAAAGGGTGAGGATGGGGCGTGCCTGGGGGCGGGCGGGGCGGGCGGGGCCTCCGTCCTCACGTTGTACCGCCCCTTCTGGCAGAGCTGCCGCAGGAGCTGCGGGAGCGCTGGGAGGCCTTCGTGTCGGGCCCCCTGGCGGAGACCAACAAAAAGAACACGGTAGACCTGGTGAGTCTCCTGTGCCGGTTCTCCTCCTCCCGGCCCGGCCCTGACCCACGCCCCGCAGCCCCAGCCTGCCCCAGGCTTCCCCGGGTACCCAGCAGGCCCTGACCCCTGCCCACCCCTGCCCAGGTGAACACGCACCACCTGCACTCCTCCAGTGACGACGAGGATGACAGGCTCAAGGAGTTCAACTTCCCAGAGGAGGCGGTGCTGCAGCAGGTGCGGGCAGGGAGGGCAGGGGAGGGAGGCTGCGTGCAGGCCTGCCCTGACTGCCGCCCCCCTGCAGGCCTTCATGGACTTCCAGATGCAGCGCATGACCTCAGCCTTCATCGACCACTTCGGCTTCAACGACGAGGAGTTCGGGGAGCAGGAGGAGAGTGTGAAGTGAGTGCCCCGGCCAGGCCGGGTCAGGCGGGGACATGGAGGGCCGCGAGGCGGCGGGACAGCACGCGCTCGCCTGGTGCGTACCTGGCGTCCCTGTGCCCACCCGGCCCAGGTGGGCTCAGCCTGCGGGCTGCCGTCCTCTCACCCTCCGCTGCGGGCAGGAGTGGCGTGGGCGTCCTGGGACACGTGGCTGGCTGCGCGCCCTCGCAGACTCAGATCTCGTCTGCCTCCCCTCCCCTTCCCTTCAAAGGCCTTGGGCCGACCGGGGAGGGTGCTTTTAGTGACCAGTTCTGATTCTTTGTATGTGTTGTACCGCATGTCGATATTGATTGCTCTGATATCACCCTGGAACCTTTTTCTTGAATGTCCGAATTCTCTGCCATGGACATTGGTTGTTTTAATTCAGAAAAGGTTCTGGTGTTCTGTCGGTTTCACGAGCAGCCTTGTGATGGTAGTGGGTGGACAGTGAAGGGAAGGGCAGGCACCTGGGATCTGGAGGGGAGACTGGGGGGAGCGGGCCAGCCACCCGTGGCCTTGTGCTGGGCCCTAGGGCTGTGCGTAGTGATGGGTGTGGCCAGTGCGCAGGAGCAGATGCGCCTGGGATGCCCAAGGGAAAGCTGCGGATGCCACAGGGCGGGGTTTCCCAGTCGTTGCCCCTTCAGGCTGCACGGGGGCTGGGCCCTGGCACCACCCGTATCGTCTAGGGCAGCGTGTTGGGCCCCTGTCGGGTGTTGACCAATTACCTGTCAGGACCACCCTCGGCTCAGGGCTCAGGAGCCCGTCTGCAACCAGGGAGACAGGGTACCAGCTGCTGTCTATTGTGCCTTGAGGCGGACAGAGACTCCCTGGGAGCAGAAGTGCAACCCCTGTCAGCTGCCACTCTGCCTGGCCAGTGTGTGCTGGGAGCCCCCGGAGAAGACCCTGGCCAGGGGGCGGCCACACTCGGTGAGTGGCCCAGGCACAGCTGGCTGCACTTTCAGGACGAAACTATCACCTCTTCCATCAAGATAAACGCCAGTGAGGTGAAAAGCTTTAACTGTTAAAAAGAAAAAGGCTAAAGTATGAAGTATCCTGGAACAGAAAATATGCTTGCAAACTCAGGGCTGAAGGCGCTGCTCACTGAGCCTCCAGCCGTGCCCGCGGCTGCTCCTTCCCCTGAGGGCGCTGAGGGGACCTGCCTTGGTGGGGGTTGTGAGCCCATCTGCCCCGTGCCAAGTCAGCCCACAGGGGTTGTGAACGTGCTTCCTCGGTCGGAGACAGCAGCTGACAGCCTGGAAGCAGCCCCGTCACAGGAGGGCCTGGACATCAGTGCAGACACAGGGTGCTCTTCCGCTCTGGGAGAAAGGCAAGGAGGACAAGTAGGCGCTGCTGGGAGATTGCACACTGCGGGTCGGAGTGTACATGGACAGAGCTCTTCCCACGGTGTGTGCCAGTACTTAAAGCGTGTGGATTCAGTTCCTTCATCCAGGAGTGGTGCTTCTGTGTGGCTTTCTGGAGGACAGAGAGCCAAGCAGAGACGGATGTGGGCGCGTGTGGACGCAGAAAGGCCGGGGGTGCGAGGTGGTGGTGGGCACAGGCACTGCCCGCGATCCCTGGGCTCCCTGGCCCCCACCTGGTCCTGCCGTGGGGACCTGTGCGCCTCGAAATAAGTGTCTCCCTCAGGCTGTGATCTCAAAGCCTGAAAGCCTAGCCTGCCCAGTGAGGGTCTGTGTCCCTTCTATTGTGAAGAGGAAACAAGGTGCAGGAGTCTTAGGTCTCTGTGTGGGGCCTCGCGTGACTGGGAACACACAGGCAGGGCGGCTCGCTCTGTGGACGTCCCGCTGACGGGGGTGCTGCCAGGGGCGACTGCGGTTCACAGGCAGCCCTAGCAGGAGGCGCGTTTGCTGGAACCGGGCCCAGGAGAGGGGGTCGCTCACTGCCTCTGTGCCTCCCCTGCAGCGCGCCTTTCGACAAGACGGCCAGCATCACCTTCTCCCTGAGCGCGGACGATGACAACGTGAGCTGCCCGACCGCTGCTGGGGGCGGGGGTTTGCTGCAGGCAGGCAGCCCTCCTCACCCTCCTGCCTGCCCTGCAGCCCAACGCCAACCTACTGGAGATCTGCTACAAGGACCGCATCCAGCAGTTCGACGATGACGAGGAGGAGGACGAGGAGGAGGGCCAGGGCTCTGGGGAGTCTGATGGGGAGGACGGTGCCTGGCAGGGTGGCCAGCTGGCCAGGGCGGGCCGCCTGGGCCAGCCCTCGGGCGTGCGGTGAGTCCCCTGCTCCCCTCCCCTCCTGCAGGTTCCCCAGTGCAGTCGGGCTGCAGGACCTGCGGGCAAAACGAGGAGAATGCAGTGCATGTGTGATGTGGGGCACTGTCAATATTGAGCGACAGAAACCCAATTCAGATGAGTTCAGGTTGAAAAGGAATGTGCGTGTGGAGGCAGGCGCAGGTCCTTTGGGCTTGGTCCAGGTGTCAGTGGGGCCATCAGGATGCAGGTCCTTTCGGCATGGCTTGGTCCAGTAGGGCCATCAGGACGCAGGTCCTTTGGGCACTGCTTGGTCCAGTGGGGCCATCAGGATGCAGGTCCTTTGGGCACTGCTTGATCCAGTGGGGCCATCAGGATGCAGATCCTTCCGGCATGGCTTGGTCCAGTGGGGCCATCAGGACGCAGGTCCTTTGGGCACGGCTTGGTCCAGTGGGGCCGTGGCCTGCTCGCCCCCGCCCTCGACTCCGCTCTCGCCCGTGGCAGCTCTCTCAGTGTTCTTGCCGAAAGGGCAGTGGAGTGTGCGTCAGCTCCCTCCTGTCACGCCAGTGAAGCGGGACTTGGCGATTGTCCTCTCTCACAGTCTGGCTGTGGGTCTGTGAGCCGTGTCCAGCCCTTTATACGAGCAGTGACTGGTGCAGGAGCACTGACTGACTGGCTGCTCTTGGGCAGCACGGACTTGCCGGCGTGAACGCCAGCTGGGGACCTGACCCCTGTGACGTGTGCCCGGCACAGAAACAAGAGATAGGTCGTGAGTGTTGGCTGCATGGGCCCCCCGCTGTGGCACCCAGAGGGAGAGCACAGCCCTCCCTGCCCTCTGCTGGCCGCCCGCTGCCCTCCGAGGCTGACACTCTTCTGACCCTTGCCCTTTGGGTTTTTGCGAGTGAGGCCCGTCCCTCGGGTTGGCGTGGTTGTCCGTCACTTGCCATCAGCTGAGTGTGTCCTGTGTGACTGTCAAGTTGCTTTGCACTTAGACGTGCCATTGCCAAATCCAAGGTCGTGATTCATCCCTGTGGTTTTCTTGGTAACATCAGTTCTTAACGTTTAGGTTTTTGACCTGTTATGAGCTATTTTTTTAGGTGTGTGAGGTGGGGGTCCAGCTTCATTCTTCGGTGTGGAAATGCCCATGTCCCAGCTCACCGGTTGAAGAGACTCCCTGCTGGCTGGTCTGGGCACCTTTGTGAGAAGTCTTTTGGCTGTTCGTACAAGCATTTATTTTTGGCCTGTCTCTCCTGGCCCATTGGTCTATACATCTCTATGCCAGGGCCCCTGCCTTGATTACTGTTGCATCGTACTTAATTCTGAAATTGAAAATGTGAGCATCCAATTTGTTACGTTTAAAATTGTGTTGATCATTCTGGGTTCAGTTCCTTGAAATTCCGGGTGATTGTTAATTTCAGCAGAGAAAGCCCCCTGAGGTTCTGAGAGGGATTGCCTGGAATCTATGGGTCAGTTGGAGAGTGTTGCCATTTTAACAATATTTTGTCTTTCAGTCCATGAACTTGGGCTGTCTTTACATTTGTTTAGGTCTTAGTTACTTCTGACAGTGTTTGGTAGTTTTCAGAGTATTCAGTTTTACGGTGCTTTTGTTAAATTTATTCCTAAGCAATACATTTAAATTGATTCTTAAACATTTTTGATGTAATTCTGAGAGAAATGTTTTCCTCAGAGTTGTTTTGAAGTGGCTGTAAGTGTATAAAAATACAAGTACACTGGTACACTGATGCTCGCGGAACTTGCTTGTTCTGGCCGCTTGAGAGGATTCGTTGGCTTCCTGCACAGAAGCCGTGCTTGCTGCAGTCTGAGTTCTGCTCCTTCCCCTCCAGGCGGGAAGAGCCGCGTCACGCCCTGATCTCGGGGGCCTCAGGGCTCGCTGTTGAGTGTGGCTTGTGGGCTCTGGAGACGCCATCCCAGGTGTCCAGGGTCAGGAAGCTCCCTGCACCCTTTCTGCGGGCATCTGGCTCATGGGCACTGTGCGGACGGCGGGGCAGTGTCTTACGAGCCTCTGGGTTTCCTTCGCGGTTCCGGTTGGACACGGTGTCGAGTCTCATGTCTGTCGGCACTCGGCCGTTAGGTTTGGGGCCCAGGAGGCTGCAGTGACAGAAGTCCAGCGAGGGTGCAGGTGGAGGAAGCGTGTGGGGTCAGCCTTCCGTGCGGGCAGGTGGTGAGGGCCGGTTCGCCAGGGCCGGGCGGGGCTCGTGCCCCCCCCCCCCACCCGCAGGGGGCGCACTCTCCCTGGGCGTCCTCCCACTGCCCGGTGCCCCGCCCCGCCCCTTGGGTGCGTCCGCGGGGCAGCGCTGGGGGCGGTGCTGGGGACTGGCCGGGCGCCCGCACGGCAGTGACGGCAGGTGCTCCGTGGAGCAGGAGCCGGGGCAGCACGGACAGCGAGGAGGAGGATGACGACGAGGACGAAGACGAGGACGGCCGGGTCCGCGGCAGGCCCGGGCCCCCCTGCTACCCCAGCGCCGGCCGCCAGCCTCCGGGTGCGTGAGCGCGCAGCGTGGGCGCGGGCGGGGCCCTGCTGTCTGCCTCTCGCTCACAGCTTACTGCCCCCAGGCCCCAGCTGGACAGCTGCTTTTGACCCAGTGCCTATGGACGGCCCGGACGGCTCCCAGGACTGCAGGGACAGGGAGCCCCGCGGGGAGCATCCGGACCTCCCGGCCCCGTGCCCGGCTGGCCCTGCGACCCCCAGCACCCTGCAGCTCAGGTGAGGCCCGAAGCAGGGCCGGGGGTCTGGGGTGCCAGCGCCAGGCCCAGTCACCCTTCAGGCTCCTCCTCTTGCCTCCTAGGTCTCAGGATCCCGCCCCCCACTCCGCACCTCAGGAAGCCACAGACGGCAGCAAAGCAGCGGAGCCCGCGGGTGAGCCACCCCACCTCAGCCCCGGTGCCCGGCCTGTCCGCCCCGCCCTGCCCTGTCCAGCCCGGCCTCAGCCCTGGTGCTCGGCCTGTCTACCCCACCTCAGCCCCCTTGCCCGGCCTGTCCATCCACTCTGAGGGCGCTTGTGCTCGGCTTCGTGAGTCTCACTGCGGGCCGCTCTCCTCCGCACAGTCCCCTGCCAGGCCCTGCTCAGCGTCGGGGACCTCCAGGCTGGCCTCAGAGGGACGCGCTCCGCCCCTAGCTCCTTGGACAGGTACTGACTGCTGGGGGGGCCTAGAAAGCGAGCTTCTGGGGAGGCAGGGGGCTGATCCCCGGCTGTCCCCTTTTACAGGGCCCTGGAGCGCAGAGCTCCCGCTCAGCCCTGGGGTGGGAGGACTGGGTCGGCTAAGAGAGGGCAGGGGCTGGGCGCTGACCTGCAGCTCCTCCAGCTGCTGGGCGGCTCCCAGGGGCCCTGGGATGTGAGGGCGTCTGTGACAGTAACCCCGCGGTCCCCCTGCAGTGCAACCAGAGACCCTGCTACCTCTGTCCCGGCCCCCGGGGCCCACCAGCCCCCCCAGCCCCCAGAGGGGGAGAAGAGCCCAGAGTTCTCGGGGCTTCCCCAAAGCCAGAGGTAAGCACGGTGCTGCGGCAGGGGCAGCCGGTGTTCCATGGGGGCGCTGACTGCGCGCTCATCCTCTCTCCACAGTGCCCTGGTCCTCCAGCCGCTCCCGATGCCCAACGGCTCTGCCCCAGGAGGCCCGGCGGCCCCGGGCTCCCAGTGAGTGTGGGCGCTGGGGACGGAGGTGGGCGCTGGACAGAGGTGGGCGGGGACAAAGGCGGGCGCTGGCTGGAGGTGGGCGGGGCCGGCACTGGTTTCGGCGCCTTACACCTTCTCCCTCACTTCCCAGGTGACTGCCTGGTCCGGTGGCGGCGGCCACACGCTCCGTGCTCCGCGTGGGCCCTGTCCGGGTGAGGGCCGGGCAGGTGCCGCAGAGGCCCTGTCGCCCATTACCCACCCCGCCCTACACATGTCCCCGCTGGAGTCCAGGAGGCCGGCGCCCGGGAGACAGCCCCCACCCCCCATTGCACTGAGGAAAGAGATTACGGAGTTTTGTCTCCTAGAGTAAAGATAGAGTGGGCTAGAGAGAGGAGAGAGCGCGCGCGAGAGAGACCTATATTATATATTATATATATATATGTGTGTGTGTGTGTGTGTATCTGGAGGGAGCAGAGTGGGCACACGGGGAGCCAGGAAGAACCCAGAGCTGGGCGGCAGCCGCGAGGCCTTCACCCGGGCCCACTGGGGCTGCCGTGGGAGGTGCCAAGGTGACCACCACTCTCCCGTCCAGCCGTGCCCCCATCCTGCGGTGCAGACGCCCACACCCACACTCGGCCTTTCAGCTCAGGTCCGCCTTGGGGGAGGGCCCGAGTGGGGGGCCGTGCCTTTGCCCAGCCCCCTTGCCCCGGACCCTGCACTTTGACCCAGGCTGGGAGCTCCACCCGGCCCAGCCAGGTCTGTGGGAGGGAGCTGGGTTCCTGGTCCCAGGGGCTGTCCCTGGTGACATCGCCCCAGGACCCTGCTGCACTCACTGAGACCTCCATCTCCCACCGACCCCGGGTGGGGATCTGGCTGGGGTCCCACTCCTCCCGAGGGTCTGGGTGCAGCCCAGCTGCCAAGTGCCCTTGTCCCAGCCCCTCTCCCCAGGCGGGCGTGAGTGTGCGCGTGTGTTCGTGCGGAGCTTCTGTTTCATATTGCAAATGTAAACAAATAAAGGAGGACAGTTTAAGACTCGTGCTGCTCAGACCTCGAGTTCGGGGACATGGGGTCGGGGAGCCTGAGCTGGTCCCACACCGGGGCCTCCTGGGTGGGACCCTCAGAGCGTGGAATTAGGGTCCTTGGTCTCCTTGCTCCGCCGGTGGGGGGAACTTCTCAGCTAGGAAGGGTTTCCTGGAGGAGGCCCTGAGCACTCCTTGGTCCCGCCCCCCTGTACACACACACAGGCTCCGGGGGTTGGGGGTCGTGGTGGTGGACTTCCTGCCGGCCCATTCTCAGCCCTGTCACCCGCATGCCCAGAGCCCTTTCCCCTTGGTGAAGCAGTGGGGCTTGGGGGATTGGGGGCAGCCAACCAAGCCAGACGAGGCGCCCGGGGTCCGTGGCTTTTGGCGGAGACCGGCTGTGCTGTACGCTGTGGCTGGATGGACGTGGGGAGCCGTCCCTGGAGCCGCCTGTAGGCTAGCACACTGTCCAGTGCCGCTGTCCGCTGGGCCGGCCTTCCCAGAGGGGGCGGCAGGGTGGGGCGGGGCGGGGGCGGGCTCCTGAGAGACGGCCGGGCCCTGGGCCCTGGCGTCCCCCGCCCTTCCCACCTCGCTCTGCGAGCGCCCTGGGAGTTCAGCGCCCCCTTCCCTCTGAGCCGGCAGGTGCAGCCTGGTGGGAAGGGCGTGGCGACCAGGCTCCCTAGGCAAGGAGGAAGCCGGAGGGCAGGGGCTGCTGAGGGTGAGAGACCCTGGGTCCCGATGGCGCGGTATCAGCTGTGCCAGGCAGGACTGTCCCAGGGCGGGGCAGCATCTCCCCGAACCTCTTATCAGTCCCAGAGTCCACAGGACACTCCCGAGTTAACGTGTAACCACACGCCATCCCCACCACCCCTCAAAGCCAGCGGTGCCCTCATGCAGGCCACTGTGGGGGGCCGCAGGTCCGACCTGGACGCCCGGAAGGAGGGGCTGCCCTGGAGACCTCCCTTCTTAGCTCAAGTGAGCGCCGCCGAGTGGAGGACCAGGCCTGGGCTCCTGGGAACCTAAGCAACCTTGAAGAATCGGGGGCGGGGGCAGGGGCTGGGGCGGGGGGCGGGGGGCGGGGGCGGGGGGCGGGGGGCGGGTGTGGAGGAAGGTTCTGTGAGCCTGGACGTCCTGGTGCCTGTGCGGCTGCCCCAGGCCCTGGGCAAAAAGGCTAGGGTCCCTGGGCCGGGGTGGGCCTGGCTCCCAGGGGGCCGGGAGGGCTCTAGAGGGGGGCTGGTCCCGGGGACTGGGGGCTGGGCTGCATTGCAGCCGCTCAGAGGCCCCCTTACCCCCGAAGCACCCACAGCCGCGCATGGGCCTGGGGCTGCTCCCGTTCTTCCTCGCCTGTGCCGTCTACCTCCTCGTCCAGAGCTCCACGGACCAGCCGTCCAGGGTCAGCGCCCTGCTCAAGAGCCTGCCCGTCCTCTACCTGGCGGGGTTCCTGGGGACCGCGCACCCTGGCGGGGGCTACCGCTCACTCCTGCAGGGGGCCCTGCTGTGCTCGGCCGTAGGGGACGCCTGCCTCGTCTGGCCTGAGGCCTTTCTCCACGGTGAGAGCGGGTGATGGGATATGTTGCCTTGTCCTGTTTGGACGCCCCCCGCCCCGCGCCCCGCGCCCCAGGGGGTAGAGGGTGGGATGCCGGGGGAGGTGGGGTGACTCCCCAACAGAACGCCCTGGGGAGCCCAAGGCCATGAGGAGACTCACCCAGACCCCGGCCCCTGCTGAGCGCCTCCCACTTGGGCGCGAGGGCTTTACCCGAGGCCGCGTGAGCGCGCAGGGCTCGCGGTCTCGAGTACGCTGGCAGAGGCCAGCCTCACCGGGAAGGTAACGCCTGAAACGGGATGCAGGTCGCAGCCAGGTGCCCCTGCAGGCAGAGGGCTGGCAGGTGCAGGAGGCGGGGTGTGTGCAGCCGCCAGGGCCCCTGCAAGCGGGGGTGTTCGTCCGCGGGCGGTTAAGAGCAGAACCGCATGGAATGCGGTGCATGCCTGAGGTGGTTTGGGGGCTAACGGCCAGAAGGGACGGCCGAGGAAGCCACCCTGGAGACGGGGCGGTATGGCCCGGGTGGGAGCTGGCCCCGGGGTCCGCCCTCCTCCTCGGGCTGAGGGCTGCAGGGTGAAGCTGGGGAGCAGCAGGCTTTACCAGGCGCCCTGCCACCACCACCACCCTGCCCCCCGCCCGCATGTCTCCTGCAGGCATGGCTGCCTTCGGCCTGGCCCACCTGCTCTACCTCTGGGCCTTCGGCCTCACGCCCCTGAAGCCCGGCCTCCTGCTGCCCATCCTCCTGGTCTGTGCCCCCTACTTCGGGTTCCTGCTTCCTCACTTTCCGCCCAGCCTGGTCTGGCCTTTGCTGGCTTACTCCACGGTCCTGCTCTCCATGCCGTGGCGGGCCCTGGCCCGGGGTGGAAGTGCCCGCTGGGGTGCCCTGCTGTTCCTGCTGTCAGACGCCATGCTGGCCTGGAACACCTTCTTCCACCAGCTGCCCCATGGCCACCTGCTGGTCATGACCACCTACTATCTCGCCCAGATGCTCATCGCCGTGTCGGCCTTCCAGAGCCCCAGGCTCAAGTCCCACTGACTCAGGGCTGAGGTGGGCAGACATCCGCCCCCTCTCCTCCTGCAAGGATCTGACCCCCACCCCAGACCAGTAAAGCCAGAGAAACATCCTTGAGGGCTAGAGCCAGGCCCCCCACTCCAGTCTGCTGGTGCCGGTTCATCTGGAGACTCAACCGTTCCTGGAGTTCTGAGTCCACCACCGAGTTCCCACTGCCTTCCCTGCGTTCTGAATTCCAGGACCTCAGCCAGACCCATGCTGGGTCCCCCCCAGCCCCTGGCCTACTTCTGTGACCCCAAATGCTCTCCGCATGTCCCCTTCCCGGTGGCCCTGATCTATTTTTCTGTTGCTTAAAGTAAAGTGGGTGTTGAACCAGTGACAGCACTGTTAATTTGGGGAGGGGTGATCACAATAACAGCAAATGAGTCATTTTCCTCACCCCCTACCCCCGCACAGAATTTACCATTTTAACCGCTTTTAAGCCCATGATTTGGTGATAGTCAGTCCATTTGCAGGGTTATGCTTTGAACAGCTGCTTCGAGCCCTCCCTTGGGAACACGTGTTTGCGTGTACAACGCAGTGATGTTAACTGTGTCCACGGCGGGCTGCCCGTGGCCCAGTCCTGGTGCCCAGGACTTGGGGGGCGGGGCGTGGAGTAACCCCCCTCCCTAGGGCTCTTTAATGGCAGCAGGGATGCATCGTGTCTGACATCCAGATGAGGATGTTACCGAGCTGAGGTCAGGAGGCTGGCCGATGTTAGGTCCCTGTGGCTGCTGTCAGAAATTACCATAAGCTGGGTGACTTAACAGAAGTTAAACCTCACAGTTCTGGAGGCCACAAGTACAAATCCATGGTGTCGGCAGGGGCGCCCTCTGTCCAGGGCGTGCTCAGGGGAAGGTCCTTCCCATCCCTCTCAGCTCCTGACAGCCCAGCCACACTTCCCGTGGTGTTCTCCCTCTGCGAGGCTGTCCTTTCCCAGGGACCCAGTAGTTGGACTGAGGGCCCACCCTAAGTCCATGGCAATCTCATCCCGAGATTCTTAACTTCATGACATCTCCAAAGACCCTGTTCCTAAACAACATCACATCCATAAAGGCCCGGGCTCAGGACTTGGGCACATCCCTGTGGGGACCACAGTTCAGCTGACTGCAAACACACCCATATCAGAAGAGGAGAGGGCTGAGGAGATGAGGAAACTCAGAGGGGGCTTGGAGGAGGGGGTAGGTAACCACACAGTGGGAATAGAGTACTGAAGAAGAAAGAACCCAGGTGTGGCCCTCATCTTGGCTGTGACCCAGGCAGCCCTCTGCCCTTTGAGCCTCAGGTCCTGCACGTGAGGACAGAAAACGGAACTGCTCTCCAAACCCTGCTCACTTTCTACAGCCATGGTGTGCCTTTAGGGACTCTTATGGCAGAGAAGGGACTTCTACAACCATAATGTGCTTTTAGGTACTCTTATAGCAGAGAGGAGACTTCTACAGCTATGATCTGCTTTTAGAGACTCATAGCAAAGACGGGACAGGGACTTCTACACCCGTGTTATGGTTTTAGGGACTCATGGCAGGAGACTGCTACATCCAAGATGTGCTTTAAAGGATTCCCCCCTGCCCCAGAACCCACCCTTGGTTTTTAGTCCCTGCCCCACCTACAGGCCAGGACCCCCCACTCACCACAGAGAACCGCCTCAGGCCAGATGAGGCAGGTGATCTGACTGGGGCGGGTGACTGCTCTTCACAATCTCAGATGCCACGTTGGCCGGGGTGCCTTCCTTCAGCTGCAAGCGTGCTTGGTGGTCATGGACCACCTCCTACACTGCCCAGGTCCTCATCACTCTGTCAGCCATTGAGAGTGGGAAGCTCACAACAGAGTAACTGCAGGGTAAATAAAGTGAGCACCCTCTCCCCTCGTAAAGAGCCCCCAGAACAACCTCCCACCCAGGAAGAAGTGCTAAGGAGCAATATTTCCAGCCTCCATCTGTCTGAACCCCATGTTCTGTTTTTTGAAACAGATATGGGTGACATGTAACTGTGTACCTTTCAGGCACGCTAGTGTTGATTTGATACATGGATATGTCACAGTATGAGTACCCCAGGAATATTAGCTAACACCTCTTGAGTCATCACATAATGACCCTTGCTTTATTGTGGTGGGACCAATTAAAATCTAGTCTTTTAGCAGCCTTGTAATTTATAATACAGCATTGTTGTCTGTGGTCACTCTGCTGTGACCATGATCTGTTTGAAGGCATTTGTATCCAATTCCTAAAAATGTTATGATGGCAGGTTTATTGGGATACTCTCAGACTTCCTTGGTGGGTCAGACTATAAAGAATCTGCTTCCCGTCCTGGAGACCCGGGTTTGATCCCTGGGTCAGGAAGATCCCTTGGAGAAGGAAATGGCAATCCACTTCAGTACTCTTGCCTGGAGAATCCCATGGACAGAGGTGCCTGGAGGGTGGGCTACAGTCCATGGGGTCACAAAGAGTCGGACACGACTGAGTAACACTTTCGCTTTCTCCACCTACCACCCAACAGCTCACTCAAAACTGTAGATGTGGTTTTTAGTATATTCACAAGAGTTTTCAACTAGCAATCTCAGAGCATTTTCATCACCCCAAAAAGAGACCCCATGCCTTAAACTAATCACCCACCGCCTCCAGCCCAAGGCAACCACTAGCTTGTTGTTTAGGCCCTCAGTTGTGTCTGACTCTTTGTGACCCCATGGACTGTAGCCCACCCTCCAGGCTCCTCCATCCATGGGATTCTCCAGGCAAGAGTACTGGAGTGGGTTGCCATTTTCTCCTCCAGAGGGTCTTCCCGAACCAGGGATCAAACTCACGTCTCCTGCATTGGCAGGTGGAGTCTTTATTGCTGAGCCACCAGGGAAACCCAACCACTAGCTTGCAGGATCTTAGCTCCTTGAGCAGAGATTGAACCCCGGGGCCGTGGTCGTGAGAGCCCAGAGTCCTAACCACAGGACTGTCTGGGAATTCCCCATAATGCGGCTCTAAATGTTGGCATTTCCAGTGATTTGGGTTTTCCAGGTTTTTTTCTTTTTCTAAATTGAAGAATAGTTGATTTACAACTTATTAATTTCTACTGTACAGCAAAGTGATTCAGTTTTATATGTGTGTGTGTGTATATATATATATATATGAATATGTACTGTGCTCTGCTAAGTCGCTTCAGTTGTATCCAAGTCTTTGCAACCCCATGGACTAGCCTGCCAGGCTCCTCTGCCCATGGGATTCTCCAGGTAGGACCTTGTTTATCCTTCAGTGTTTCATGATGATAAACCATTATGACTCTGCACGCAATCCCAATGTAGGGCTTGCTCCCCTCACCCACCAAGCACAATCTCCCAACACCAGCTGGGCGTCCTGCAAGTCAGCTCAGTTCTGACACTATCCCACAGGTTGAGGACTCAGCCCTACAAAACTGACCCCCCCCCACCCCCCACCCGCACTTCAGATGCCAGTCAGAAGCCCGGGTTGTTACCTGTGCTTCTGACCAACCGGCTATAAGTCAGATATTCTCAAGACCCCCTCCTTGGCTTGGATTAACTTGCTAGAACAGGTCACAGACTGCAAAGAAACGTGCCTGCTGCATCCCTGGGACGTCACATCAGTCAGGAACAGGAGAAGGGAGAGGAGCGCAGGGCAGGAAGCGGGGCAGGAGCCCAGGGCTTCCCTGCCCTGCCCGGAGAGCCTTCCGCACCTGCTCTCTTCACTTTCACACCGCAAGTGAGATCCCGGCAGCTTGTGTGTGCAGATCATCAGGAAGGCAAAGCCCTTCTGCAAAGCCCTTCTGGATACCCGCGGTCTAGGGACTAATCCACAGTAAGTGTGGTTGCCGTTTTATCGAATGGCTTCAAAGAGCCAGACGTTGTTCCAAGATTTGATGCGCACTACCTTATTCCTACCACGTATTTCAAGGGATTGTGCCCACTTCTGTCGATTTGGCATCTGAGTCACTTCGAATTGAAGCCAGGTGCTCACGGGCCCAGGTAGAACGGTGGTGCGTGGGCCTGCAAATAGGGACGGTCTGAGGGCGGCCGGAGCTTGCAGATGCAGGGAAGGCAGAGCCCATAGGCAGGACAGGTGAGACGCCGGCCTGGCGCTGAACCGTCCACTCGAGGGGTGGGCATTTTTCCCCCCACCAGAGCAGCCCCCTTGCTGCCGCCCCGCCCCGCACACCCGGGACCTGCGTCGTGCCTTCACCAGGCCTCGGGAAGCGGCGCCTTAACCTCGGGGCAGGAAGGGGATACCTCAAGGCCAGGCGGAGCCCAGTGTCCAGAGGTGAGGACCGAGGCTGCGGGGCGGGGCGGGCCCCAGGCTACAAGCCTCCACTTCCTCCTCCTCCCTTCCTGCCCTGACCTGTGGCCTCACGTTGGACTGGGAGAGGGGAATTCTTGCGCTTAAAGTCCATCAGGTGGAAGGTCCCGGGGCTGGGACGCCTGGGTCCCTCGGCAACGTCCGCAGACATGACCGGGGCCGGCGGGGGCCTCCAGGCCTGGGGGAGCCTGGTGCTACTGGTGAGTCCCCCAGGACCCCGGGTCCGAGGGAGAGGGATGCTGGGGTCCCAGAACGCCGGCCCCGCAGGGGGCGGGGCTGATCCTTCCCTGGAAAACAGGCTTCCGGATTGGGGGAGGTTCCGAGGGAGGCTTACACACACCTGGTCTCTCAAGATCCTCCTGTGTTTGCTGTGGAAGTAAACGTTGGTTATTGGCAAGACTCAGGTATTTTATAAAGAGAAGGGAGTCAGACCCAGGCCCTCCCCCCTCAGACCCGGGGGTCCAGGCCCTCCGCCCCTCCTCCCTCAGACCCAAGACTTCCAGATCCTCAGCCTTTTCTCCCTAAAACTCAGGGGTGCAGACCCCCAGCCTCTCCTCCCTCAGATCAGGGGTCCAGGCCCCAGCCTCCTGCCTCAGATTGGGTGACAGCTTCCTGGTTCCCAGCCCCAGTCCCTTCCTTCATTCCCAGCCTGTTGATCCCTGCCCTTGATCTTCCAAGGCCATATTTTTCAGGAAGTGAAACCACTCAGTTTATCTCAGCACCTTATGCTTGAAGCCAACCCCAGCTCCTGGGTCCCTGGAGTCCTGCCCCTGCCTCACCACCCCGCTCCCCCTCCCCAACACACACACCCCCCCCGGAGCAGACGGAAGGTCCTGGGGGTGACCTTTGTCGGGGCCTGGCCTGGGGGAGGAGGTGCGGTGCCCTGCTCCTGCCCTCCCGGAGCACTGGCTCACAGGGGCCAGGGGCACTCGGGGAGAGTCACTGGCTGGCCGTCCCACCTGGGGAGAAGTGGGGTGAGCCTCAGAGTCTGATTCTCCCCTCTGGGCTGTCTCCAGGGCCTGTGCAGCTGGACAGGCGCCAGGGCGGCTGGTGAGTGACCCCTGCCTGAGTTCACAGCCCACACAAAGCCACCGCACCTCGATGCCCATGAGCTTTGTGGCGGGGAGGGGTGGTGGGGAGGTGTCTCTATGGAGGACAAAGTGGCCACGGCAGGTGCCCGTGGGAACGGTCCTTTCCGGACACGGGGCAGGAGCCGGGGGTGGTAGAAGGGACAGGACTCTCTGCCCCTGCCGGGAAGCTCGCTGCGGAGGCCCAGACCAGCATCGCTACAGAAATCCCACTGGAAAGTGCTGCTCTAGATCTTTGTCACTCAAGTGTGATCCATGCATGGTCAGCGGCCCCCGAGAGCTGAGCTGTGCGTGCAGAGCCTCCCTCCCACCCCGGGCCCCTGAGTCAGAACCCGACTGTAACGAGACCCCTAGGGATGTGCATGCACGCTGAGTCTCGGGAGGCGCTGATCGGGACCAAGTGCCCACATCTGTCTTCCGGGCCCATCACTGAGACAGGCCTGGGAGCTCGCCCTGAGAGTCAGACATGCCCAGTGACTCTCCCCCACACTGACCCCCTCTCCCCTGCTCACACCCTATCCTTCTTCCTAACTTCTCAGCCTCCAGCCCCGTCAGGAACCTCACTGTGGAGGCTCAGACCAGTAGCTCCATCACCCTGAGGTGGGAGGCGCCTGGAGATTCTGACCCTCAGGTCTACTGGATCTGGTGGACTGGTGGCAATAATGCAACTGGGTCTCAAAACACAACAAATACCAGTGTCACAGTGGAAAGACTTGAAGCTGGGACCTTGTACAAATTCTCTGTGTGCGCAGTAAAGGATGGACTCAATTTCTCCTGCGTGCCTCTCAACGCCAGCACAGGTGAGAGGCAGCCGCCATTCATACCCGTTTGTGTTTTTTAATGGGAGGTGACAGACGGTGGTGGAGAGTTGACAGGAGAATGTGGCACACTCCCTCGCCCAGGGTCCCTTTGGGCCACAATGAGCAGGGGATGAAGAAGGAGGGGCTCTGAGTGGGGATTAGTCAGGGTTCTCAACTAAAGAATACAGAGCACAATACTCGGGAGAATCTCCCTTAGCAACCAGGGATGGGGGCAGAAGCACATTACCTGAGCTCTGGGGTGTGGCGTTAGGTACTGTGGAATGTGGATACGCTGACCCTCTGACCCTTTTTCTCCTAGTTCCCAATGGTGTCAGAGCCTTGAGTTTGGAGGCTCAGACCATGAGCTCCTCCACCACCCTGACGTCGACAGCCATGCACACCCAGTGTGCACGCTGAAGCTTGGGAGACGCTAGTCTAGACCATGTGCCCCGCGTGTCCTGGGCCAGTAGCTGGGGAAGGCCTGGGAGCTCACCCTGTGGGTCAGACACGCCCAGTGACTTTCCCCGCCCCTGCTCACCCCAAATCCTTCTTCCTAACTTCTCAGCCCCCAACACCGTCAGGAACCTGACTGTGGAGACTCAGACCAACAGCTCCATCACCCTGCACTGGGAGGTGCCTAATGGCCCTGAGCCTGAGAACTACTGGGTCCAGTGGACTGGTGATGGTAATGCAACTGGGTCCCAAAACACAACAAATACCACTGTCACAGTGCAAGGACTTGAAGCTGGGACATTGTATGAATTCTCCGTGTTCGCAGTAAAGGATGGAGTCAGTAGCTCCTGGGTGCCTCTCAACGGCACCACAGGTGAGAGGCAGCCGCTATTTGTATTGTTTTTGTTTTTTTTAATGGGAGGTGACAGATGGTGGTGGAGAGTTGACAGGAGAACGTGGCAAACTCCCTCACCCAGGGTCCCTTTGGGCCACAATGAGCAAGGGATGAAGAAAGAATACGTGCCCTGCAAGAAGAGAAGCCAGCACAGTGAGAAGCCTGCACACTGCAGCCAAGAGTAGACCCCACTCACTGCAAATAGGGAAAGCCTGCTTGCAGCCATGGAGGCCCAGTGTAACCACAACGATTCATTAATTTGTTAATTACAGCAGTGCTAGTGGTAAAGAATCCACCTGCCGGTGCAGGATACACAAGAGATGCGGGTTTGATCCCTGGGTCGGGAAGATTCCCCTGGAGAAGGAAATGGCAACCCATTCCAGTATTCTTACCTGGGACATTCCATGGACAGAGGAGCCTGGTGGGCTACGGTCCATGGGGTCACAGAGTCAGACATGACTTGAGCACACATGTGAGACACACACACACACCAGAAAGACCAGAGTCAACAGCTGCATCTGGAAAGCTGACATGTCCAGAAGTGAGACTGTTCTGTCCCTGGGGCAGCCTGTGACAGACAATGAAGTGTATGGTGAGGGTGGGACCCAGGGCTGTAGACCCCGGACAGAGGGCCTGGGCAATCCTGGCCCCCCACCCCCGGCCACTTTTCTGTGGTCCGCACTTCTTAGCAAGCAGACGCCCTCCCATGCCTGGGTATTTCTGCTTTGCTCTGAGGAGGAGGAGACTGGGGCACCACGGGTGTGGGGCGGAGGGGAGGGGTCCTTGGGGATCCAGCCCCTTCAGTCTCTATCCTCGCTTCTCAGCTCCCACCAAGGTCATGGACCTGCAGAAGCAAAATCAGACCAACAGCTCCATCACCCTCCGGTGGGAGGCCCCTGCAGACCCACGGCCCCAGTTCTATGTGTACTGGGTCCAGTGGGCCGGCAGAGGCCATCCGCAGAGGACGCAAGATCCCCAAGGACAGCAGGACAACCAGACCAGCAGGACCAACAGCACTTGCTACATGGTGGAGGCACTGATGCCCGGTACTCGGTACCGCTTCAGCGTGTGGGCCGAGAGCAACGGTGTACACGGTTACAAACAGAGCCTCAATGCATCCACGGGTGAGATGGGGCTCCCTTTTACCTGGTGGGGGGAGGGGGGTTAGGTCAGGTCTGGGGGCAGTGAGAGGTGAGCGGACTCCAAATCCCATCAGGCCATGGGGCCATGGTGTCATGTGTTGCAGTGACACGGACGGTCAAAGGGCTCGTGGGAGTTGTAGTCTGTGGAGACCTGTGGCCTGGCCACGAGTGGACACAGAGAGCGAGGGGTGAAGAGGTACTCTGGTTTGGGGGAAGGAAAGGACGCGCTGGTTCTCAGAGAACCGGCCCGACTGGTGGGGAGCGGGGCAGTGGGAAGTCCCCCCGGATGGAGCCTCCTGACGCCTCTCATCCTCCTGCACACAGCCCCGGATCCTGCCAGCATCAACTCCTGTGTCATCACCTCGGGGGGCCACGAGGTCACCCTGGCCTGGTCCTGCCCCGAGGGAGGCTACGAGGCCTTTGAACTGGAGTTTGAGGGGCAGCCGGGCCCCCAGAACAGCTCCTCCTGCGGGAGTGCCGTGAAGGTGTCGTTACTCAGGCCGGCTCAGTCCTTCTCAGCCACCGTCACGACCGTCTGGGATGAGATGAGGGCCCCATCTGCCTCGGTGGCTTGCCACGTGGAGAGCGGGCATGCAGGTGAGCGGAGCCCCGGGGAGAGGGGACTCGTGACCTTCTCCCCAGACCTCTTCAGGCCCTGCTCTGAGGCAGGGCTGCCCGCCTGGGGGGTCCTTTTTGCTTGTGTTTTGTCTCCTGCTTTCTTTAAAACAGCTCTGTTGAGATGTGATTCCTGTAACATACAACAGTTCACCCACTGAAAGGGTACAACCTAATGGCTGCTGCATATTCGCAGTATGTGCAGCCATCGTTGCCATCAGTCTTAGAACGTTTTCGTCATCCCATCAAGAAAAGAAAAGTTGTCCCCTTAAGCCTTGTTGTTGTTCAGTCGCTCAGTCGTGTCCAACTCTTTGAGACCCCATGAACCACAGCACGCCAGGCCTCCCTGTCCATCACCAGCTCCCGGAGTCCACCCAAACTCATGTCCATTGAGTCGCTGACCCCATCCAACAATCTCATCCTCTGTTGTCCCCTTCTCCTCCCGCCTTGAATCCCTCCCAGCATCAGGGGCTTTTCTAGTGAATCAGCAGTTCACATCAGGTGGCCAAAGTATTGGAGCTTTAGCTTCAGCATCAGTCCTTCCAATGAACACTCGAGGTTGATTTCCTTTAGGATGGACTGGATTGCTCTCCTTGCTGTCCAAGGGACTCTCAAGAGTCTCCTTTAAGCCTGTTACCCCCTGACTTCCCCTGCCCCCCACCATCACCCCTGTCTTCCCCAGCCCCCCACCATCACCCCCCGACTTCCCCAGCCCCCACCATCACCTCCCAACTTCCCCCGTCCCCCACCATCACCGACTTCCCCTGTCCCCCACCATCACCCCCCGACTTCCCCAGCCCCCCACCATCACCCCCGACTTCCCCATCCCCCACCATCACCCCTGTCTTCCCCAGCCCCCCACCATCACCCCCCGACTTCCCCAGCCCCCCACCATCACCCCCGACTTCCCCTATCCCCCACCAACCAGCTGTTGATGCCCTCTAACCCACACCTGTCTCTCTAGATCTGCCCCTCCTGATCTGTCCTAGAATACACTCATGCAGTGTGTGGTCCTTCATGACCGGTTTCCCTCACTTAGTGTAATGCTTTTAAAGCTCATCCGCTGTTCTGATGTTGCTTTGTTGCTTTTTAAAAATTAATTATTCGTTTTTGGCTGTGCTGGGTCTTGGTCGCTGCAAGGGCTTTTCTCCAGTTGTGGGGGGCGGGGCTCCTCGCTAGTTGGGGTGCGCTGGTTTCTCGATGCGGTGGCGTCTCTTGCTGCAGAGCACAGGCTCTGGGGCGTGTGGGCTTCAGGAGTTGTGGTGCGTGGGCCCAGGCGTCGCAGCCCTCGGGCTCTGGAGCGCAGGCTCAGTAGTCGTGGCACACGGGCTTAGTTGCTTCGAGGCCTGTGGAATCTTCCCGGACCAGGGATCGAAGCTGTGTCGCCTGCACTGGCAGGCGGATTCTTACTGCAGAGCCACTGGGGAAGCCCCCGAGCAACTGATGACTTTTGAGGAGCAACTGGGGGACTAAGAGGCTGTGGGGCAAGGTTTGATCGGTGGGCGGAAGGGGGACGTCCTCCTCTGCCTCCCCTGCCCTCGAGTCTGCGCCGGGGGCCTCTGATCTCAGTCTGGGGGACTCGGGACGGCAGGAACGCAGCCCCGGCTCTGACAGCGCCCACCCTGCCTCCCCCAGGGGTCATTGCCGGAGCCGTGGTCGGCGTCCTCCTGTTGCTCGTTGTGCTGGGCCTGCTGGTCTTCTTCCTGAAGAGGTGAGACTCGGCGCAGGGCTCACGGGGCACCTGGAGGGGGGCCCGGGGGACAGACGGGGACCCTTGCTCCAACCTCATTCCCCGAGCCTTTCCTCCCCCTGTCCTTTTCCCAGGCATCGGGAGAGGGAGAAGAAAACTGCACCCAAGGATCTGCAGATCAGGTGAGCCGGTCTGGGGAGCACACAGCGACTCGCTGTCAGGTCAAATCCAGTTGGCCGCCGGACAGGTCAGAGGGCAGGACTAGGGGACCCGACCGCACACGCCTCGAAGGACCAGCCCCCTGTGGCAGGGACCGTCATGCCTCCACCGCCGCCCGCTCCCTAAATGCTCCAGGCCCGTGGCTACGGAATGCCTTCAGTGTCCACTCTGGGAGTCCCGCTCATTCATCCAACAGCACGTCCACCGAACCCCTGTTAAGAGTCAGGCAGTGTTGTAGGAAGCAGCAATGGAAGCAAAGATTCCTGCCCTTGTGGAGCTTACATTCCAGCACAAAGACTTCCCTGCGGGTCTAGGGGTTGGAACGCCAGGCTTCCACTGCAGGGCACACGGGTTAGACCCCTGGTCGGGGACCTAAGATCCTTCAGACTTCGAGGCACAGCCAAAAGCAAACACACTAGCACACAGGAAGCAGAACAAGTTGATGAAGGCCGTGATGGTTCCGTGGAGACAAATAGAGTGAGAGGTGGGGCTGAGAAGAGTAGGGGAGCAGTATTTTAAATAGGGTATCCAGGAGCAACCTCACTCAGCAGATGACTAAGAGAAAACCATTTGAGGACAGACCTGAAGCAAATGAGGGGAAGAGCCCTGCGCCCACCTGGGGAAAAGACATTCCAGGAGGAGGCCCCGAGGCAGTCGCCCTCTTGGGGTGTTGGGAGAACAAGCCGTGTCTCTGAGGCTGAGCAGAGTGCGGCTGAAGGCAGGTGGGTAGGAAGTGAGGTTGGAGAGGTACCAGGTGGGGTCAGATGAGAGTGAAGACTTTGCATTTTATCTGGAGATCGCAGTGTTTGGAAAGTTTTGAGTAGACCCGTGATCCAGTTAAGAAGCAAAGACGAAAAAGCAGGGAAGCAGCAAGATGTGTTTAATAATGCAGACGTCGTTAAGCCTCAGAGCAGGAAGCGGTTAGAGGGAATCAGACTCAAGATGTCATCTGAGTGTTTAAACAGCAGATCTGGTTAAAGATTGGATGTGTTGGTGTGGAACTCAGAGAGGGCTCAAGAGTGACCCCGCGGCATTTAGGCTGAGCCCCAGGAAGGCTGGAATCACCACGACTTGAGGTGGAATGCCTGTGGTGGGGGCAGGTTTGGGGGGAAAGTGTCAGGAGCTGAGTGGTGGACACACTGACTTTGAAACGCTTGTTGGATGTGCAGGTGAAGACGAAGATAAACAAGCCATTGGATAAAGTTCTGCAGTTCAGGAGAATATTTGTGCAGATGCCTTCATCCCTCTGGGTCAATCGTCTTTAAATCTCTTCGTTAGAATAGTCCCCAGGGATTAACAGAGGAGAGTCAGGGCAAGGAGTTAAGGAAAGCTGGGAGACCAGCTGTGAGGTTGTTGTTCAGTTGCTCAGTGCAGTCCGACTCTGTCACCCCATGGGCTGCAGCGCGCCAGGCTCCCCTGTCCTTCACTACATCCAAGAGCTTGCTCAAACTCATGTCCATTGAGTCGGTGATGCCATCCAACCATCTCATCCTCTATGTCCCCTTATCCTCTTGCCTGCAATCTTTCCCAGCATCAGGGTCTTTTCCAACGAGTCAGTTCTTCACATCAGGTGGCCAAAGTATTGGAGTTTCAGCTTCAGCATCAGTCCTTCCAATGAATATTCAGGACTGATTTCCGTTAGGATTGACTGGTTTGATCGCCTTGCTGTCCCTGGGACTCGTGGGCACAAAAAGAAAGAGGGGATGGCCACCAGAGGTAGGTGCCTGAGGAGGAGTAAATACAGGTGTGGGGGACGATGATGTCCAGTTTCTCCTTCGCCGTAGAATCTGTTCTGGCCAGCATCCTGCCTCCAGTCACCCTCTGACCTCTCCCCCCGATCCTGTGTCCATTATATGGCACCTGCGACACATCTCTGCACCCACTGGATTCCAAGTCTGGTCCCGCCTATACGTCGAGCATTTTGCCATCTTCCACCTTGGTGTGTGTGTTTGCATGTGCCAGCGACGACCCTCGGGCAGTCACGGGTAGAGATTCCTGGAAGCTGGTGGGAAACAGGTCCCAAGCGCAGGACGGGGAGAAGTAGGGACTGGAGATTTACAAATCGCAGACTAAGGTGAAGCTGCAGAAGTGGTCAAACCCCATGAGAAGCGTGTGTCCAGTGGGAAAGGGGGACTCGAGGATGGACTCCTAGGAACACCCCCATTTTAGTATGGATGGAGGGTGAGGGGCCCACCGAGGAGGAGGAGCAGCGGGCAGAGAGGCCGGTGGTGGCGCCAACCAGGAGAGGGTGGATCCAGAAAAAAACCGAAGTGCCGTCAGCGGCGCCGAACGCTGCGGAGCACTGACTCGAAGGATGGCCTGAGAGGCGGCCTCTGGAACTGGAGATAAGGAGGCAAATCAGATAGGGGACTTTGAAAACAGTCCTTGTTCCCCTGGAGTTGCGGTGCAGACAGCAGGCTTCGGTGAAGGGTGGGAAGGAAGCAGAGAAAACCAGCCTGCCTGAGGAGCCTGAACGCAAAGGGGCATTTTCATCCGTCTCGTCGTTGTGTGGGTATGATGAAGCCACACCACGTGGAGGCAGTGTCCTGCATGCACAGATCCCAGCGAGGGTCGCATGCCACACCAGGCAGGGCCACGCAGACACAGACCAGGGTCGGGAGGCGGGGGACCCCCAAGGAAGTGCACGCCAAACAGGTTCAACTGGAATCACCTCAGCGGACCCTGAGGGCTGTTCCCTGTTGCTGGTGACAATCTGAGCAGACAGCCCAGCATGTGTGGTCCTGAAAGGGGTGGTGATGAGGGTGTGCAATTTAATCAGCTCGTCAGGAAGGAGAACTGGGGAGCTCCCTGGTGTCCGGTTCACCGCCAGGGCCAGGTTCAGTCGCGGATCAGGGTTGGGGATCTCCTGCAGACCACGCAGCTCGGCCAAATGAATAAATACAAATGGAAAGTGTAAAAATAAACCAAAAACCAATTACGTTAAAAAAAAAAGAAAAACAAGAAAAAACAAAACGAGAACTGAGCTGGTGAGCCTCCAGCCAGGACTCAAAGCCGAGTTTGGACGACTGTCCTTGTAGCACTGCACTCCAAGGGAGGGGGCGTGAGCACCTGGAGTGGGAGCCCCGCGAGCTGATGGGACGCTTTGTAGTTTTGGCTGTGCTTCATCTCAGCTGCCCTTTAGGCTTTTCTGCAGCTGCAGGGCGCAGGCTTCTCACCGCGGTTTTCTGCAGCTGCAGGGCGCAGGCTTCTCACCGCGGTACTTCTCTTGTTGCCGGGCACCAGGGATCGAGCCTGTGTCCCCTGCATTGGCAGGCAGGTTCTTTACCACTGAGCCACCAGGGGAGCCCCAGACGATTACTTTTTTCAGTTCGAAAGTGAGAGCAGCACGTTCACACACGAACGGGGAGAGGGCAGACCCATGCAGGGCCGCAGGGGATTGGGGCCTAGACATGGGCAGAGGCCCCAGAGGGCAGAGGAACACCTCTCCCTCTTTTTGAGTCAAAACAAATCCCAAGGGGCTTCCCTGGTGGTCCAGGGGTTAAGACTGTGCTTCCAGTGCAGCGCGCCTGGCTTCCATCCCTCCTCAGGGAACCTGATCCCACTTGTCACAACTAGGATCCAGCATAGCCAAAAAACAAACAAGCAAATTTTGATCGTGGTAAAAAGACAGATAACCTGTAATTCACCACTGCAGACTGTTTTTAACTGCCCAGTTCAGTGGCACTAAATCCACTCCCATTGTTGTGCAACCGGCACCATCGTCTATCCATATAACTCTAAAAAAAAAACACAGCTTTGTTTACTTAGGCCAAGTTGCATGACTTGTGGGACCTTAGTTCCCCAGTCAGGGATCAAACTGGCACCCTTGGCAGTGAAAGTTTGGAGTCCTAACCACCGGACTGCCGGGAGAGTTCCCTAGAGAACTCTTCACCTGGCAAAAATGAAACTCTGTACCCAGCAAACACTAACTCCCCATTTGCCCAATCTCCCCAGCCCCTGAAACCCCCTTCTGCTTTCTGGTTGTATGAGTTTGATGACTAGCTGCCTCACATGGATGGAATCGTATTTGTCCCCTTGTGACCGTCTCATTTCACCCAGCAGCAGGCCCTCATGTTCGTCCATGTTGCCTTATGGGTCAGAATTTCCTTCCTCCTGAAGGATGAATAATATTCCACTGTATACATAGACCACGTCTTCTTGATCCATTCCTCTATCAATGGACACTTGGTTTGCTTTCACTTTTTAGCTACTGTGAATAACGCGGCTATGTACACGGGTGTACAAATATCTGAGACATTGCTTTCAATTCTTTTGGGTGTATACCCGCAGACGGATTGGATGAATGAGAAACAAAATCCCTAATGTAAAAGATGTCTGCACCTCCCATGTTCATAGCAGCAGTATCCTCCATAGCCAAGATATGGTAACAACCTGGATGGCCATCAGTGGATGAATGAACAGAGAAGATGTAACATACATAGATGCTAGAATATTACTGAGCCATAAAAAAGGAATGAAATGATGCCATTTGTGACACCGTGGATGGACCTTTAGGGCATTATGCTAAGTGAGATTAGTCAGAGGACAATAAGTACTGTATGATGTCACTTACATGTGGAGTGGTCGAGGGAATTCCCTGGTGGTCCAGGGATTAGGAGTCAGTGCTTTTACTGCCAGAGGCTTGGGTTCAGTCCATGGTCAGGGAACTAAGATCCTGCAAGCTTTGTGGCACGGTAAAAAAAAAAAAAAAAAATTTAAAAATTAAACCTCAGACGCATACAGAGGACACATTGGTGGGTGCCAGAGGCAGAGGGTGACATGGGTGAAGGAGGATAAAAGGTCCAAACTTCCAATTATAAGATAAGTAAGTCCTGGGGTGGTAAAAAAAAAAAAGCAAAATCCTCTCCTTTTATCCCAAAAACATGCGGTTAAAGGTGGTTCAACCGACTCACCCCTCTCCCCCCGCAGGTTCCCAGGGGACATCCTGGCAGAAGACTTTGCCCAGCACGTCTGGAGAAATGAGAGGGACAGCAACTATGGCTTTGCCGAGGAGTACCAGGTGGGGTGAGCCGGGCCCCATGCGCCCACCAGCCTCTCCCGCCCCTGCGGGGCTGAGCCGAAGCAGGCATGCCCAGCTGGGTGGCTCACACAGAAATCCTCAGCCCCGATCGGCCACCTTTTTGACTCTCACGCTGGTGTCCGGTAGCCGGGTCCCTCCTCTCTCGCCTGCCGCCAGCCCGGGCCCCTTTCTCCCAGCAGCCGTCCCAGACGCCCCCCGGGGACGGTGGGCACATGCCTCCTATCTCTGTGGGTGCTGCAGAACTCCGAGGGGCAAGGGGTGAGTGGGGTGGCGCCACAGGGCTGGCCCCGGGTGGGGGTGGGCCGAGGAAATCCAGCGCCCGTGCACCCTCCCCTTCCTCCGCCCCCAGCAACTGGCCCTGGAGGACCTTGGCCAGTCCCAGATGGTGGCCTCAGCCCCGGAGAACAGCGCCAAGAACCGCTACAGGAACGTGCTGCCCTGTGAGTCTCGAGCCCCTGCTGTTTTCGCCCGCATCGGCGGGCAAGAACGGCAACACCCAACACGAGGCAGCACCCTCGTCCCTTGTTCCCCTCGAGAGATAAAGCCCCTGCCCCCGTGAGCGGGGAGCCCCTTGGCCGGCTCCTTCCGACGGGGTCCCTCGCCCCACTCCCAGCTCCTTGTGTCCGCCCGTCCCCGCCTTCCCCGCTCCCTCCGCGTCGCTAACTCCAGCGTCTCCCCTTAGACGACTGGTCCCGCGTGCCCCTGCGGGCCCTTCTCGGACAGCCCGGCTCCGAGTACATCAACGCCAGCTTCATCCCCGTAAGGCTGGGGTCAGGCTGGGCTCAGCCTCGGAAGGTAAGGGCCGGGGGTAGGGGGGCTCTGACCCGCCTGCCTCCCTCCACCAGGGTCTCTGGAGCTCCCGGGAGTTCATCGCGGCCCAGGGCCCCCTGCCGCAGACCGTGGGCGACTTCTGGCGCCTGGTGTGGGAGCAGCAGAGCCACACCCTGGTCATGCTGACCAACTGCGTGGAGTCCGGCCGGGTGAGGGGAGCCCCGGGCCCCGGGCTGGGGGGACCGCCCTCCAGGCTCCAGCCTGTGATCCTGCCCCAGACACGGGTCCCGGGGAGGACCCTGACCCAACCTCGGGGATTCCCAGCACGACTGCACCCCTCCCACCTCCCCCAGTCCACCCGCTGGGCCTCGTATGGGGCGAATCTGCTCTGGAAGACCTGAGGAGGGGGCAGGCCTCCTGGCTGGGGTGGCTCTCCACTTGGTTCCCGGGCCGGGGCGAGTCCCCGATGCTGAAAGCCAGAGCCACCCGCGGGGGTGCTCCGGAGGAGGGTCTCTGCAGCCGCCTGTACCCTGACCCACCCCTGTCTCCCCCCAGGTGAAGTGTGAGCATTACTGGCCTCTGGACGCCCAGCCCTGCACCCATGGGCCCCTGCAGGTGACCCTGATGGGGGAGGAGGTGACGGAGAACTGGACTGTCCGAAACCTGACGCTCTGCCATGTAAGCCCCGCCCCCCTCGGCTGGCGGTTCCTCCCCCCTCCCGAGCTCCATCGCTCCCACCAGGGGCCTCCGTGGGCCCCAGCGGTGCCCCCACGCATCGGAAACCGGCCCCGGACTGAGGTCCCCTCAACCCCTGCCTCTAGGAGCAACAGAAGAAGACTTTGCCCGTGCGTCAGTTCCACTACATGACCTGGCCAGACCACGGTGTGCCCCACTCCCCAGACCCCTTGCTGGCCTTCTGGAGGATGCTCCGGCAGTGGCTGGACCAGACGGTGGGGGGCGGGCCTCCGATCGTGCACTGCAGGTGAGGAGGGGCCGGACGCCCGCCCTGCACCTCAGAATCCAGCCCCTCGGGTCCTTCGGGGACTTGTGGAGGAGACCAGGAAGGCATGCAGGAGATGGAGGCAGGAGGTGAAGGGGTGGTGGTGCAGGTTGCGAATGAGGATGAAGATGAAGGCATGGGAAAGGAGGGAAAAGAAATAAAGGAGGCAGCGGCATGGGCGGGGAGGAGTGGGTGAAGGACAAGAGGGCGAAACGGCCAGAGGTCTTAAGAAATGTTTAAAACACCTCCTTGGGGGAACTCCCTGGTGATCCAGTGGTTAGGACACGGTGCTTTCACTGCCAAGAGCCGGCGGTCATTCCTTGGTCTGGGAGCTAAAACCCCACAAGTCTCACGGCTTGGCAAAATAATAATAATAATTTAAAAATTAAAATGGTTCATTTTATGTTTAAAGAAAAATGACCGGCTTGGGAGCTCATCTGCTCTGTCTGAACCCCAGCTGGTCACCGACCAGCTGAGTGTCCTGGGACAGTGGGCTTCACCTCACTCACCACATTGCCCTCTCTGTATAGTGGACACGCTCAGCTGACAGCTCCTACTTCTGAGGGGTGGGCCAAGTGCACAGAAGACATGAGGCATCTGGCACGGGGCCTCGCAGATAGAACTGTGCGGTCATTACTTATTACTTGCTACTTATGAAGCAACCCCCACTTACACCGTAGCCTCCAGAATAGCCCCGCTAAATACCTGACCCTTGGGTACTCCAAAGACAGAGCCCTCCAGTCAGCGGGGGCTCCCAGCGCCCCCATGGCCTGACGCCTCCTTGTCCCTGCCTAGCGCCGGCGTGGGCCGAACAGGCACCCTCATTGCTTTGGACGTGCTGCTGCGGCAGCTGGAGTCCGAGGGTCTCGTGGGGCCCTTTGGCTACGTGAAGAAGATGCGGGAGAGCCGCCCGCTGATGGTGCAGACCGAGGTGAGGGGGGTCCCCGGGCCCGGCTGGGTGGGCAGGCGGGCAGGGAGAGCTGGCCCGAGGCTCAGGTGGGCGCCTCCCACCCTGCTCTGTCTCCAGGCCCAGTACGTGTTCCTGCACCAGTGCATCCTTCGGTTTCTGCAACAGTCAGCCGCAGCACCGGCTCAGAAGGGGGCCACCTATGAGAACCTGCTGATGGAGAATACAGCTGCTACAGAGGCCTAAGCTGTGGGAGGGCTGAGACCCCCGCCCTTCTAGACAGACTCTGCACCTCAGCCCAGATGCCTGGGCCCCATGGGACAGCTGAGCACTGGGGTCCCAGACTCCCGGGCCCTGAAGGAAGTGAGGGGACCGGCAGCCTAGATTCCTACTTCCTGGAGAGGGGGTGAGCCCTGATCCTGGATTTCCAGTTCCTTGAAGAAGGAGAGGGATGGGGTCCAGGAGTCTCTTGGTTTTTGTTTGAGGGAGGACGAGGAAGTAGGGTCTCAAGGAAACAAGCTGAATTCTGAGGAAGAAAGGAAGTAATGAGGCTCCAGAATTCTGGCCACCTGAGGAATAAGGGTGGGCAGGGACCTGCCCATCTTTTACTCCAGAAACCAAATCAGTCTTCAAGAATCTGAGGTTTCCCCTTACCCTGCTGCCTGTACATGTTTTTTTCTTTTATCCCATAACTTATTAAATCACTATTTTCCCCAGAGACACCCATCCCCGCAGTGGATTTCTGGGTCTGGAAATAATATTGAGGTGGGTTCCTGATGTATAGGTACTGAGGCAAACATCCCAGGAAGGTAGCTAGGGGGATTCACCGTTGGCATCTGAAAATGTAGGTTTGGACAGTTGAGTCTCTCCGAGAAGGCCCAGGGTGTGGGCAACATGGGCTCCGTGCCCTGAGCTGGGAGCATGGAGGCTTGCCTTCTGGGCCTAGCCCTAGGGGAACTTAGAGGGTGGAGTGAAGCCAATGTGCTGGTGAATTTCAGGCTTAGTCTCCTGTCTGGACATCTGAAAACCCTGGCCTCCGGAGAGGGTCTTCTGGGTCCTAGAACCCGGTATCCTGGAGCCCGGAGTGGCTCTGTGGGCCGCGGAGTCTGAGGTGGAGAGAAGCGGGCTGGATGCCAGGATGGCTAGACTAGAAGGCAGAAAATCCTCCGGACCAGGATAAATATCCGTGGGCGCCCTGGTGGTTCCAGGCTCGGGGGCTAGACGAGGGGCAGGGCGGCCTCTCCACCTACGGAACACGCACGCGCGCGCGCACACACACACACACACACACACACACACACAGGCTCTCTCTCACATTCATATACGGAGGCGCACACGCGCACACACCGGGGTGGCTCCATTCGGCCGCGCCCCCGCCCCGCAGCGCTCTGCGATCAGCACTGGGGACAGCGCCAGTCACCCGCGTGCGGGGGCGGGGTCCGGGCGGGGCCGGCGCCTCTGTGTCTCTCCAGAGGGTCCTGTCTGGCCGCCGAACAGGTAGGAGCCGCTGGGACCCCCTCCCCAAGCTCCATGCTCATTCCCATCCCTAGAGAGATGCCGTGTGTGTGTGTGCGTGTGTGTGTGTGTGTGTGTGTGTGTGTGTGGTGGAGGGGGTACCGGGGGAGACCAACAGATGGAGGGGGAGGGTTGGAGCCTGATTCCGAGAGAATGGGACTTAGAGACAGGTGTGGAGACAAAGAGCCACAAGGAAAGGAGGCGCAGGCGGGGGAGAGGGTGCGAGACCTCGGTAGACGGGGACCAGACAGCAGGCAGAGGCCAGCCAACCCAGACGGGGGAGCGGCGAGAAGCCGATGGGGAGATGGACAGAAATAGGGAAGGCGTCGGTTTGGAGAGGAATGGAGGCCCAGTCGGTCACGAGGACAGGTGTGAAGACAGAGCTCGGGGCGCGCGGGCGAGACAAACAGACTGAAAAGGATGCGGGGGCTCAGCCAAGGCAGCAGGGCAGCCGCCCGCCGCCCACATTCCCCGCAGGAATGGGAGACGGAGGGCAGCCTGAGTCTTCACGCCCCGTTCCGGGGCAGGTGTGGAGGGAAGAGCCAGCTGCGGGCGCGAGCACGGACCGGCAAGGCCGCGTCGTCCCCAGCTCCGCCTATCTCGGGTGTCTTGGTCTGGGGTCCCAGGCGGAACGGGGCTCCTAACCAGCTCGCGCCTCCGGGACTCCACTTGTGTGCGTAAGCCCCGCCCGTTGTCTTAGCAACAGGCCGTTGCCGGGGCAACCAGCACTCCCTTCACCCCGCCCGAGCTGAGCCAGCCGTTGCTCTGGGCAACCCGGTGCGCCGGTTCCCACGCCCGTCTTCGCCCACGACTGGTTCAGGCCCCGGGGAAGGGCAAGGAAGGAGCAGAAGTCATCGGGACTGGATTCCTGGGGGGCCTAAAGGGAGGGGGCGTCCCTTTGGACGGGAACGTGGTCCCGGAACCCACAGCTAGCCTCCGCCCTTCATAGCAGAAAGGCTAAAACTACAACTCCCAGCACGCCTCGCGGTAGTCGATCGGCTCCTACACGGCCGGCTGCCCAGGGGGCCGATGGAAGTTGTAGTTCGTTGTTGTTCGGCGGGCTCAATGGACTCACGGGGTGGTTGGGGTTGGGGGGGGGGCGGCTAGGGCGTTTGGGTGCCTCCGCAGGAAAAACCATAAGACCCCGCCGTCATGTTCCCGGAGCCCCCAACACCCAGGCCTCCAGCGCCCGACACGCCTCCTGACTCGAGTCGCATCAGCCATGGCCCTGGTGAGCGAGACCGGGGGTGGAGTAGAGGGAAAGCCTCGTCGGGATTCTCGGGGGCGGGATCCGGATCGGGTGTTTTCAGGCTGGTGGGCTGACAAATGCGGGTAAGGTCATAGTAGGAATCTTGGACTGGAATCTAAATGAAATGAATAAGGAACAAGTTTGCAAGAAAATGAAGACCCACATCAAAGGTGTGGAATGGAATGGAACCTTGGATTGGTGAATTGGAAGATTCACCTCTCCCTTCTTTTAAAGATAGGGAGACTCGGGGAGAGGTTAAACCTTAAAGCACAGGGGTTGAGCAGAAAAATTAGAATGAGGGTAGAAGAGGAGGTAGAACTAATAAGCAAGAAAATCTAGATGGTGTCAGCCTGCCATAAGGCTTCAGTTTTATATATGAGATGAGCTGGAAGGAAAACATGGGACTAAAATGGAATGGACATGGCTGGAGGGAAAACAAGGCCAGGATTTCAGCTAGCACACGGTCCAGGTCTGAATGACCGGGTTGCTTCTCAGGACCTCAGTGTTTGCTGTTTCCGTGCCCTCTGCAGTGCCCCCCTGGGCTCTGGCCACCATCGTGCTGGTCTCAGCCCTCCTCGTCTTGAGCTGCTGTTTCTGTCTCTACCGGAAGCGTTGTCGGAGGCGAATGGGCAAGAAGAGCCAGGCCCAAGCCCAGGTTCACCTTCAGGAAGTGAAGGAGCTGGGCCGGAGCTACATAGACAAGGTGTGGCCTGACCCAGTCCCTCAGCCCTGCCCGTTCCTGCGCCCATGCTCCTCTCAATGGCCCAGCAGCTCCCCTGTGTGTCTAGCCCTAAAGTGGATCTGGGGACCTGGAGATGAACCAGACACTCCCAGGAACCTCCAATCAGACGGGGAAGTCAGACGTTCACACAGACATTGACAACACAGGGCAGTATGTGCCACATTAGAGGCAGTACAGGGCATATCGGAGTACAGAGAAAGGAGCTGACAGCCCGGAGGGTCTGAGAAGGCTTCCGGAGGTGACTTCTGTGTTGAGACCCAGAGGGACTCAGTTAAGTGAGAGCAGAGAGAATGACATTCTACCTCGAAGAGCACGTGCTGAGGCTTGGAATCCAGATTCTGAGGGCTATTTGGAGAACAAGCTCATTTTTCACAATAGCTGGGATATAGCATAAAGGTATCCTGTGCTCTAGGCTTCCCAGATGGCGCCAGTGGTAAAGAACCTGTCTGCTAATGCAGGAGACATAAGAGATGTGGGTTTGATCCCTGGGTTGGGAAGATCCCCTGGAGGAGAACACAGCAACTCACTCCAGTATTTTTGCCTGGAGAATCCCGTGGCTGCAGGAGCCTGATGGGCTACAGTCCATGGGGTCACAAAGAGTTGGACACAACTGAAGCGACTTAGCACACACACATATATTCTGTGCTTGAGGGTGAGGCTTCTAGAGAGCTCAGTGGTACCCACGTAATGAAGGGAACTGGGAGCCACAGAAGTTTTGAGCGAGAGCGGGACAAGGTCACATGGCTTTTAAGATGAATCCCCTGGAGCCCACGTGGAGGACAGATCTGGGGCAAGGAGACCAAGGAGGAGGCTGTAGGACAGTCCCGTGAGGTTGACGCAAACATGAGTAGGAAGAGGCCATTGCGCGGAAAGCTACAGGTTCAGGTATCTGAGCATTATACCTCTGAATGCAGAGCGGAATGAGGCTCTCCTGGGAGCCAGAGAGTCCTAGGTTTCCAACCCAGAGTAACTGGCTCTGTGACCTTGAGGAATTTACTGTTGCTGTCTCTGAGCCTCGAGGTCATAGTCCATAACTAGTATTTCCTCTCCTCCCTTTTCAACAAATAGCTGTTACAATTATCCCCATAAGGGATGCCCTTTAGGGTCCTGGTGTCCAGTCTCCAGCCCTCTCCCCTATAGCTGGTAGTTCCAAACCCCCGTCAGCATCAGAATCACTTTGGGTCCTTGTTGAAATGCAAGTCCTGGATCTTGCGCCAGACTAACTGAGTCAGAATCTCTGAAGTGAAGGCATTCTACCACACTACTACTACTATTCACATTACATTTTGAAAATCAGTGCCTAGAAGTCTTCTGACTTCGTTGTGCTAGTTTAGAATGGCAAATATGCACTAGGTATGCCGTTTTTCCTCCATGTTTTTCCGCCCAAGATCACTAATCAACGTAGCAATTTGGACCATCACCCCAATACGTCCATTAACGCAGAACTAAAATCTGCGTCCATCCTGTAGGCAGCGAGACGCTGTCAGCGCTTGTTCTTTTAGTCTAGGCATGACAAACACACTGCACGTGCATCACAGCATGTGTGCTACCGGTAGCAGACATCACTAATCAAACACTGACCGGCATACTACCGTGTGTGTTGCCATGGCGCTCCCCCGCCTGTGGCAGACATCACTAGTCAAACACCGACTCTGCTTAGCTTGCAAATGTTAAGGTTTAGCCAGAGGGTTCTGTGACTCTCCCTTGGCTTCCGAAGCCTGGAGGACGCCACTCTCAGGGGAGGAGTTCACCTGCCCTTACCCCTGGCTCCCTAAGGTGCAGCCAGAAGTGGAGGAGCTGGAGCCGACGCCCTCGGGGCCAGGGCAGCAGGTGGCCGAGAAGAATGAACTAGGACGACTGCAGTACTCACTGGACTATGATTTCCAGAGTGGCCAGGTGGGTGTGGGGGTGGGGGGAAGCTTTGGACGGGAGGGCGCCAGGAGTTCTAGTCCCTTCTTGGAGGAGGCTCCAGAAGGGAAGCTGAGACGAGGGTCCTCTCATCACTGTCCAGTTGCTGGTGGGCATCGTGCAAGCTGAGGGGCTGGCAGCCTTGGACATAGGTGGCTCCTCTGACCCCTACGTGCGGGTCTACCTGCTGCCAGACAAACGGAGGCGGCACGAGACCAGGGTGCATCGGCAGACGCTGAACCCTCACTTTGGGGAGACTTTTGCCTTCAAGGTGAGCTCATGGCCTCAGGGCTCCGTGCCCGGCAACCCGTCCCCAGTCTAGAACACTGGGCGCCACAGCCCCTTCAGCTTTTACTGGTGGCAGCTACCACCAGCTCTCTGGACTATTCCACTGGACACTGTGCTGTCCTTTCGAGAGCACTGCTGGCCCCTGCACTGCTCCGCTGGCCCTTGGGCTGTCCCATGTGGGCTCCATGGACACCCCCGACTCTTCCTTTGGACCCTCACTGCCCCCACTCACCGCTTTCCACGTGGATGTGCTGCGCCTCACTTTGTGCTTTCTGTGCGCCCGCCCCTCACCCAGGTCCCCTACGTGGAGCTGGGGGGCCGGGTCCTGGTCATGGCGGTGTACGACTTCGACCGCTTCTCCCGCAACGACGCCATCGGGGAGGTGCGGGTCCCCATGAGCTCCGTGGACTTGGGGCGGCCAGTGCTGGCCTGGCGCGAGCTGCAGGCGGCGCCTCGCGAGGAGGTGAGCGCTCGTGGCCACGCTCCCACGGCTGGGCCCGCCCACCGCAGGCCCAGGCCAATCAGAGCACAGGCCTCCGGGGTGGGGGCGGGGCTCGCTCCGGACCGTACCATTCCGAGCCGAGTGGGCGGGAAGGGAAGGTCGAAGAGGGGCTGCAGGCGGAGCCCGGGCTCCGGGGACCGGTCCCTCTTCCTTTCTCAGCAGGAGAAACTAGGAGACATCTGCTTCTCCCTCCGCTATGTCCCCACTGCCGGGAAGCTCACCGTCATCGTTCTGGAGGCCAAAAACCTGAAGAAGATGGACGTGGGAGGGCTGTCAGGTGTGCGGGAAGCCACAAACGACGGCGGTGGTGGGCGGAGCCGGGTCTCAGGCTAAGGCTCCCGCAGTTTCTGGGCCCCCGAGGGTCTCACAGCGGAGAGGACGGTCCAGGCTGCCGTGGACGGTTTAGATTCGATTTGGGCACAGAGAGAGGGGGGCCTGAGGGGTCCGTGGGCTATCTCTATGTTGTTCCGAAGAAGAGCCTCGGGCGTTCTCCTTGGACTCAGCAGAGGGAGGGGGGCTAAAAGAGTCCTCCTCCCTCCCCCCAGATCCGTATGTCAAGGTCCACCTGCTGCAGGGCGGCAAAAAGGTGCGGAAGAAGAAAACCACCATCAAGAAGAACACTCTGAACCCCTATTACAACGAGGCCTTCAGCTTCGAGGTGCCCTGCGACCAGGTCCAGGTGAGGGCACACCTGCCCATCGCCCCTGCCAGAGCAGCCCTTCCCTCTGAGCCCCAGGCCCTTAGAAACCCCCGTTGCTAAGGGAGGAGAGACTCCTTAGCAGCCCCTAGGAGCCCGGTCTAAGGGGTCTGATTGTGTTCTCAGTCTCTTTCCCCGACAAGGACCAGGAAGCCCCGCCCACCCAAACAAGACGGGACGCCCAGCGCCCGTAGGAGCTCTGGTTACTGAGAAAAAGAGACCCGCAAACCTAAGGCCAGGCCCATCCACCCATTTAACAGTCTTGAAGATGTGCCCCCATTAGGACCCTGCATGCTGAGGAGCCTCTGAGCAACAGAGGTCCTGAGGGTTTATTTGCTTTAAAACCTGGTCGCAGAAAGACTCCAGTGCACTCCTGTAACCGTCCAGCAGGGCCCTCACCCCCTCCCTCTCCAAGCTCCAGATGAAACCTTAGCCCAGGCACCTATGGAGGCTCCCCAGAACTCAGGGAGGGGGTCTCCTTAGCAATAATAATGAGTCCCTGTGCGTTCTTACCCCACTTTCTGTCTCCTCTTCCTCCCCTGCCCACCCCAGAAGGTGCAGGTGGAGCTGACTGTGCTGGACTACGACAAGCTGGGCAAGAACGAGGCCATCGGGAGGGTGGCCGTAGGGGCAGCGGCCGGGGGGGCTGGTCTGCGGCACTGGGCAGACATGCTGGCCAACCCCAGGCGGCCCATCGCCCAGTGGCACTCGCTGCGGCCACCTGACCGAGTGAGGCCACCGCCAGCACCATGATGCCCACCCTCAAGCCCCTGACCCCAGGCCCCTGCCCAAAGTCACGCCCATGCCCACCTTTAAGGCCAACACTCCCCCACTCTACCCACTCCTGCCTTCTCCCCCACCATTATGCCAATCATGATAACTTGCCAACTCCCCCGATACAGCACATACCCAGAAGCCCCAGGGGCCCCTGGGGAAAGGGAGGCAGTCCGGCCTCCCCCCACCCCAGGGTCCCGCCCTCTGCTTTGACAATCAGTGATCCCAGCCTACTATCCCCTTGGCTCCCAATGCCCCTTTCCTGTGCAGGATCACCCACTCCTGTCCCCAGTCTGATTCCTACACCACTCCTGGGACCAAATAAATATTCAGCAACTTTGCTGGCCTGGACCAATGCTCCTTGATGGGGGTGCTCAGGGGTGGGGGCTGGGAACCCAAGAGGGGCCGTCCAGGTGTGGGATCACACAGGGGCAAATGAGGACAGGGCTGCCCATCCTGGAAATTCACAGGGAAACTCACTCACCCACCCCTTCGTCCAGCCACCCTGTCACCAACCCACTCTCCCATTCACTTCTTCATCGGTTCATTCACTTAGCCCTCAAAGCTTCAGTTTCCTCATCTGAAAAGATCGTGATAATGGTAATACCTACTGCATGTTTGCTCTGAGAAGTCAGTGAGCATTCACTTAGTTATTCATGAATTTATCTGCTTCCTTGCCCATGATTTATGTAGATTTTCATACCCATATTTCCCTCCCTTCTTTTTTTCCCCTTCCTTTCATCATCTGGGGTGCAGTTTCAGTCTCTGGTCAGGGAACTAAGGTCTCAGAAGGCATGTGTCATTAGTCAGTCAGTCAGTTCAGTTGCTCAGTTGTGTCTGACTCTTTGTGACCACATGACTGCAGCATGCCAGGCCTCCCTGTCCATCACCAACTCCCAGAGCCTACTCAAACTCATATCCATCGAGTCGGTGATGCCATCCAATCATCTCATCCTCTGTCGTCCCCTTCTCCTCCTGCCTTCAATCTTTCCCAGCATCAGGGTCTTTTCCAGTGAGGCAGTTCTTCGCATCAGGTGGGCCAAAATTCTCCCCCTCCCTCAAAAAGAGACACAGTCAAGAGCCAGATCACGTAGGTGCTAGGAGATAAATCTAACGAGCTGGGATTGTCTGTACCTGCAGTGAGGACCCTCAGGAAGTTTTAGAGGGAAGTGGCCTGGCTTGGTCTATTTTAAGATTCCTCTGGCTCCTCCGTGGAGGAAGTGTTTTGGGGAGTGGTGGTGATGAGGATGAAAGGCAGTAAGTCTCGCTGGAGAAAGTGAGCATCTGGGGCTCCAGTGGGCTGAGGGACTAGAACCCTGAAGGGAATCAGCCATCATTTCCTTCCCAGCGCCCAGGACTGTCCTCACCAGGCAGACGAACCACCGTTCAGTCCACCACTCTCCTGCTGACTTCATGTTACCCTTCCCATTTTACAGAGTGGGAAATGGAGGCAAAGAAAGAGTGACTGACTTGTCTAAATTCATGCAGCTGGGTGAGCAGAGGAGGCAGAGAGCCAGCGCTCTGTGGGTGCTGTTCCCTGAGCTGAGTGGTGGGGATGATCTAGAGACGTGTCTGACTTGAGTCCCTGACCTTGTGGGACTTGCAGACAGGTCAATTCATTGCATTGAATTGCAAGGGGGATTCTTAACCACTGGGCCACCAGGGAAGCCCTTACTGCAATTTAAAAAAAAAATCCAAACTAATGCAAAAAAGAAATCCAAGATGGAAAAGTATTAAAAAATTAATGGCAGGATCTGACCTTTACTTGGGCCTCCTTGCCCTAGTCTAATCCTGGCCCTGTTCTAATAAAACTTTATTTACAAAAGTAGACAGCCTGTGGTCATAGTTTGCCAATTTCATTTATTAAACGACTGCATTAAAATAGCATTTTCTTCCTACAGGTACAATAGTTGTAACTAACCTTGAGACCATTGATAATAGTAAACTATAATAAAATAGGAAGTGGTGAATTTTGAGTATGGTTACTTTTATTTAGCGTATTTTACAGAATTTAATTTTTAATAGTTAATTTAGTAAAACTAATTTTTAGCAATGATTGTGTGTAACAACCAGGTCACAAAGTTCCCTAAAATTTAGCAACCAGGGGCCAGGCTAGCTGGTCCCAGCACTTGGCTGTGTATCCCACCTGGTGAGAGAAGTCCTGTGTGGGGACACGGAAGTGTACAGTTTGAGGTCTAGTTCACCTCAGTTTAACTTGGGTTTATCAAGATTCTGTTCCGTTCTGTCTAAAATGTTGGCTCGATCCAGGCCTACTGCTTCCAGAAATTTGGACCGCCCCAGGCTCCGTCCCAGCCTCTCCTGGCCCCGCCCCTTCGCCAGCTCTGTCGTCATGACGACGCGTCCTCAAGCCCTCAAGCCCGGGTGGTCGTCCTTCAGCCCTTCCATTGGCCAAAAGTTCGCAGCCGGCAGGTCTCGCTCACTCTCATTGGCCCGTTGATCGCGGCCGTGCCAGCCCGCACACTTCCATTGGCCGAATGATTGAAAAGGGCGGGGACTATGGGCAGCAGTTGAGGAGGGGCCTTCGGACCTCAGCGCAGCCCAGAGCGGGGAGGGAGGGGGTGTCTCGGGTCCTTTGGAAGGATAAAGGTGAGGCGGGTGGAAGGGGCGAGAAGTCGGGGCAGGTGCGAGGTGAACAGGTGGGCAACGGAGACTCGATGTTTGGGGATTCCCAGGTTGTGCGGACCGCACGGCGATGACTACGCCGGCAGGCTCGGGCACGGGCTTTGGCTCTGTGTCCTGGTGGGGCCTGTCCCCGGCAGTGGACCTGCAGGCTGAGAGTGAGTCCCCCGCTCAGGATCACAAATCGTGCGACACAACGGCTGCCTTCACAGCCTGGCAGACAGCGCGCTAACGTTCTCGGGGGCTCCAAGGGCGCCCACGTCCAGTGGGCAGTCTGGATGCCTCTGTGGACTCCGAGTTCCGGGACGCTTAGAGGCACAGCTCCGGTTGAAACCGAGGCCAGGGGTGCAAGTCCTGCTGAGGGTGGCTGCAGGGGACGCCCTCCAGGTCGCAAGCTCCAGCCTGCTATCATCTTACCAGGTCCTCCTGTGGATCCAGATTCGCAGGCTGATACAGAGCACGAGACCCCAGAACTAAATGTCCTGCTGTTGGGTTCCGTGGATGGGCGGCACCTGCTACGGACCTTGGCCCGGGCAGCTCTCTGGCCTCGAAGGAGGTTCCACGTGAGCTGGGATTATGGGGTCTTGGAAGGAGAAGGATGAAGATGAGAGCCCAGTTTCCTGAGTCCTTGAGGGAGGAGGGGGCTGGGGACCCAGACTCCTAGGTCCTGGGGAAGGATGGGGCTGGAGTTGGGGGCTCCTGGGTTGAAGTAGGGGTAAGTGTCTAAGGATGGGGCCTCCTTAGAGGAGGGTTCTGAGTTTCTGTGATTGAAAGAGTGGGACTGGTACAGTCTCCGGAGTCCTGTCGGAGAAGGGGGCTGAGGTTTCCCACTCCTGGGTCTGCTGGGAGCCAGGGACACAGATCTCAGAATCGTTCTTCCCTGCCCATCCTTAGTTTTATGTGCTGGAGAATAATCTGGAAGCTGTAGCCCGACATGTGCTGATCTTCAGCCTAGCCCTGGAGGATCCTGAGAAGATGGGGTTGCAAGGTCAGCAAAGACCCATTCCATCTGGCCCCCATCCCCTTCCCCCTTCCTGCAGGAGTTCTGGCATTTCAATGGTGAAATTAAGCACTTTGCACATTGTTCCCTGTTCCATCATTTGCTCACTCACTTGGTAGCCCTTACAGCCTCAGCTCTTCCTACCTTTGAAATGGGGCTAAAAAGAATGCTTCCTAGAATCATTCAGAGAATTCCAGGAGATAATCCACATGAAACTCTCAGAACTGTGTGTAACACAGTTTAAGCATTCAAAACCTCCTGATGAGGGGGAAGCCCAAAAGAGATCCAGGGACTTCCTGAGAGGTCGTGAGTCCCCCGGAAGTGGGGATGGTTTGGCTGACCTGAGCTCCGTCCTGCCCAAAGCCTCCCTCAGGCCTGAGTCTCCCCTAGTGAGAGGTATGAACCTCAGGGAATCTGCCTGGAGGAGGCATCCTTGGAAGTAAGACTATAACGAGGAAGGGGAGGAGGAGGATTTGGGTGGGAAATTGACTGTTTTCCAGTAACAAAAACTTCAGTTTGGTGCCTAGAGCCAAGTCTAGACTCAGGCAGGTTGTGTTCAAATTCTGACTCTGCTTGCTGCGTGGCCTTGGGCTAGTGTCTATCCCTTTCTGGGCTTCTGTTTCTACATTTATAAAATGAAGATCCTAGAAGTTCTTCCACCATAGAATTCTTATAAGGGTTTAATGAAAAAAAATGCATGGGTCCTGGCTTATGATATAGACTCCACACATATTAGCGATTATTGTTACCATGACTAAGGATGGTAGGTGTCATTAACAGCCCAGGGCTTTCAGAACACATTGCACAGATTCCTTAATGCACCTTGTAAAGGCTCTTAAACTAGAACTTAACTAACCTAACTAAAAGTGTATCATTCTCTCTTATAAGATTCTTAAACAACTAAAATGAAACTATATATTGATATCGATATATATTGCATATACAACTAAAGGTAAATAGTTCTGTCTTAGTCGCTCAGTCGTGTCCAACTCTTTGCAACCCCTATAGACTGTAGCCTGCCAGGCTCCTGTGTCCATGGGATCTCCCAAGCAAGAATACTGGAGGGGGTTCTGGAGGGGGTTGCCATTCCCTTTGCCAGGGGATCTTCCCGATCCAGGAATCGAACCCGGTCTCCTGCATTAGCAGGCAGATTCTTTGCTGTTGTGTTACCAGGGAAACCCTAGTTCTGTCTTAAAAGATTCTGCTAACACACATAAATCTTCATCTCCATCTATATCTATATATAATTTTTCCTTTTTTTTTTCTTAACCTTTCCTTTTGTAAGGCAAGAGAAACTTAAGCAGGAAATCCAGGGTTGGGGTTACCTGCAGGGCATGGGGGTAGGAATAGGCGAGGAGACCCAGGTGAGGCGTAAGTTACTCTTCATATTTTAGCTTTGGGGATGGGTGGGGAACTTGCTTGGGTCCGCCATGTTCATTACACGACTATGGAAGAATACGATCACTATAAAGTGGGTATGCGTCGCCGTCACGGATCTCACGTGTGGACTCACCCCTCTGCTCCCTCCATGTCTGTTCTCCCCCGTCCCCGCAGAGAGAAGCGAGACCTTCCTGGAGGTGTGGGGGAACGCGCTGCTGCGCCCCCCTGTGGCCGCCTTCGTGCGCGCCCAGGCCGGCCGCCTGGCTCACCTGGTGCCGGAGCCCGACCGCCTGGCGGAGCAGCTGCCCTGGCTCAGCCTGGGCGCCCTCAAGGTGCCTCCGCGCGGCCTCCGACCGTCCCCTCCGGGGACCCGGGGGTGGCCGGGCCGTCCAACAGGGTCTAAGTGAATGGAGCGGGCTGAGGGCTCCCCGGCTCCCACCGGGCCATATGGCCCAGGGGGTGTCTTCTGCTGTCGGAGCCTCGGTCCCTTCAGCGGAGAGCCGCGAGAATCATTACCCACGCCCCGCGGGGGAAGGGAGGGTCGGGGGGAGACGCCGCGGTCCCTGCAGCCCCCTCTTCCCTCGTTCTCCCCTACGCCGGCCTGGCCGCGCAGTTCCGCGAGCGCGACGCCCTGGAGGCCGTGTTCCGTTTCTGGGCCGGAGGGGAGAAGGGGCCTGAGGCTTTCCCCATGAGCCGCCTGTGGGACTCGAGGCTGCGCCAGTACCTGGGCTCCCGGTACGACGCCCGGCGCGGCGTCAGCGACTGGGACCTGCACATGAAGCTGCACGACCGCGGGGTGAGGGCTGGGGGGATGGGGCGGGCCTGGGGTCCCTGGTCCTGGCGGTGGAGGAGGCGGGGCTGGTGCCGGTAAGTTTCACGGAGGCTTCTTTCCTCGATCCCCGCTCCCTCCAGGCCCGAGTCATCCACACCCGCGAGTTCAGGCGCTGGAGGGACACGGGCGTCGCCTTTGAACTCAGAGACTCCAGCGCCTATCACGTGCCCAACCGGACCCTGGCGTCTGGTCGCCTCCTGAGCCACGTACGTGCGCCCTGGCTGCTGCCGCTTTTCGCGTGTGGGGAGCCCCAGAATCCGAGTTCCCCAACATTATCCTCTCTCCCTGCTTTCCCAGCGCGGGGAGCGCGTGGCAGCGCGCGGCTATTGGGGGGACATTGCCACGGGGCCCTTCGTGGCCTTCGGCATCGAAGCGGACGACGAGACCCTCCTGAAGACCAACAACGGGCAGCCGGTCAAGGTTTGAGGCTGGAGGTGCTGGGGACCTAGTGGGTATGCGAGGCCCCGCCCCTGCCGCCCGGGCCCCGCCCCGCCTCCCGGGCCCCGCCCCTCGCTACGTCCACGTGACAGCCCCACCCCTCTACTTTCCTAGCCGTCTGGAAATCTGAGTGCGCCCGCCAGATGCCCGCTCTGGGGGTGGGGACGTGGGAAGGGGGCGATCTCTAGGCCTCTCCCCTGCCACCCTGGCCCCGCGGTCCTAGCCCAGCGTCTGGCCACGCCCCTTCTCCCCACAAAGACCGCGGGCGAGATCACCGAGCACAACGTGGCGGAGCTCTTCCGAGAGATGGCCGCCTGGGTGCGCCCGAGAGCCGCCCAAGGGGACTCGGAGCAGGTGCAGGGCGGCGCGGAGGGAAGCCCGGACCCGGGTAAGCCGCGGACCCGGGCTGTTCCCTGAGGCGGCAAGCGGGGCTGGGGTGCTCCTGTCTGGGGGAGAGCGGGACCCGGACCCTCGTCCCAGGCTTCAGGCACCGGGTATTTGAAGTCCAAGCATGGACCGGTACGGTGTCTAAAACCTGGACAAATGACCTCCCCTTCCCGACATCTGGTCTGTTCTTCACTCTTTGAATTTCTCTCACTTTTCTAACTTGACACCATTCTTACCATTCTGAATTCCAATAGCAGAATTATGATCAAGAGGCTGAGAACATTTTAACGATGTGCTAGGTTTCAGATTACCGTTGGATAATCCCCCGACCCCAAATCTGGTCGTGCCTCCGTCTACCCATTACCTAGGTTGGCCCTCCCGGGTGAATTAATGACTTGTGTGGCCATGGGTCACCCACTCTCTTTTCTTCTCTTGAATCTCGGTTGCCTAGTCTGTAAAATGGGTTTCTGCCTGCCAAGCCAGTCTTCCCAGAATTTTCCAGGGATCTGCCCAATAGAAAGGATGACAAAAGGCCTGAAGACAGATGAGGAGAGTCATCTCCAAGCTTCGAGTGTCTGCCTAACCCTGCCCATCTTCCCTTCCCCAGCAGCCCCTGCCCTGGAGCCCTTCACTGTCCACTTCCTGTCCCTTGGTTCTGCCCACACTCTCCACCACAAGAGCTGCTACAAGGGACAGTTCCAGCTTCTCTACGTGGCCTGTGGGTAAGAGAACCTGGGAGGGGCCCAGATCTTCCTCACCCAACCCCTCCTCCAACAGACCCAGGAATCCAGGCCCCCAGACCCTCCACAATCAGTGTCCAGGTCCCCAGCCTCCCTTCTTCTCTCAGGACCTCAAAGTCCGAGCCTCAGCCTTCCCCTTTTCTCTCCGCAGGATGGTCCATCTTCTCAGCCCCGAGTTGGGGGCCTGCGTGGCCCCCGGAGGACGCCTGATTGTCGAATTAGCCCAGTGAGCCAGCAAAGGGCAGGGCGGGCAACTTCCAGGCTGTGGGCGGAAAGCTGGGCCCCCTAACCCGCCGCTTCCTGTTTCCAGGTTCCTAGTGGACCTGAGGCAGGAGCAGCTGCAGGCGTTCTCCAGCCGGGTCGGGGAGCTAGCACAGGCGGCTGGATTCGCCCCCCAGTTGGGGGGCAAGCCCTCGGACACCTTCGCGCGCTTCTACAAGGCCGGGGACTCAGCTCCCAGCCACGAGGACCCGGCTGTGGAATCTGGGACTCCGCCCCCTGAATTCCTGGCCCCGCCCATTGAGGCAACCGACCCGCCTCCTGAGGACAGGACCCAGCCCCTTGAACCGGGAACCCCACCCTCTGAACCCCTCAAATTGACCTCAGATTCTCAGGCTTCACTCTTGGAGGCTTCAGTTCCGCCCACAGGGAGTCAGGCCCCTAAATCAGAGAATCAGACTGTTCCTCCAGAGACCAAGTCCCCCACCCCCGAAATCTAAAGTCCGGTCCTAGAATGAGAACGCGCTTCTAGAATACTCAGTTACACTCTCAACAGTCTCCCTCAGCGCCAGAGGTGTCGCTAGCATTTCGGATTCCATTCCTGGGATTCTATATTTACTCCTGGAATTCTAGACTGTTCTCTTGAGTTCTGCCTTTCACTTCCAGACTCTGAAAACAGCCTGGAGATCTAGCCCTGGGGCTCTGCTCAGGCCCTCCGCGTGGTCCCCTCGTCCCCAGGCGTCCCATTCCTAACTGGGGGCTGGGGGTGTCGCCTCTCACATGCTGGTCTACCCTCAGGTGGTCCAAGTAAAGAGAGCCAAGAGCTCTTCTTCAAGTGTCCGTGTCTTTCCTGCCCTCAGTCTGTCTCCAAGGAGGGGAGAGGGAGGGGGTGTGGGGGGTGACGAGAGGTGAAGTTTTATGTGCTACCTGCTGAAGCATATTGAAAAGCAGAGATATTACTTTGCCAACAAAGGTCTGTCTAGTCAAGGCTATGGTTTTTCCAGTAGTCATGTATATATATGAGAGTTGGACTATAAAGAAAGCTGAGCGCTGAAGAATTGATGCTTTCGAACTGTGGTGTTGGAGAAGACTCTTGGGAGTCCCTTGGATTGCAAGGAGATCCAACCAGTCCATCCTAAAGGAGATCAGTCCTGGGTTTCATTGGAAGGACTGATGTTGAAGCGGAAACTCCAATACTTTGGCCACCTGGTGCGAAGAGCTGACTCATTTGAAAAGACCCTGATGCTGGGAAAGATTGAAGGCGGGAGGAGAAGGGGACGACAGAGGATGAGATGGTTGGATGGCATCACTGACTCAGTGGATATGAGTGAAGTAAACTCCGGGAGTTGGTGATGGACTAGCGTTGCTGCAGTTCATGGGGTCGCAAAGAGTTGGACACGACTGAGTGACTGAACTGAACTGCTGAAAACCTGGGCACCCCACACCTGTGTCCTCAAGTGAATCGGCAAACTTTACTCATTGGGTAACAGGTTTGGGGCACTGAGACTGAGCATAACATAGTGAAGAAGTCCCAGCCCTGAAGAAGACTGCAATTTAGTGAATGGGCTGGGCCTAGACCCCCGGGTCTGAGGGAGGAGGGGCTGGGGGTCTAGACCCTCGGGTCTGAGACAGGAGGAGCTGGATTTGCAGGCCGCCAAGGTGAAGGGGTGATCCAGCTGGAACATGGCCCGCCCCACCCCTCACGCGCACCGTTATCTCGAATCCTGGGCAGGGGGAGGAGGGGGCAGCAGTATATTTAGTCTTCGACCTCGCCCTTTATCTCAGTGTCCTCAGTGAGGTTTGAGCAGACAGGACGAGACAGAAGTCCCAGGGGCCTTCAAGGTCACTCCGGACACCCCCTCCCTGACCCTCCAAGAGCTCCTTGCCCCCCGGTGTTCGGCCTCCCTCAGCTCCTGGCCTGAGACCCAGCATGGCGGACCAGTGAGTGAAGACTGGTAACCCGGGCTCCTGAGGCCGGAGGCGGGTGGGGTGTTATTTCCTGGGTCCCTGTGAGGGGTGAGAGCTGCGAGCCTGGACTCCGGTCTGAGAAGGGAGGTAAGGACAGGAACCCCGGGTGTCGGAGTGAGGTGAGAGTCTGCGACTCCAACCCCTAGGAGCCGAGAATGGGGAGCTGGTGGGCCGGCTCTGCGGTCAGAAGGGACTATGGGGTCCCTTGGGACACGGACTAGCCAGGACCCAGGCCCACCAGGAACCCCCTTTCCTGGTTTCTCTCCCTCCAGGAGCGGCGGCAGGACGGTGAGAGCGGGCGTGGGCTGACCCCGCGTGCCCGGGAGGGGGCTGCGGGGAGGGCTCTGGGGAGAGAGACTGCAGCCCCGGAAGGCGGCACGCAGAGGGGGTCCTCGTGGTGACTCAGCTCTGTTCCCCCAACCCCAGGCGGGGGACACGGTCCCCGCGCCCCCTCCTGTCCGACGCCGCTCGTCAGCCAACTATCGCGCCTACGCCACGGAGCCGCACGCCAAGGTGAGGTCGGGGGCCAGCGGGTGCGCGGGGCCTGTCGGGGGCCCCGCAGGGTCTGGATTCGGGTTCTTAGGGCACCGACGTCCTGGGGAGAAGGGGCGGAGCCAGGGCCCTCCTGGGACTTTGGTCCCCGGCGGAGCCCAAGATGAGGAAGGCCTTCATGGGACGGGCTTAGCCGAGGGCCGGCGTCTGATTGGTGCGAGCTTGCCTATGGGCGGAGTCCCACCGCCTCTGGACCTGAGATCGCTTAGAGACGGTGGGCGGTGCCCAACTACAGACTCCAGATTGGTGGATGGGGATGAGGGGCGTGGCTTCCCAAGGGCTAGAGTTGGAGGAGGGACCTGACTTGAGGGGGCGGGGGTTCTGATGCTCCGCCCGCCGTCCTCCTTCGGATCTTCCTCCCTCATCCTTCCTTGCTGTCTTACCCTGGCAGAAAAAGTCTAAGATCTCCGCCTCGAGGAAACTGCAGCTGAAGGTGCGGATGAGCCCGGGGAAAGCCTAGGTGTTTTCAGGGGGCGGGGCTTGAACGTTGGGGTGGGGCTTAGGGTGAGCGAGTGGGCGGGGCTTGGTAAGTTTGGCGGCGGGGTGGCCCTGCCAGGGAGAGGTGGGGCCCGGGAATGATGGACATCAAGCTGGAGGGGGCAGGTCTCTGGAAGCCGGCCTGGGATTAGAGGGCGGGGCCCGGTGAGGGTGACTACGCCGCAGCGTCCTCATCCCAATACTGGGCCGCGGTTCCCGGCACCCCATCCCCAGACCCTGATGCTGCAGATTGCGAAGCAGGAACTGGAACGGGAGGCCGAGGAGCGGCGAGGAGAGAAGGGGCGCGCTCTGAGCACACGGTGCCAGCCCCTGGAGTTGGCCGGGCTGGGCTTCGAGGAGCTCCAGGTACCGGTTCTCATCAGGGACTCCGGCCCAGCCCGGGGTACCAGGTTCCTAGTGTCCGATCTTGCGTCCCTTGGGACTCAGGGGTATACTTACGATGCCCCCACTCTTCTGCTCAGGACCTTCGGGCCCAATTTGCCAATCCTCACCCTTAGGAGTTCAGAAATGTGGCCTGCAGCTGCCTACAACCTCAAAACCCAGAGACTGGTTCCTCCAGCCCAACTCCACTCCAGATTCTCAGAACCTCTGCTCTAAAGTTCCCCAGGGTCTGGCTTCAATCTACTCCTCCAGGTCCCCAGCCCCTCCTCCCTCAGACCCAGGAGTCCAAACCCCTGGGGTTTCTCCTCACTACACACACCGCATTCCTCCACCAGGACTTGTGCCGACAGCTCCACGCCCGCGTGGACAAGGTGGATGAGGAGAGATACGATGTGGAGGCGAAAGTCACTAAGAACATCACGGAGGTGGGAGGCACTGGGCAGCCTGGGTCCCTTCAGGGTACGGTGCGATGCCTCGGGCTCTGGTCTCAGCCTGGCCCCTCGCAACTGCTTACAGCTGCAGACACCAGGAGACCCAGGACAACTCTGTGATCCTGGCAGGGAGGGGCCAAAATGATGATGAGCACAATAGGGTCAGGGAATGCTGTTCCAGGCAGAGGGAACAGCACATGCAAAAACCAGGAGGGAACAAAGCAAGAAATATGTTTGTGAACATTTGTGGCTGGAGCCTCAAGTGTTGGTAAGTTAGCTCAAGTGTAGGCCAGGGACCTGTGAGATGCATGTAGCTGGACTGGGATGTGTTGGTGGTTTTCAGAGATGAGGCTGAGGCAAATCGGGATCCAATTACAGGATGGGGAGCTTGGATTTCATCCTGAGGGTGGTAGAGGCCTGAACTAGGGAGAGCCTGGCTAGAGATAGGAGAGAAGTGTAGGGCACAGGAGTGAGGCAAGGAGGAGGAGGAGCAGGGTCTCCACCTCCCGTTATGGCTTCGCCCAGATCGCAGATCTGAACCAGAAGATCTTTGACCTTCGGGGCAAGTTCAAGCGGCCCACTTTGCGAAGAGTGCGGATCTCTGCAGATGCCATGATGCAGGCACTGCTGGGCGCCAGGGCTAAGGAGACCTTAGACCTGCGGGCCCACCTCAAACAGGTGAAGAAGGAGGACACGGAGAAGGTGAGTGTGGCTCGGTCCAGGAAAGGGGGTGCTTAGGGGAGGAAGTAGTGGGCAGCAATCCTAGGACCCAGCCTGAGGGTGGTGACAGGTGGAATTGTGGGGAGAAGTATCTGGTAAGGGTCCTCCACAAGAAGTCTAGGAGGGGTACAGGAAATGCAAGAGTAAGACAGGATGTAGAAGAGGAAGACAGGAAGTGCATTAGGGAGAATGGAAGTGGCAAGGAATCAGAAAGTGCATGAGGGAGACAGGAAGTCCAAGAGGCAGACAGGAAGTACATGAGTGAGAGAGGAAGTACATGAGTGAGAGAGGAAGTGCAGGAGGGAGACAGGAAGTGCAGGGTGCAGACAGGAAGTGAGCATATTGGAAAGGATTGTCTGAGGGGACAAGAAGTATTCCAGAACCAGACCCTGCAATGGGCATCTGGAACAAGTGACCCAGCAGGTGGGAGGGCAAGTGGAGGATATCTGAGAGTCTGTAGACCAGGAAGACACGCTAACCTCTGACCCATTACCTCCCCACCCCCCCACCCCCCACCAAGGAAAACCGAGAGGTGGGAGACTGGCGCAAGAACATCGATGCGCTGAGTGGAATGGAAGGCCGCAAGAAAAAGTTTGAGGGCTGAGCTGACTACCCACTGCCCTGACCCTGGCCTCGAGGATGGCCCTGAGGAATAAAGCTTCTCTCTGAGCTGGGGGTGGCTGTTTCTGTACTACTGGGGGCGGGGAGGGCAATTAGGTGTGAGAGGCGGAGAACTTGGGACAGGAGGGGTACAAGAGAAGAGCAGGAGTAGAGTTGGGTCTCCACGTGGGAATGCACAGAGGTGCCGAGACCAAGGAGACCAAGGCCCAAACACAGATACCCGGAGGCACAGACAGACTGAGCGACACAGGCCAGAGAGACGCAGGCAGAGACCCAAAGGCACAGGGAACAGAGATTTACAGGAAGAAGTGCACAGAAAGAGGGAATAGAAAGACAGATATACACAGTGAGACAGAGATGAGCTTACCCAGGAAGAGAGAAATAAGGACCAATGGGGAGAGACTGGCAGAGACACAAAGAGACGACCACACACACACACACACACACACACACACACGAGCTAGGAAGATAAAGACAGACACAGAGCTAAAGACACAAGGGGCTTCCCTGCTGGTCCAGTGGCTAACACGCTGCACCCTCAATGAAGAGGGCCCAGGTTCAATCCCTGGTCAGGAGACTAGATCCCACATGCCACAACTATTCAAGGCAGTCATATAAATAAATATTTAAAAAAGAAGAAGAAGACAGAAACTGAGTCACAGACAAGCACAGGGAGACCTGGGGACAAGACACCCACAGAGAGATGCTAAGAGAGGCCAATGTGCAGAGACACCCAGAGAAACGCAGAGAGAAGAACTGGCAGACAGACAGGCAGAGTGAAGGATTCAGAGACACAGGGGTGCGGAGAGAGGCGAAAGAGAGCCCCAGAGTCAACCCCCAAGAAACAGGGAGACAGAGGCACTGAGAAGCCCAGAGGGGTGAGGAACCCCTAGAGTTCAAGGTCGTGGCTCGCCTGGGAAATGGGAGGGGGATACCAAAAAAGATCAGCGTCAGATGGAGGTGGGGGGGTGAGGTCCCGCAGAGTCTGACACCGCCCTCCCCCACCCCCTCACACACCTGCTGCCCTGCTTTAGCGCCTGTTGTCACCAGAGTGGAATCCTGGTGGCAGACAAAGGGATGGGGGTGGGGAGGGGGCACAGAAAGACGGACGGAGACAGAGGTGGGGAGAAGCTGAGACGGACCCACACAGACAAACATAGATGGAGAGTCACGGAGACAGAGGAGAGACAGACAAGAAACTGTGTATGTGAGGTGGATGCCCAGAGACAGAGAGAAAGCGCCCCTTTCATGGAGGGATAAAATCTCCCTTGGACCCCTCCTCCTCCAAGGACCAGCTGTAGGGCTGAGCCCAGCGACTTCAGAGCACAGGGTGCTGGGGCCAGGGAGGGGGAAGCCCAAGGGTGACCTGGCCCAGCCCGGGCTTCCTGGACAATGCTTTTGGGATGAGGGAGAGGCCTTGGAACAGCCAGGAGTGCCTGGAACCCTAAAGTGGAGCCAGAGCGGGGGGTGGGGGTGGGGGGTAGGGGCGGGCAGGGCCACCTCTGAGCTGGGCTGAGACTTTGAGGAAAGGAATCCTCTCCCCCTTCCCCTCCCCCTGGGGCGGGGCTCAACCTCTGGCTATAAACCGGGGTGCTTCAGCCTGCCCAGCAAGATTTCTCCCCACCACTCTCTCACACCTTTGCTGACCCAGACTCAGGTAACACCCCCCCCCCTCCGCGATCTCCAGGGGTGTCCTCGGGGGAGGGGGCAGAGCGATGGGAGACATGAGAGGTGAGGAAGAGAGGTATGGAGCCAGATCTGGGAATTTGAGGGGGCCAGGCTCTGGGGACTGGGGATGGAGAGGGGAATGTATGAGGATTTGGGGGGTTATACAATCTAGGGGTGCCAGCATTTGGGTATCCCAGAATAGAACTCCTTAGGGCCTTGGAGCTGTGAGTCCAAGGGAATCTCAGAAATTGAGAGTCCCTGAGCTTGGATGGCAGACAGTCTGGGTGTTAGGACTGGGGGTCAGTGTCTGCGAATTTAGGACTTAAAGTCACAGAATCTGAGGCCTCATGGCTGGAGGTAATAAAATTTGTAGTATCATATTGGGTGTAGCATCAATCGGCCTCTGAATTTGGGTGTACAGATTTTTGGGGTCTCATAATCTTGAGGTTTCAGAATTTAGGTCAAGACCTAAGGGATCAAGATTTTAGGGTGTCTGGGCTCACAACCTGCAGGGTCCACAGTTGGAGGGAGGGGTCTCAGAATCTGGAGATACCAGGACTTGCTGGTTTTCAGAATTCATCAGTTAGGATCTGTGTGTATTGGGGTTTGGGGAGGTCTCAATCTGGACACCTTGGGGATTTCAGATATGGGGGGTCTTAGTATTTAGGGGTCAGGGTGAGGCCTGGGGACAGAAGCTGCTCTTGTGTGTCCTGTCCCCTCTGTGGCAATGGATGAAGGTGAAAGGAGGTGACAGGTGGGCAGATAACCCGCCAAAGGGGAGGGGGCCCTGGGGGTGGGAGAGGACGGTGGGGGTGATTAATTCTCCCAGAAACCCCCCCGCCGCCCTCAAATACTTCTCAGGAGATGTCCTCTGTGTCACCCGATGTGACATCCCCCCAAAATAGACCCTGGGGGCGGGACAGCTATTGTCTTCAGGCCACTGTCCCTTCCCAAATACCTTCTCCTAATCCCGACCCAGATCAGGTTCCCACGGACTTGTCATAAGACAAAACGAGACAGCTGTGGAGAGGGGCGGGGCTGCAGCCCGGGGCTCGGCCCCACCTTACCCCCCAGTGCCCGGATCACTGGAACAGGAGGTTGAGGAGTTGGGGGCCCCAAGCCCTCCTCCCTCAGACCCGGGGGACCAGACCCGCAGCCCCTCCTCCCTCAGACCCGGGGGACCGGACCCGCAGCCCCTCCTCCCTCAGACCCGGGGGTCCAGACCCCCAACCCCTCCTCTCTCAGACCAGGGGTCCAGTTCCCCGGGCCCTCCTCCCTCAGACCCCGGGGTCCAGGCCCCCAGCCACCCGTCCTTCTGAACCGCACCCCATTGGGCCTGTTCTCTGCTGTCTGTAGGTCACACCAGGACCCCAGAATGTCGGACGCCGAAGAGCAGGAATATGAAGAGTGAGTGATGCCGGCGGGAGGGCTGGGGGCCTGGGGTGGCGGAGACCCCTCCCGCCTCCAAGGCTCCTAATTCTCTCCCTCCGTCTTTCCTTCCCACCCGGGTCCTCAGGGAGCAGCCTGAAGGTGAGTGGGGCGCGTGCTGACCTTGGGGGGGGGGGTGGGGTTGGGGGCGCCTTCGGGCATCTTAGCCCACCCCGCCCGAAGCCCGCGCTCCTGGTTCGCACAGCACGTGCGTGGGAAGCGCTCTCGGGTCCATTTGCCGCGGAGGCCCGAGGTGCCCCCCTGTCGGTCTCGAATCGGACTCGACCCGACCCCGGTTCTCCCTGGGCCCCCATTTGGCGGCCCCCACGCCTCCCCGAGACCCCTAATGCCGCGCCCTCTGTCCCCCACCCCTTGCAGAAGAGGAGGCCGCCGAGGAGGAGGAGGAAGGTGAGGCGCCGCACTCCGCAGGTCGAAGCCGGACAGCAGGGCCGGGGCCGGGGCGGGGGCGGGGACGCTCGGCCGGGGCGCGGGCGGCCGGGCGGGCTCAGCCTCAGCTCCTCTAACAGCCTCTCCCCTCTCTCCCCTCCCCGTCCCCCGCGTCCGCGCGCGGCCGCTCCCCTCCCCGGCCCCCCACCCCCTCGCTTCTCCTGCGCCCCCTCCCAGCCCCCGAGGAGCCGGAGCCGGCGGCAGAGCGAGGTAACCGCGGCTGTTTCGCTTCCGGAGAGCGATCCCGGGGCCTCGGGGCCCCGACCTCCGCGAGGACCCGCTCCGCGCCCCCCAACCCGCGCCCGGCCCGGCCCGGCCCTTTAAGCCCGGAGCGCGCTCGCGCCCTCTGCTGGCCGCGAAGGGAACCAGCCTCGCGGAGGCTTTAACCCGTTCCCTTCCGTCTTAAAGGGACCGACACCCAAGCCTTCTTCCCCAGATTGGAGGGACACGCACAGAAGGGTTGGGTGTTTGTGGAGAGGCACCCCTCCCTCCCTCTCGTCTTCGCCTGTCCCTCACTTTTCTCCTTCATATACATTCAAAGGTTGGGGCCTGGGTTGCCGTAGGGGCTAGCGATGGTCGAGGGGGAGGGGGTCTGGATTCCTGTGTCTCTGGCGGGCGAGGGGGCCGAGGACACGACCCCTGGTCACCGAGTGAAGAGAGGGCTGGGGGCCTCCCTGCACTGCTAGGCCTCGATGGAGGCGGGTAGGAGCTCTGGGTCTGTAGGACGAGGGGCGGGGCCGGGGGTTGCTTTTGTTTTGTCTCCTTATGGTCTGGAGGTTTGGACACCTGGGTTCCCAGCGATGGGGGAGGGGGACCCCCCACACCAGTTCTGAATGTATATCTGATGCGTGTGACCCTCTCCCTCCTAAAGGCCACCCTGATTTCCCTTATCCTCTTTTACCTCCCAACCCCTCCCCTGGAGCTGCAGGAGAAGGGAACTGGGCTGGTGGGAACCACGGCTGGTGGGGGGGGGGGGCTCCTTTGGATATGTCATGTCCACCCCCCCACGAACTCTTGCTAATTATCTCTTTGTATCCCCCTCACCAGAAGAGGAGCGCCCCAAACCAAGGTGAGATCCTAGGAGGGTGGGGTCCCCATCACATCCCCTTAAATATATCCCCCACCTCCAGAGACAGGGTGCAAGAGAGGCAGAGAAGGAGAGTGGGGAAATGGAAGCACAGGAAAGGGCAGTGATTTCCGCAAACATTTCTGTGGAACTTTCCACTTTGGTGTTTGGTGAGAGGCAGGCTTTGCCTGCCCTGTTGGTGAAAGTAGACCCAGATCCAGCTACTGTAGCACAGTTGTTTGATTGCTCTTTGTGACCCCATGGACTATAGCCCACCAGGCTCCTCTGTCCATGGGATTATTCCAGGCAAGAATACTGGAGTGGGTTGCCATGCCCTCCTCCAGGGGATCTTTCAGATCCAGGGGTCGAATTCG